TTCTTCAGCTATTGTGTTCTGGTTCCAAGACTTTATTTATCAGGGTGTCATGGCAATTTTGTTCAAAAGTCTTTTATTGTCAAAATTAAATTTACAATCTGATTTAAAAGAACTTTTCTTAACAAAATAATTTTAGTATACATTGACAAAATAATTAAACATTAACAAGATAAGAAAGTACAAAAATCGCAAGAATAAGAATGCTTGTATTTAAAAAGTCATAATGAATGAAATACCCCCAATTTATAACACTGACATTCATTTACACTTGAATGTATGGTAACTATGAATAGATACCTTTATCTTCGTTGATTGTTACGTTTTTGTAGAACCGTTGCTTTGCTAAAAAATAAGTACTAAAAATTAAAAAACTAAAAAATCGCTTTCAATTTTGAAACATCTCACCAGGATAGAGGAATTTTACAAACAAAGTTGTCAAACTCAATATCTTTGATAAAATGACTTATCTATTATTTCTGTGAAATCTCTACACGACTTTTTTATATTTGTATCAAAACAAACTATACCAATTTAGAAAAAAAGAATAAATATAAAATAATAAACCCAACGATAGGGAAAATTTTTTATTTCGGCATATTTTTGAAAAACTAGGCCTGTTTTTCCAGTTATCAAGCTGGTTTCGAGCATAAATTAAAATACTTTTTCTTCACGAAAGGTTGACAAACTCACTTCTTATATAACTCAGAAACTTTTTATTCAAGAGTCTCTGTTGAGCTTTGGTCGTGGAGATTAACAACTTCTGGAGTCCTTTGGCATTCATCTTGTTTCCTAGTTGGGCTTCAGCAGTGAGCAGTGGCTTTGCACGGACCAGAATGTGTATTATTTTATTTGGATTAACATGGGTAGTTCAAATCATAACAAATTCTCTCTACGGCATATAGTGGTGTCTAAAGAGATCTGTTGGTCAATTTTGCACAATACAGTAGCAATATGTATCAATCAGAGGTAGGTTTCTTATTAGTTTTTGCCCATGCGATGTTGGTTTCCATTTTTAGAGAAACTCGCTTTCATATTGATGTGACCTCGTTCGAGACTCGTTTGAGTGAACTCAATGAAAGAACTTGAAACTTCTGGGACAGAGAAATACACCGAATCCTTTCTGCTGTTGGAGATGCTTCCTTTAATAGTTTTTGTTGTTCCTTGCTTCGTGTTATGGTGGTTGAAGAAAACAATTTTCAAGCCACGTAAAGTTTTCGATGTTAAAGACAAAGTTGTCCTTATAACTGGTGCTTCCTCAGGTCTGGGAAAAGGTAATGATGAAAACAGATAAACTTTTCGGATCCTCTTTTGTGAATTGAATTTATTAATAAAAAAATGTTGATTTTCCCATAATATAGGTTTATGTAAGCAATTCAATCAATATTGCAGTGTATGGTAAGGCTCTACTACTGAAGTCTTTTTCTAAAATGTCCCTGCACACCTGGTTAAGGGTGTGGCATTTTGGGATATGGGCGTGGCATGGATTTGTCCTATTGCTTAGGGGAAATGAAAAATTTTTTAAGCTTCCTCAAGATCAACATAATGATTCATTGCTTTAATAACAAAATAACTTTCAATAATGTACATTTTCTTATCTTTGGAGCTATCATTGTACGCACTAATGTGCACAATGAAAATGGACTCTTGTAACAAAGTCATTGTACTTGTGCATTCAAGATTTCAGTTGAATTTGTCGTACTCTGCAGGCTGATTTTCAACATGCTGATAAATTGAATATGGAATTAAAGTATCAAAGTATTGGAAAGTTTTTCCATATGATAATGCATGTGCATACAATTTTTACATGAGTATACTTGCTTAAATTGCTAGCATGTGCATACAGATTTGCTGAAGCTGGTGCAAAGCTGATATTATCAGCAAGAAATGTGGAGAAGCTCGAGGAAGTGAAAGACAGCATCATTAAAAGATACAGCCTGGTAATTGTGATTGGTGACTACATTGCTTGTGTTATGCATTAGCTTTGGTTACAATTGTAATTATGTAAAAATTAAATGGAGGGCCTCTTGTAAAAAAGCATTCCCTAAAGGGCTATTGATCCTTAAATTATTTGAAAATGAAAATAAAAAAGGAAGCATTTGTTATGTCAAACTCTTAGATTATGTCCTTCTCATGTGAAATTTATTTACAGTGCAAGAAATGTAAACCACCAAAAATTTGTGTTTCAATTGCTTGCACTTCTGTCCACTCTTTGTTTAGGTAAACTGTATTTTAAGTCAATCACATATTTACCTCTTTTAATTTTCATGTGTTTTGGAAATGAAATTTGTTCTTTTAGATGTATTTGTTGTTGAGTGTTGTATGTTGTGTCAAAATTAAATTGCAATTGAAATCTACCATCAAAATTAAGAGTGAACATATGATAAATTGATTTGCTTTAATGAATCAAGGCTGATCTACTTTGAAAAATTCATTTGATTGCTTTATAATTCAATGTAGTCTTTGGCATACTACCTCTTACTCAAATTCTGAGTTTAACACCCTTCAGTCTTCCATTTTGGTTTGCTTTCTTATTAAACCATTTTAATATAAAGATTCATTTATATTAAACAGTGATTTTATTTTCAAGGATTCTGCACTTGGGCCAAAGGTCATACCAATTGATCTGAGCGATTGTGAAAGCATAACAAAAGCTGCGGAACTGGCTCTCATGGCATATGGCCATATTGATATTCTCGTCAATAATGCTGGGATAAGTTGCAGAGGCAGCATAGTTCAAACTAAAATGGAAGTGCATAGGCAGCTGATGAATGTTAACTATTTTGGACCATTGCTTCTTACCAAATGTAAGTTTTTTCTAGACGAAATACATTAAAATAGAATTACATAAATGTACTTTGGAAGTAATAGACATTTTCAAAAACCCTTAATGAACACAATAATTTGATAAACTCAAATTGTATTTATTCAGTATTTTGAATGGGTTATCTGTGCATTTCCTTTAGTATAAATGTTTTAAATGCCCTTTCTTGCTGGTAATTATATTATCAGGGAAGTGTTTTGAAAATAGGAAAATAATCTGTCCTTTTATCATTGCATTGTCCCCTGGTAGACACCTGTTCAAAAGTTGTGCTCCACCCCAAAGCCAAGAATCGCTAATAAGCCCCAACCTTAACATATAAATCTTTGCAATGAATGATATCAGTCCACAGTAAATTACCAGTTCATGAGTGTTACTACCTGTAGTAACAACTAATAAATCATGTGTATGTAGGCCATCTTTTAATCACTCAAAAACTACAGAAGTTCCGTATATGGGGAACTGGGTCTAGTAAATTATGATACTTAGAATAATAGGATATGACAATCAGAAATTGAAGAACTGAAAAAAGCATTCTATCAATTTTTGTTGTTGTATGCATCTATTTGCAGAATATAAGTCATCAAAATGAGCACAAAGAAGTCTAAAAAACTTTGAAAATGAGCTTTTCTTCTTATGATTTCCAAAACCCTGTTGAAGCCCTATCCACAAATAAGCCCCCATCCCAAAGCTTCCCAATTTATTTGGTAATAATTATAGAACTGTATTTGGCAAGAACTATAGAACTCTACCTGTGTTTTCAAATCCTGTTTGTAACTAACTGATTTGTAATTTCAAATGAATTTTTTATACAGCTTTGCTACCGTCAATGATTGAAAGAAAAGAAGGTCACATTGTTGGAATAAGCACGGTTCAAGGAAAAATAGCAATTCCATTCAGGTCACCATGTAAGCATGAGTTTCTGTCAAAGATCCCTTTGTCAGACATTGCTTCTTTACAAAAAAGGCTCATTTAGTCTTAAGGGGCATTGACTCATTTATCTTCCTGTTTCCTTGGGTATAGTTTCTTTCATGCATATCTCATTCAAATTTGCTCAACCAAGTGTGATAATTTTTCTTTTAATTCATTAAAAAAGCAAACTTTCCCTCTTTACAGGCATATATTATTAATCAACACATTTAACGCCTGCTCTATTAAACTCTGACAGGAAGTTAGTTTGCTCAAGAAATTAATTTCTAATTCGTTCGAGAAAGTGGGAAGTCTAGTTAGGGAACGGTTTTTATCCTCATCATTATTCAAGATAGCAAATAGTCAGAATAATGGGTGTATGAGATTGTCGGAGGTATTTCTAAAAGTGTGACCCCGACTAAACGGACAAAAAATTTTATACCGTAGTTGTTATAGTCGGCAAAATTTTGGGCCCTCATTGGTTAGTTAGTCTTAATTAGTCTTGCAGAGAACTGCATCGTTTAATATTATTTCTGAATTTGTAGACACTGCAAGCAAGCATGCATTCGATGCTTTCTTCACCTGTCTCAGATCCGAAGTTGCCAGCTCAAATATCAATGTTACTTTAATCAGCCCTGGGTACATTCGTACGAATTTGTCCATTAACGCACGGACATCGGATGGAACACAATATGGATGTAAGTTTTTTCTGTTACTTTCTTACACTATAATTTCTATGAGCAGGGACGGATTTAGCCGGGGGGGTGTAGGGGGTGCGACACCCCCCAATATTTCTGTGTCCTTCGGTTTGTTCCATTCGGTAAACATCATTTTTGGTAGTCAGTAGTAACAAAGTAACGCCAAGATTTTACTTTATTTATCTTCTTATCAGTATTTTTCTTCTTATCAGTAGCGTAACGGACTTAGTTTGAAACTTTTGAATACTGTTTATTATTTTTAGATATTTGATTACAGCTTTGGAAAATCAGTTTTTACACGTAGTGCTTCCTCGCCTTGCACGATTCAGAATATAAACTTTTGGAAGGAATTGTAAAGGAAATGGAATCAGCCACAATAAGCTACATAAGACGTTGTCTAAAGCAAATTGCAACGTAAAAAAATCAAAGCTTTTCCAACTTTTCCAAACGTATTTACAAATAAGGTGTTTTCCTAAATTCTTAAGGGTCTAGTTACCAAAAATTTCTTCTCCTTGCCCCTCCAATCTTCTAACCCTGGTTACCCTACTGCTTCTTATCGTCTTTACCTTAAAGTTAAAAACCGAATTTTAAAAATGGGCGTTTCCATTATTTACCAGTGACTTGAAGGGTGTGGCACCAAAATTTGTGTCTAACACCCCCCGAACCATTGTTGCTTGAATCCGCCCCTACTTGTACGCAAATTGTTTTAGACTAAGCTACAACTCCCCCACAATCCCCCCACAACCCCCCCCAAATCGAGCCACCGAAATCGAGCCCCCAATCGAAGCTTAGCACTATTGGCACTAGTACTGGTACACATTGCCTAAAAAGAATTTTCTTTTTCTTGTAAAATTGAAATGTACAATATAATCACCTTTTTATTCAAATTGTACAAAAAACTTTGGAAAGCCTATTAACAATGGGCGTTTCTCGATATTAGGACTGGTACAAATCGAGCATTTTTAGAAGTTAACTAGGCAGGCATTATTATTATTGTTCCCTGACGTGTTTTGACTAAACTCTGGTTTAAGATGTCTTGTCTTTGTTAATATCTAATTCCAGTTTGAAATTTCACACTCTAGAATTTAAGATAATATTGATCAATGCAGGATTTCTGTGTTTGCGATGAACTAGGTGCATCGCGAAAGTTTTTGACTGTAGAAATGGTTAGTCGTTTTCTTGGTTAAAAAGTAACTGTCTTGCACAGTTTGTGTCCTACACCAAGATAATGGTGCTACGTTGGGTACACCCATTCTTTATAAGCAACCGTCTATAAAATACTAGAGCCTAAGATGACTAAAAATATTACTTAGACCAAAAAACCATGCTACTGACCACCCTTAACCTTAAGAACTTCTCATGGCCGAAGCTATTACTTGAATTGGGCGTATGAGAAGAGCGACGTTTAACTTAGGCCTAAAGATATTACTGAGAACAAAAAGGACCCATATAACTTATCACCCACCACATTAAAAAACTGCTGGAAAATCCTTCATTCAAAGGTGGGATCGAAATAACTCTTTTCGACAATTAAGCAACTCCTTCTGCTTAACTGATAGATAGAAAAAGGGATCTTTGTGGTGAATAAGGTGTTCTCATTCAATATCATAACACGTTTTTGTGTATCTAAAAAGTAGCTCTTTAGAAGTTTGTGTTTAATAAAGCTTCCATTAGGGAAAATATTTAGAAAAACCGATTGCTAATCCGGTGCTTTGTTTCTTATGAAAAAATGAGTTAAGAGCAAAAAAATTAACTGGCAGTAAACAGAACTGGCGTAGAAAGAAAGTCACTATTGTTAAAAGGGCAGGTGTTAAATAAGGACCAGCCTAGAAGGTAACGAAGAGTTATTGTCTTTTTCCCGTTTTAATATTAGTTTTCGTGTATGCATCTTTTAATAACTTTATATTCAACCCGAAGAGCTTAGATTGAGAGCAAAGGTTTTCATCCGATTTTAATAGTTAACAATCTTTTTGTTGTACAAAACTTAAAAATGGCTTTGAAAAAAGCAAACATTTGAGTATACTGAAGCTTTTGAGTATACTAACTAATCTTAACCCAAGCTTTAGTATTGTAATAGAGCTCATAATCTCGCATTATGCCTATATTTGTTCATGCTTCTGTTTAGTCAAGATATATTAGTTTTTCGCGTGTTAACTTTCCATGTTTTCCGGTAATATAATATTTTATATACCCTTTTCCCCGACAAAGTTCCCCCGCGTATCCTACCATATATTTATCACCTCCTACTTACGTATCGATGTATTCAAACTAGATACCGTCTTTACACTGCGAAAAAAAGAAGTATTGTAAGTAGATTGTTAAAAGCCATTGTGGACACTTTATGAGGAGTAGAAACTTGTATCAGACACACACACCCACTCACTCACACGTATACACAGAAGAGTCATGGACTGATTAGCTAAGAAAGGGCTCGTCATAGACAGATAAGCACTCGTTATATATATATATATAATTTAATGGCGTAACAGTGCTTGTGAAAGACTGTTTAGTACCTAAGTATTAATATTGTATTAACAGAAAGACTTAGCTTTGGATGGAACAAAGGAATGGATTTTGTGAGTCATAATGTGTCATTTATAAATGGTCAGTAATATCTATCAATCAAACAATAAATAATGTCAGAAATTTCACAATAATGAAGCAGCACTCAAATTTTACAGTATACTCAAATGTTTGCTTTTTTCAAAGCCAATTTTAAAAGTTTCACGTTAGATAACTTGTTTTTTCAGTATCAGTTGATTTAAATATCTTCACAAAAATATAAAAATGTAAATTTTGTTAAATAAATTCCTTAAAAATTTTGTTAAATAACCTTATATTTTCTTTATGCCCCTTTGAGTTCATGTTGCTTTTTTTGTTGCAGCTCTCGATCCAACAACTGCCGCTGGGATGGAGCCAGGCCACGTTGCTGAGGAAATATTGAGCGCAGTGGAATGTTTACAGGAAGACGTGGTCATTGCTGACATGAAAGCAAATCTTGCTATCCTTTTGAAAACGCTTTGGCCATCGTTGCTAAGCAGAGTGATGAAAAAGAGAGCTCAAAAAGAGGAACAAAGTGAACTAGTCGTTACAAAGAATAAAACTGATTGAAACGTACGCTGATTATTGTAGAAATATTCACCTGTCGGGAAGGGGGGGGGGTTGTATTTTAGGCAGAGCCCACAAGAGTAGCGTCCTTTCTGCGTTGAAATTCTTGAGCTCTGAAATTCTCTCTTTCTCAGAAAAACAATGAAAACATGGTAGGGTTTTGCTGTTGACAATTTTTCTTTCCTGCCTTACATTCGTTAGCCTGCGTGCAGACTTTGACCCTGTGACTGCAATGTTTTCTGGGCTCGGTTTATTAGCATGGGCAAATTGTTCCCAACATGACCATTTGATTGTCTAAATAAAGCATAAATGCGGTCCAAATAATAGTGAACTCTTCGGATTTCAGAGAAGAGGGTTGAGACATGCCCCCGTCACAATCCATTATCCCTGCTGTATTAGCCTGCGTTAAGACTCTGTTGACAAAATTGAAAATAGGAGAAAAAGTAGAGTCTGCAAAGCCGAGCCGATTTTCTTGTTCACAGGTTCCTCAAAATCAAGGAACCGAATTTGATTAGTTGGGGGAATTTCAATTGCTTTTTTTCAGTTTTCAAAGTGGCGCCTTCGAGCAGAAGTATAAATTAATGGTATCAAGTAATAGAATAGGTCTGTTTGTTCTTTTGAACAACTAGAATTACAGAAAAACATTGCACGCTAATGGAGTTGTTGTTTTAGTGCTTAAAATAAAATGTTGATGTCAGCGAACAAGAAAAGCGGCTCTGTTGCGCAGACTCTACTTTCTCTCAACTTTTAAATTTCCGAGTCTGCACGCAGGCTATGCTGTATTAGCTCGTTCACTAACTAGTTTTAACCCCCCCTGACTAACTACCTTGTAGTAATTACCCCCGGTATTTTGAAGCAGCTTTTCGATTTTCGCTCAGAAATCGGCTCGTCCTTGTTGTTTATGTCTTAAAAACCGCTTTCATTCGTATGATGTTTTCAGCTTAAAAAGGCTTGTGTATATTTTGTGTTTTTGATTTATATCAAATAAAGAAATTTGTTTTGTTCCATAGAATATTGGTCAGCGATAGGTTTTTGCTTTGTATGCATAAATGTGATGAATAATTGAAACACAGTAACAATTTGTTGGCTGTATAAAAAGTGTGGAAAAGGATTGTTCAAGTAACGATTGGTAAAAAGTAACAACTAGTGGCGCAAATAAGAGATAATTTTCAAGGGAAGGAGGACTGTGACGTCAAGGGGGGCATCTCTCGACGAGAAATGAAGCGACTCTTCTAAATTGATGCTTGCGAGCGTATGAGAAAATTATATCATTGGAAAAAAGCTTGACCTACTAATTTTCATTCTATTCATTTCTGACAGACTATTTCAATTAGTTGAAAACGTTACTCATTTGTATTATTTAGTGCCAGAGAGAAGTATGGCTTGGCAATAATTATTGATGTCTTGAACTGTAATTTAGCAAGTATTCAATGAATGAATGACAATAACGTTGCAATGAAATGTATTCTTATTCTAAAATTAAACTGGGTAACAATTTTTTTATCTATGATCAAAAATTACGATGACCTACCCGTTCATGTGTTATTCCAATAAGCGGTGGAAGTTTGTGTGCATTCTATAGAATCTAAAAATGTCTCCATTCCTCTCTTCCCTCTACCTTTACCCTCTCTCCTCCCTATTTCCCTCCTCTCATCTCCTTTCTCCTTTTCCTTCCCCTCTTTTTCCTCTCTCCATTCCTCTCTCCCCTCTACCTTTACCCTCTCTCCTCCCCTCTTCCTTCCTCTCCTCTCCTTTCCCCTTTTCATACCCTTCTTTATCCTCTCTCCGTTCATCTCATCCCTCTACTCTTCCCCTTTATCATTCCCTCTACCCTTCCCCTTTACCGTCCTCTCCTTCCCCCTCTTCATTCCCTTCTTTATCCTCTCCTCCTTATTCCGCCTTCCCCTCCTCTTCTCTTCCCACCTCTCTTTGTCTTCTTTTCTCTCCTTTCTCTGCTTTCCTCGTCACTAAAGAGATTCGCATATCTTGTAATGAAAATTCATTTTATTACAACTGCAAAAACTTGGTAAAAATAGATGAAATTTTTCAGATATTGTTTGGTTAAAAATGTTGAGCTTTTTTGGGTGTGAATCAGTTGAAAATAACTTGAATAAGGTCTGGAGCAAGTTCGATTATTTTGTAGACTCTAATTTCGTTATAAACAAAAACACACCGGTACCCAGCGAGTTTTTACAAGAATTTCCTAACTTTTCTTGAGCCTCAATTTTCTTAAAAATTGTGATTCTCCGCCTTCATTCTTAAATCATTGGTGACACTGCATGAAAGTGGCGAGAATCTAAGAAGAAAGTAAGCGAACAAATCTTTGTCACTGTCGTTTTACACTGAGGAAATCCAACCTACTAGCACATACAAGCTTGTCTCGCTTGCTCAAAAGTCTCAGGTAGAAAAAAAGTCAAACCGTGTCAATTACATTCGAGTCGGCCTTTATTCACGACTTATTCCTGAATTTTACTCATTTCGAGCCTCATCATCTTAAAAAAATCACTCATGAAAAATAAAGGTGTATCTAATATGTTACTTCTACCTTTCACTTAATCACAACTAACTAACAAGTACCAGATTTTGGCACTTATCATCCCTTTATTGTGATAAGGGTCAAAGTTAATTGTGTGGTTTTAGTAAGTTAAAACTCTTATCAGACATAGATATTGTTTCAAGTTTCTCTACCGGATTTACGTGTTGCTTTCCTTTTCAGAAAAAGTAACTTAGACTCCAAATATTTAGTCCAGGGACGAACAAATTATAGTTCAAGTTAGCTTTGGAGATTTTCTTGAAATTTGAGAAATCGAAAAAGGAAATTACATTTGAGTAACGACTATCATCGCCATTACAATTTACTTCCTAGTTTATGTTGCATCATGGGATGGGTGTCAATCAAATGCAGCCAACCATTTTTCGAAAAGAGTGAATTTGATAGCCTCGGAATATCAGGCTGCGGACAAAAGTAACCGGTAGACTTTTGCAAGTCCTTAATGCAGAGTACATTTGCTTAACAAATTGAGCGGCAAGGCTTTATTCTTTAAATTACTGTTCAACCCAACCATCTGGTGATTAACTTTCAGATGTGGACATAGCGGCATTTATCATATTGCTTTTCTGTTAGGCCCTTTGCAGCATAAACCACCGGAGTTTCTTGCAAGAGCAAGCTGTACACAAACAGAATGTCGAGGTCAGGAAAAGTAACTCCAGGACATTCTACTGCATCAGATGTAGAACTTCGTGACCTGGGAGGTTAGTTAGAGATGTATTTTTTTCTAAATTTTCGCCGGCTGCTCAATTAAATCACGCAGTGACTATTCTGCGTTTTGTTGTTATGCCTAGCAACTGCTCAGGTTGTTTAGGAATTTTCCGCTGAGATTCAAAAGCTTAACTTCTTTCCATTGACTATATTTTGTTGTACGTTTCATTTTGGTTTGTCAGTCACTGAAAAGTTCGTTTGTATTACCTCCCGGCAGAACTAGTCAAGGGTGGACCTAACATTGGCAGTATCAATTTCCAACCCGTTTAGAAAGAGGATAATTAGACATTTTTAATCGAAACCCGATAACAAATCGTATTGTCAAAGTAGCTTCATTTCATTTCAATTTCATTTCATCTTCTAATTGTTAAAAAATGATTTAATTAAACAAATTTGGCATACGAGTGTAAACAATCATGTATCGGAGATTGAAACTGCACCGACTGTTTTGCAGAAATTGCTCACCACATTTTGTGCATAACGTAACGTAAACTTGGCAAGATATTTTCTTGAGTAATTTCAGAACGGCACATTTAAAGAGAGTAACTTTATATTTGAAGTATATTCAAACACGCAGCATTTTGTTCTTTAACAACTACCCCAACAATTTAATCAAGAACATAAATATACAGTTCCAAAGTAATAACTAATTAGATTACAAAGCAGCCTTATTTGGAAGCAGACAGAGCAATGCTTTGATAGACTGTTTGTCAAGTGTGTTCTAGGATAACATTCCCGTTTTTAAGAGCACTTGCAAAGAATACCCTTGAGTTATAAAAAAGTGCAATTTGAAGAAGTTAAGGTGGGATGAGACGCATTGTTGTTGCCAGCAAAACATTGTTGGTGTTAGCAATAAGGTAGAAATGTTAAAAGAGCCATTAAAACATTTTATGTCTTTTTGCATTAAAATGTTCATGCTCAAGTACAGCACAGTATGGTATAGGTATCAAAGTGGTGATTGCTTCCTGGACCCTTGATTATCGAATGTTAAAAGGAATCATTTCCACAAAAATTGAAGAAGAAAATCTTCATAAAAATTGCAGCCAGGGTCCTAAGCTGAATCTGAAAGCACAAAACGCAGGAAACTGTCATCAGGGACCCCTTCCCAATAATTATCAAACTGTTCTATCTATAAACTTTATAACACTGCAGGCAAGGATCTAGGCCGGTTGCACAGGTTTCAAAAAACCGGTCAAATTCTAAGAGCTATGTTTCTCTGTAAATCTTTAATTTTTGATCTAAATTTCAATTGCAACAATTGCTGCATTTCTCCCTGACTGACTCAGCTTTTCTGTTTATATACTGAATTGAACCCTCACAAGAGTTCGACGGAGTTCACAGCTTTCTACTTCATCTTTTATCTCAAAGTATCCAAGGAATTCAAAATCGAGGAAATCAGCAGCCACTCGATGTGACCGTTTGCATTATGCTATCTTTGCGCCAATATTGAAACTGGTGGCTATTGTTTTCTGAAAACCTGTGAAAACTGGTTCCTATATAATTTCCTTATGCGGAAAAACCAGTGACTAAAAAGCATACTCTTTATCGATGTCCATAGTTCAAAAGGATGGACGTTTTAAAACAATATAATAAAAAATGAAATACGGATGCAAATAAGAATCTGAGGTTTTGTATTAAGGGGACTACCTAGACATTTTTTCTTGGAAAAATTCATCTGTTATCTAGAAAATTCATCACCTGTGTTAGAGAAATTCTCACTCAACCTTTTTCCCCAAAATTGTTTTGCTCACTATGTTATTAAACATTTCTCACAAAAAGTGAAAAAAAAACATCATTTTACCTTTGAGTCAAATTGATCACTGTTTAATATTTCAGTTGAAGATGAAATGGAAATGGACAATCCTGATGCTCAAATGTTTGGTGACTTGCCAAGCAGATTAGCAAGTAGATCTGCCATGAGTTTTCATCACAAAGCTGCAAGTCGTAGAAGTCTCAGGGGTAAGTTATCTAACACAGGTGAAAGTGCAGTTGCCCTTCCTGTTGACAGAGTTGAAAGTCAGTTAGAAATGCTAGATCTTGAGGACAGCACAAATGACCCACTAGCTGAGTCAAGGAATCTTGATAAAATCAAGGCAGCTCCAATTTCTCTTGCACAGAAGAAGTCTATCAAGTGAGTGTGTTTCTGTTCGTTAGATTGATTAAAACAATCTTTGGACTAATTCATGTATTCTTTGAGCTCAACTTTGCATAATTTTATGAGCTCCAGTGATATCAATGCTTCAGGTCTCTCTTGTATTTTCATGATTTTTTGCTTATTCATTTAATACATATTTTATCTGGATTAAAACCACAAATTTCAAAAGCTGTTATAGATATGAGCTCAGTAAGTTTCAAGCTACACCAAGGACATTAATAAACCAATCATCTTTGCATAGCTTTGATATTAAAGTGATGGTAATAAAATTATTTTTGTTGCTGTGGCTATTCTATGAGCTATTGCCATTTATTATATACTGTTAACCTTTTAAGTTGCTATGTTGTCAGTCCATAACAAGGACTTGTTGTAACTTTCATTCAGAAATTTACATGAGAGAGAAACACAGAGGAAGAAGCGAAATCTATCATGCTGGAAGTCCTTCAAGTTGAAGATTGGAATGGTATGTTTAAGTTCCACCAAAGAGATATCTTTTTACTTTCATGGATTTATCCTATTTCTTATAAAAAACGCATTTCTTCTCTTGAATTACTTTATGCAATGTTTACAGCAATGCTTTTCAAAGCCTCTGGTGATTGGAGTACCGTGAGGCACTAGGGGGCAATGCCCCCTCTTTGCAAGCATGACAAGAACTTCAAGGGCTTCAATATCTTCAATCTGTAATTAACCCTTGCCTCCTGCTTTTATACTTACTAATATTCCCTACTAATAATAATTAAAACTTTGCTTTCTTGCATTAAGTGAAGAGGAGGATGCCCAAAGACCTTGTACATGCTAAGATTGCTGATTTATTTATTGATTGAAGCTACTTCAACAAGAAGCAGAGTACCATTTAAAAGGAGGCTGAGTCAATTTGTTGATCATTGCGAAATCTTATCATGGTTTCTGCTGTGCTATTGTTTATCTGTCCAAAAAAGACCTATACAGTCTATTTAACCTCGCTAATTTTTCTTCGCCTTTTAGTCCTGGGCTTTGATGAAAATGCGATTAAATGAATTCTTCGGTTCTCTTGAATTATGGCGAGGGCCTTTGAAAGAAGTCGAAGGTATGTCATAATTTATTCATCCCAGTGCCTTGTTCTAACCATTTAGAAAGACCACAACTATTTCAGATAACTTTTGTGATAATTCTTCGTCGTGGTTTGTCCTTGTTTTACTTCTTCAGTCTAATTAACCGCAGCTTTCCTATATCTGTTATCACATACCTTCATATAATGCTTGAAAGCGACCTGCTCTCGCTCTAAGCATTTTTCTGTTTCTTCCCAAAACGTCTGTATTAAATATTAGTGTAGAAAAACAAACACTGCAACCAATTCAATGTTTTTTCGCTTCTCTTTGTTCCATTTTCTCGTCACTTGTAGGTTTTTGGACATTTTTTTCTCTTTCTTGCCTTCAAAATTAGCATTTTGCTTGTTTTTTTTAAATTTTAATGCTAGAAAGCGAGCGAAAGTTTGTTACTCTACCCGTTTCAATGCTTCATCAAGAATGATTTCCTTAAGGGTAAACTCCTCGACTGGCCGTTTTGAATTTTGATCAATGCTTCTTGCCGTTTAACTGTGCTAAAATAAGATCAAAGGCAGTATTTATAAGCTTTCCTTTACTTATATTTACCTAGAATACTTTTTATTAATCGCTGAAGATTTTCTATCTGAAAGATGTGCAAATTCGGTGCAAACTTATTTTAGCTCTACATATTTTAATCTACAAAAGGTTTATACATTACTTCACCCCCAAGTTAAAGTTAATTATTTTGTGTAAGGGAACGTGCTGCAGTTCATGCTCGATTTTTGACTCAGAATTACTGCCCTTCGGTTATGTGAATCTCGAAAACTTCTACCGTGAGGTTGGTACGCCGTAAAGCCCCCCCTCCCCCGGTTGGTGGCAACAACATTGTTTAGGCTTAGTCCACAATTGTAAAAAAAATGTTCTTGAGCGATGCGTCATCTTGTTTAAAGATACTCGAATGTCCGAATGTCCCCCTTCAGGGATTTATCAAATTACCCCCCCCCCCTCCTTAACTTGGAAACCTCTTTCATACTAATCAGATTACTTGCTACTGCAATTCCTTCCCGTTATACTTTGGTCAACAAACCAACTATAAAATTAAACTTACTTCGATTTAGCTGTTATGTCGTGTTCAGTTTCCAGTGCAAACTTTTCTAAGGAATATCATCCAAATATTTTCTCTTTTAAGCGTTAAAAATGCGTGATTCCATTTTCCGAACATTTTGAAAGTAAAATGTAGTAGTTTGGAAATTCAGTAGTCTTTGCATCTTGTTATTAGTAGTTGTGACTTCAATCTCTTTAGTTTATCTAAAATTTACTTTTTATTGTAGGTGAATTTGGAAACGGCGTGCTCTCCTATTTCCTGTTTTTGAAATCACTTCTACTTTTGAATGTTATTATTTTCGTATTGGTGTTCAGTTTCCTGACAGTGCCGCAGATTTTAAAAGAGGGAAACACCTTAAAGGAGAGCAATGAGACAGTTTCAACTACAAGTCCAAACGTAACTTTACCAAGTAATGGCTCCTCCTTCAGTCCGCTCACAGGTGGCACGTGTTCTGTCCCGTTGTATAACTCGTCGGGCAAAAGTGTTCAAGACCATATTGTAGATTTTATCACTGGTCAGGTAGGGCTCAAAGCTTGTTTACGTTTCAATTTTCGAGTTTAATTTGCCCTAGGCTACTCCACTTATTACTTCTCATTAATTCCTTTGCAATTCCTCTTTTAACGCCCTTCGGCTTGATGAAAATTCCCAAGAAGGGACATTGAATAGATAGTGGCCTTAAAAAGAGGGGATGTTTATAAATTGGTTAAACAATGAACCAATTCACTTTTTAATGTTTGTCGTTGTTTGTCAGAAAGTCCATATCTGAAAAATGTTGAAAGGTTTGACGATTGACGTTTCCTGATTTTCTATTTTTATCCTCTTGAAGAAATGAATCCTACATATACTAATTAAAGTCCCCCTCAAGTCCCTAAATTGTCTAATAGAGGGACGTTAAACGTTGGACAATAGTTTAACTCAGCTGAACTCAAAGTAAGTGTATATAGAGGTTTAAAAGAGCATATATGTAGAATAAAGGATCTATCTTTAAGGATTTGGCTGCGAAAGTGACTTTTTTCAAGTTTTGGTATTAGCATCGTATTTAGACTTGTCTCATACATCGCGCCTGTTCCACAATAGATGCGATCTTTGTAATTCTTTTGAAGAAATTTGGGAAATGAATGGCGATTAATTTTAATGTTATATTAACCCTGAAAGTAAACCTCTGAAACATTGTCCCATCTCTAATTCAATGAAATTACTAATCAGTAGTTAACGTGTTTCCATTCTACCAAAAATTTGAAAGGCACTGACAGCGTTGGGTATAGGCAACCCTATCCCCCTTCGATTTTAATTCGCTGAGTTCCTTGGACTTCAATATTAAAGATATGGCGTCGATATTTTATACCAAAATAAACAAGAAGAATGCCCATTTTGCAAATTGGTTTAATTCAAAATGACATCGAAGCTTTGGGACCTCTGTATCTAGCAAACATTGCAATAAATGTCATTATGATATTTTCATCATACTTAACAATATATTTGTTTGCCCGTTGCATGATTTTGATAATTCATAATATTAGCTGTTTTAGTATAGTCTTACATTCTTCTCCCTGCAGGGTTATATCAGCTCAACCCTGATGTTTTATGGCACGTATTCCAACCAAACTCTCCAAAATACAGACATCAAGTATGATATGCCTCTTGCCTACATGCTGGTTGGAATCAGTTATTTGATCGTCAGCCTCATCATAATGGTCCATAAGTAAGTATATATTATCTTAATTCAAAACATCCAATAGCGTAGCCGGCGTGGTAATATGGGGGGGGGGGCGCAAGGCGAGTTGAGCAATAGAAAATGGGGGTCCACACCCTTTGCAACGCCAGAAAACACAATTTTTCAAAGAGACTTTGCCATTGGGGAAGGGGAAACTTCTGCCCCCTCTTGCCTCCCTCTCTCTACGCTACTGAGAACATCCTATTAAAGCACAGAACTTCAGTATCTCAGAAGCACAGTAGATTAAGTCTTTTTTTGGTTTTGCTTAAAGGTTAAGCATATTTTTTGCAATTTATCTGCATTTCCAAATGTCTGTTAGCAAAACAGTTGTTTAGGAAGTCCCATTTCAATATTTTTGTAATAATCCCCATAGAACCTTTGGTCCTACCTAGTTTTGTCCAACCGTATTAAACAGCCCTAATTTTGCTGCCTTTTGGTAACCGTAATATACTTTTGTATGTACTAATAATGTACTAATTTTCATCATTCCTCCCTGTTGTCGATTCAGATTACCTGAAGAAAATGAAAAATTGCCTCAAGAATGATCTTGTTAAAAAATGATTTAATTAGAAGCTGTTTGTAATTCAAATATTGTTAAGACATGTTTTTATCTTTTTAAGCTTTTCAACTGGGTTTACAGAAAGTGTAATTGAAAGTGGTGGACTGTTCTATTCATATTGCAATAAAATATTTGCCAGCTGGGATTACTGCATCACAAGCGAAAAAGCTGCTGTTTTGAAGAAGAAAAATGTTTTCCAAGATTTACAAGTAAAGAGAGCTTATTTTAATTTGTTTGGAAAATCTCTATTTACCTTCAGTTTTGTTATTGATTAACTAATTACTAAATTTCAGTGTGTAAGCGCTAAAATTTAACCATCGTTGATAAAGTGAAAATCTTTCACTTGTTCAATTAACAGTTCACGACTACTATTTACAGGGACGCAGGAGAGGGGAGTGAGGGGGCCAACCGCCCCTGTTGCCTTTGATAGGAGGGGCAAGGGGGGCCAAAGTGCCTTTTTCATAGAAGTGTCCTTGACAAGTAATTATAACAGATTCATATGAAATTTTGAAGTATTGCATTATTCATGACGACATTTCTCAAAATCTGTAAAGAAAGTTCTTATGCTAAAAGTTAGCCGAGTTTCAAGATACCTATAGACGATCGAAGCAAAATGACAGTTACAAAGACGCTTGCTCCTTGCTTGACGCTTGCTCCTTGGTTGTTCCTGCGTCCCTGCCTATTTAACCGTCCTTCTAAAAACCCTGCGCATAGATCTTTGCTTCCTTGTTCTCGTTCAGGTCTATTTCCCGTTTTTTAGGCTTTTTTATATATGTATTATCTTACAATTTTCATGATAATTAGCATCTATTTATACTTAGGTTGAAACTAAGCTTTTGTTTTGCCCATTGTCTGTAATCGAGGCCTCACGAGAAAAAGGCTATGAAGCATCTAGGAGCGTATAGTTAGTTGGTCTAAGTATCCCCCAAATTAGAGAGAGGAAATTCTTCTTACCTTTCGATCAGTAAGCCCTTTTTGAATCTTGGTTTTAGAACATGGTTTATAATTTTCCATCTTAACTTTCTGCCCAGGCTGAACTCGCTGAAGAAAAAAGAAGGGAGAAGGTTCAGAGTCGAACACGAGCTCAGAAATGTAAGATTTACACAATCAGAGGTGTCATCAACTTGCTGATAATGGGTTTCCTTGCGGGCAGCGTCTATGCAATCATCAAAACAGTCGAGATATCAGAGCAAGCTGTAGCGAGTGGGGTAAGATGAGCTCAATATTTGGCTTCTAAACTCCCGATGTCCTTTCAGAGGGTTAATTGCTACTTGGGCTGGAAGCACCTTCAGATCTGCAAATGCAAAACCATGTTTCAATATCTGTAGAATTGTAGCACTACTCTGAAACATGTTTGAGAACCTTAGTTCTTTTCCTAAGACTCGTCATAAGTGATCTTTTTACTTAGTTTAGTTTTTCATAGGTTAATAAAAATATCTTTCAACATGTATATTAGCAGACACATATATTTTCAATGCTAGCGAAACAGCCAAATTCATTTCTAACGATTAATTTAAATATTCTTGCAAACGATCGATTTTATGAGATTTATGATATAGCTGTAACGAGCAAGTATGTAGGAAAAACTCTGTTAGTCAGTCGAGGAATAGCCTTATTTTGTTTTAGGTCTTAATAAAATTCTAATATTTCGTTAATTTTGTCTCTTAGTAGACATTAAACCCTCTGTCTGCCATTCTTTATTTTCTGAAAGGCTTAATTTGTGTAGATACTTTACTTAAGTCACCTTATTTCATTTTTTAATTCTAGAGATTAGAATAGATTTGCGTTTCTTTTTGGCTCAAATCCCCGCTCAGTGTTTCAAATCCCTGCAATGAAATACGTCCATTGATTTCTTAGGTAGAAGTGCTTAAGAGGATAAATCCACACTGTGAGAAGGAATTAAATACTGTCGAAAAATAATTTAATCTCTTAGCTAAAATCTAAGGATTAATAATCACTGTTAGATTTTATTGAAAACTAAATTTAAAATTTGTTCGCTTTTCTAGGAAGCTGATCAATCAGATTTCAATGCTGTGATGAAAAAATGGGCATCTTCGCTCACAATCACTGCTTTAAACTTGGTTCTGCCACTTATATTTGAATATTTAACAGAAATGGAGGACTGGAGTCCACGTTTGGAAGTAGCACTTGTTCTCTGGAGGTATGATGACGTCATTTTTTCAAAATCAAAATGGCTTACAAATTACTTTGGATTTTATCATTGCTGATTGTTTGGGAAATCTGTTATACCTTGCCAAATTTTTTAAATATCGAACTGATTTGCATTTCAGAGGTATTTCGTGGTGTTATTTTTAGGTCAATGTAGTCAAAGGGAAAAAATCATGAAAAATGTTTTTTGTGACGTCATACTTTTATCATACTCTTATTCTGAAACATGCAGCCTGTTAATGATCTTGTAATTGTTTTCTATACGATTACTTACGCTATGAGCTTTTGGTTAATTGGTGAGCAGGGAGCTCCCAAAACAGCGTATATACAGGCGTTTTTATGTTTATAGAAAGAACATACTCTCTTTTCAAACTGAATATGTATGAGGTGCTGTTTCTTTTATTCCAGGTCTGTTTTGTTAAAGCTCGCTTCTGTTACTGTTTTGGTTATCACTCTCTACACAACTGCCAGTTATCGCACACAGGTCAGCAGTCTATGGTTGTTATAAGCTACCCCCGTGTTCTCATTCAACAAGGAAATTAGTTGGGCTACATCTTTGTTTGTTTAGGCCGATTAAACGCATATACATTCAGTACCAAAAATTTCGATGGGATTTATTTTCGGTGAAGCAGGGCAGCGACTGAAAATTAATTCCACCGAATTTTTTGAGACCAAAATTTCTTCTTTCCAAAATTTTCAAACGCTAGAAAAATCTCGTTTTACACCGATCCACTTTCAAAATAACAAAAAAATTAATTGATATGGTTTGAGTAGTACTATACGTCTGTTTGAGTATTACTAATACACATCAATTTTCAGTTTCTGGTTCTCCTTTATCATCAACAAATAAGATATCCAACTCATCTTCACTGTCTTTTCTTTTGCTCTCTACATTCAAGAAATTTGAGTTGACATTCTTGCCTACTCTTCAGTTCCATTTATTGACAATACAATATTCGATTTTTGTAACTTTTATGACTGCGCTGCAGATGATTCTATGTTGAAGATAGAAATAACTTCTTTACTCAACGAAATCATTTCTTTCCACCGAAATTTTTCAAGTTCTTGCTAAAATATACACCGAAATTTCAAAAATATGACCGAAATTTTTTCCGCCAAAATTTTCCACCGAAAATGAATCCACCGGAATTTTTTGCACCTGGTTTTTTGATACTTAATGTGTGGTTGCAATGATCGCTGATATCGCCAGGATCACACAAATCTATTAAAAATTCTCTCGACGCAACGATCGCTACCAAAAACAAATAGACAGTTTCCATCAAGACACAACGACCGCTGGTCACAAATTTGTGCGATCCTTGCCAAACCAGCGATCCCTGAGATCATGTGGAAAAAAAGAGCATGTTTTGACCAAAGACATGTTTCGAATCTTTAGGGGGCCCTAGGCCACTGTAAAACCCGCTTACAATTCTCTTTTTTTTAAACAGTGCTGGGAAAATTCGATCGGTGCACAGATGTACAACTTGATATGGATCGACTTGTTTGTTGTTGTATTTATCACCATATTTGCAGAAACATCTCGAAAGTAAGTCTTCATCCTGTCTGCCAATTAAATAACTGTGTTTGTGGGATGTGCAATGAACCATCATTGCACATCCCAGTGTGTCACCACCTCTCTCTCTCACTTCATGTAAATTAGATAGCTTTTGTGTTTGGAAATATGTGCTATTTGCCGTTGACTTGCTAAACTAATTATTATGAAAATATGATTCTTTCTCGAGAAGCATTATTTTGGCAGAGTATAGTCCTTTGAAAGTATAAAACATGGCGTCACCCGACAGCATTGTAAAATGCTCTTACCATCAATTTTTAAAGGTCTTTTCCACAATCATTGGCTGTGTGTCTTTTTCTGGGCTCTTTTGATCTAACTTGTCTTTTTAAAAACCAATCGTGAAACGGTGAATTTCCTTCTGTAATATCTAAAACTGTTTTTACTTCCCTTGTTGGGCACCCTATAATTCCTACAGATTTGAGAGCCTTTAATTTTTGGCATAGTGGCAAAATCATCCCACTGCTCTGTTGTTTGCTTCCGCGTTCTCTCCTCTGCCAATATCTTTTTACTTTCTGATTTAACATATTTTAATTTTGTAGATATGTCAGCTTGTATCTCAACTGTGGCTGTAATCTTGGAGAGAAAATAGGCCAACAAGAGTTTCAGATTCCAAAAAATGTTTTGGACTTGGTGTATGGGCAAGCTCTCATATGGTATGTTTTTATGGACTGTTACTTAGTAATAGCCAATGATTGGTATTCCCATTAAACCTTAGCACTTTAGACTTCTTTTGATTTTCTCATTACCATGTACCAAGCATTTGTGTTGATAATTTTTGGTTTTACGATTGAATATGATCGATTATTCTAGATTTCATTTTGCAGGATCGGCACATTCTTCGCCCCACTAATCCCGGCAATAGGAGTTTTAAAGTTGATTCTCGTATTTTACGTCAAGAAGGTAAGCCCCATATTTACTTCTCCAATCTCATACATATTTGCGTTTTTAGTTTGCGTGTTGTCGTATCTTTTCAACGAGCACTTTTCTCTCATTTTCTATTTGAAAAAACCAAGAAAAAAAAGTGATTTATATTTATTGCCTACTTTTCATATCATATTGAGAATATTCTAAAATTGAATCTCGTTACATCGGACCTTCAAGGGGCGTGAGGAAATGGTCCGACTACACAGGCCTATCCGGGGTACAACTTTTGAATTAAATAAGTTAAGATAGAAATTGAAAACCGCAGCTTGGTCCTCAAATTTCTCACAATTCTAGGGTTAACTATCACAGAGCATTTCTTATTTTTTCCAATTCTAATGAATTGCATAACCCCTTCAAATTATCTACCCCTTAGACCTCTAAATTCCCCTATTCTCCAAGCATCATGAATAATTATTACAAATGAAAAACTTTATTATTATTATAACACCTTTAGATCAGTTTGATGTTCAACTGCAAACCAGCCTCAAAACCTTATCAAGGATCCAGAAATAACTACTTCTTCACTCTGTTATTGTTGCTGACTTTTTTACTTTGTGTTCTTGGCGTCGGATGGGGATTAACACGGTTTGTTAAAAGTTCTTAAATCTTTTCTTAATTAATTTTCCTTCAAAAATGTTTCCTTGTACCTAAAGTAGGATTTGTTTTGTGTTAAAAACAGAACTAGTCAAAAATTATTTTCAGAAAAGATCTTTTAACTTAAAATGTTTCAATACATGACCCGTTGTTGTTAGAAATCACCATGCGAATTTAAAAGATTGGCCTACCGAAAAAAAGTTTCTTGATATGCATTTATAGAAGATTATTCGATTTATATTTTTGTGTTGACATTAGTTTATTCTTTTCATTAAGCATTCATATAAAACTTTTAGCTTACAAACAGGCTTTTCATATTTTATCTTCCTATTTTCTATATTTTGGCCTACTTCCAAATAAATAAAACTGTCGTTCTAGTTTTTTCAAGAGATAACCGCCCACTACCGTGCATTTTCTTTGTTTGCTATAAAGTGAGGGAGCTCTATACCGATAGGCAACTCAACATGCTTCTATGCTGATAAGATGATAATGTGCATTACCGTAGATCCTCGAATTAGCCCCCTGGGTGCTTATTTATTTTTGATATTTTTGGATGGGGGCTTATTCGAGGGGGGGGCTTATACGAGGGGGGGCTTATAGAATCATTGTTGACATTAAGAAGACATTATTAAAAGACCTCGTTTATTTTAGTAGAAATTTCTTTTTGAGCATTTAATTAATTACTACCAAAAGTATGAATTTGTTGTGATAATTCAATAAAACGCCATAGGCGACCTCAGATGGCAAAAATCATCAAATTGAGGAATACAATTTGAGAATTTACGGTAGCATTGGGGGTTTATTCAAGGGGGGCTTATTGACAATTTGTAGTTCTAGGGTGGGGGCTTATTCGAGGGGGGGGGGGCGATTCGAGGATTTACGGTACAGAAGAGGGACACTTTGTGTTGGCACGTGTCTACTACCGAAAATATGATTGGTTATAATGATATTCGACAAGCAAATGACCAATCAAATGCGGCGTTAACGAAACCAATGAAAATCACAGCTAGAATGTCTGGTGTTTGTCACGTGCCCAATCAATAATTTTTTCAATCTACAATAAAACCAACTGACATTTCCTCTGACAAGCATGCATTCTGTTTTTCAGAGTCACAACTTCAAATTGTGGACCATTTAGGTAATTTACTTTCAAATATCATATGGTTTTTGTTTAGACTCTCACTGTGTGAAATGTAAATTCTTTAAACTCATCCCTTCGAGAGAGTTTTCTCATGAACTCATGAAAGAGTTTCCTCATTTAATTAATTCCCTGTGTGCACTACTAACTTACTTATCTGCTTTGTATTTGTTCTGCAATGTTTATATTATTGAACTCCCTTTACATTGTTTATACTTTGGATTAATGTGAACTTGCAACAAATGTATGTATACAGTGGAATTTAGAATAAATTACTGAACTGAACTGAACTTCAGGGATTTTGGAATGAGTATTTTTTTGTCAAATGTAGGATGGGTTGTATTCTGTTGCTGTGTTGGGTTGTAATTTTTTTGGTATTGTTTTTATTTGTTTCGAAATAAAGTATAAATGTGTAAGAAAATTCTGATCTGGCTAGTCATTCATATGATTATTAACGATTTGATATTTTCTTCAACAGAAACTTTTTATGTCTTTCTGACAAAAAGATGTTTGATATCATATCACTGAGAATAAAGGATTGGCCGACTGTTTTGTCTGAAATAATGAATTTCGTGGAAACGCCTGCGTTTTTGGTTCCAGTTCTTATAATCATATGGTGAGTTTGTCTTTAATGTGCATCCATTCGCTTGTCTACTGGACTTACAACGGATAAGACTTAGCAATAAGATCTCCGAACAACGTAAAAGCCGCCTGAAGGATGCACCATAACACAGGACTCTTCCCATACAACTAAGGAGCGTTATTGTATACCCTTTGTGATTATTCAAAATCAAGGAACCAGTCAAACGTGCCAATACTTCTATCAACGTTCCTTCGATCCGCACCTTGATATAAACTTTTGCTTACCTTGGACCACTGTCCGACGTTTTAAACTCTAAGGAGTACCGGAAAAAAAATACTATAGTATGTAATGTTTCCGATTTCCTAGGTTCTGGTACGCAGAGTACCGCTCTCCTTGCTACCTTAAAACTTTTGTTAGGCCGAGGGGGGGGATGATTGTAAGGGACATTGTAGTGACAATGAAAATGCCTGCTGGTTTTAGAGAGGGATATTACCCTTGATAGTGTCCAAAATGCGAAATACCTTGGAACACAAGTAGATAACCACCTTAACTGGAAAGGTCATATCAAAGCTCTGTCAACAAAAAATCCAAGAGCAATTGGCTTTCTAACAATGCCAAATGTTTTTTAGCTCAGGACACCCGAAAGACACTTTATACTGGTATTGTTGGGCCCCACTTTAAACACTGCTGCGTAGTTTGGGGAAACTGTGGTGCAACCGAAAAGAACCGTTCGCAAGAACTTCAACATCGAGCAGCAAGGATAATTACAAATAGCAGCCTTGATGCTTATGATAGCCCACTGTTAGATACTCTTGGACTTAAAGCAATTCAGGATTTGATCAATAATGAAATTAACACTATGGTTTACAAGGCCCTAAATGGACTAGCACTAACATATATATCAGACTTATTTATAAGAAATTCAGAAAGGCGTTTGCGTGTTTACGCAATTCATATACAGACTTCCAACTACCTAAAAACTTCAATAATTGGCAAAAATGCTTTTCTTTAGAGGTTTACAGGCATGGAATGCCCTTCTTGTCAAAATTAAACATCTCTCTGCAGATTTCCAAAACCAAAAGAAAATAAAGCTGTAATTCTATTTTAATATTTATTGTAAATTAGTTTTGTATATTGCTAGATTTTAGCTTTGTTTTCAATGAATCTTGTAGACCAGCATTTGCTTAAGGGTTACCCTTCTTAATTTATTTGAACATGAAAAATAAAAAAAATTGTTCCGCTACATGTGTGAGAAGGATATTACACCCTGTGACATATTGAACAGAACGGTTCTGAGTTGCGATTCCGGGTTGCGATTCCGGGTTGCAATTCCGGGTTGCGATTCCGGGTTGCGATTCCGGGTTGCAACCGGTTTGCACGCAACTATTGGCTCTACCTATACCACAGTGAGCACAATATGACAATCCAGTAAAACAGTAATATTCATTAAAAAATATCATATTGTTTTTTCGCTCCTTATTTGCTAATTATGCACTGCCCCCTTTCAGTTTGCTGCTATATTACTTCCGGTCAATGACAACAGCTCACGAACGTATGATTGAAATGCTTAAAGACCAGCTTGTCATGGTAAGATACTCTTATTTCTTATTTTTTGCATGTCAACAACTTTTCCTCCACCAGTATGTATGAATGCTGAAAAGTTTTTGCACCACCAGCAGGTTTTACTTCGTCTCAGCACTTCTCGTTTTTTGTCATTAAGAAATGAAATATTGTGCGCTGGATAGCTAAATATCAAACTGGAAATATCAAACAACGAAAACCATACCCAAGGCCAGGTATTAAATCATATAATCGTGGGCTTATCCCTTCGAATACCTAAAACGAATGGAAATATCATTTCACCGCTTTTCGCTCCTTCAGATGCACAGAGGAGGATACAGATCATTTAAAGAGAATTAGGGAGACAGGCCGATACCTGTTCCTACCTCGACTGCCGATCTCCATTTACTTCGCCTTAAACTTTGCATTTTATATTTGTTTCTACCTAGCATCCAAATGTGGTTTTTAGAACAATAAGAAGCTGTGCATGTCGAGCGGTGTCCTAGCCCTGCCTCTCGATGTGACCACACCTCATGATTCCTATGCCTGGAATTGCAGAGAGCGGGCGACTCTCCTCACTCTTTGGGAAAGTTTGGTCATAGCAGGGACTCGTCCCCAGATCCCTGTAATCGTAATCCGGGACCCTAACCACTGAACCATCGTACAGTGTCGTTCTACATATTCAGCTGTTGTTCCATTTCAATATACAATGTCCTCATTACCTTCAATTTCCTTACATATTTGCATTTCGACTGAATTGTATCTTAATTTGTTTCCAGGAAGGAAGAGACAAAAGATTTTTAATGGAGAGACTTTTGACACTGACGAAAAAAACAGACGATGCTTCCCAAAACCACACCCTATTACCGTCAATGGGTAACAAATATTAGCCTGCAATGGCGAGCGTTGTAAATATAATAAATATTTCATTGCTCCTTAAAGGTGTATACAGTAATCTACTATGGGAGGATGACTTGTGAAGATTTGCTTCCCTGAAAACGGAGGGATTTTAACGTAGGTGGCCTCAAGATTTAGTTGCTATAAATGACATCTATGTGATTATAATGCAATGCATTTGGAATGGATGATGGAAGGCGGGAATGGCAAGGCTTGATCCGAGGGTGCAAAGCTTTTTAGATCATTGTCACCTTCATAGAATCCTTGATTTCGCACCCGGCCCCAACCCCTAGCATGTGCAAAATAGAGTACTGATAATGACAAAGTAGATGTCAATCCATCCTCCTCCGAGGTTGATATCTACCACTGTGAAGTCCTTTGGGCTATGTTATCTTTAGTGGGCCCTCGGTCATATTTTTTCTCCTTTCCGAGTTTGGCGATAAGGAAACCTTAAGAGGTTTTTTCGATTCAGACAAAACTACCAATCTTAAGGCTAAATATCTTGAGAAAGATGGTAATGAATCGTATTGTTGTATACAGTAGACATATGGAAGACATAAAAGTATGATTTCTGCGTCATTGGCCTCTTATTGCTAAGGTGGGGCCCTGACCCACCCTTCTTTGCTAGTTTTATTCTGTCAGAGGAGTACCTTGTCATCGATACCTACTGAAGTGTATCCAGTTTATACTTGTGTAAAATTTTTGATTCTGTAGAACCTATTTATACTGCTATTGGTAAACGTAGTGCATGGGGCAATTTTTCTTTTCGGCGGAGAAATCTTATTTTCTGTTTCTTTTACCCGTTTCTTTTTATTTTCATTTAGCTTCTTGCTGAAAAGTTATTGTTAATTTTCTGTTCATCAGATGAATCTTTTGCTATGTGTTAGAGTAATGTTTTTGGTATGTGTGTTAGATTTTAGCCATTGAACCTGAGCACAGGGCAACTCACGTAAATCCATTCGTTCCCAGAAATATGTAGTTCTGTCTCTAAGTCCCTTAAAAAACATCATGATAATAAACCTGAACAATTCAAGTGTTGGATGTTTATTTCTCAAGTTTGAGTGAAATTTGCTCGTTCAGTTTTACAATTTGCCATCAGAGGATTAATTTTGCTAGCCTCTTTTTACAATCAAAATCATTTAATCACCATAAATATATTATGTTGGTAATAGTCGATTTATTATATTAGAAATAATGAAGAAATGATTTGAATATGGCCGTGATTCATCTATGTGAGTGAATTTTTTCAAAAACCTGTGAGCTGCTCTGTTGCTCCTAAATTTATAAAGGCTTTATTTAGTAGACTTATTGTATTTCCTATACACATTTGAATCTTATTTGTCTTCGCTGTATGATAGATAGAAACGTTGCCAAGTGTTGAAATTTGTTGTATAATGTTATTGTGTTAGTTGTTATGGTAGTTTCCAAGTTTGCAAGTTATTTGCAAATTGTAAAAGTTTTCTAGGGTATGTGATGACTTTTAAATGTTTTATATATTGATTTTTGAAGAATATCTGATTATTGATATGATACTGTACTTTACTAACATGTTAACAATTGATTTTTCTTGATTAATAATTTATCAATCGATTTCCATCATGAGCTCTTTTCTTCGTCGTTTGGTTTCAACAGAGTTATCTTTGTGCAATTCATTTTACGTGGTGTATTCAGCTCTCTCCTTATATTTATCAATTTCAAATGTTCCTTATTGAGCAAAAAATACTAAGAAGCTTGTGATTTCACCAGTGAACCAATAGAAATTACTGGTTTCACGATTTAATTTGAATTCCTATTTCAAATTAAAAAAAAGTTGATTGACGTAAAATATTCTCGTTTTCATATCAGAAATTTTGCTCACAAACTTCTAATAGTCTGTCAAAAGCTTCATTTATCAAAACTCACTGAAATTTTTTGATTGTACCAGCATGAGCTTCGAATCTTTGATTGGTTGATAAGAAGGCAATTTGAAATGGATCAGGAAAGTAAGGCTGAATATAAAAAGTTTTGCAGGTATCTTGGCAAGTATGTAAACTACATGTGCTTGCGATAGAGGTTAGGCCTAGTAAAGAAAATACCAAGTTGATCAATCGACACAGGGGTTTTGGAATGAAATCGTTCATATAGATGTATTGGATAAATGTTATTGAGTATTCTTCCTCCCCACCCAACATTTCCGCTCATATTAGGGGCAAATTAAGACCAAAATTTGCAGTAAACAGTGTTGAAATGCAATTGTCAACTTTAGGATTTCAGAGAAAGTTCGCGACAAAAAATTGCCTCTACTTTTGTGAACAAGATTCAGTTAAAATCTTTGAAATCAATTTATCGTATCAAATTTTACACCCGGCGTTTGGAATGGATGGCACTAAAAACGATTAAAAGTGGCCTCTCTTGGCGTTTGGTTACAGTTTTCCGTTTTATGATTGGTTCGGACTTGAAAGTGTGTCTGTCGCATCAACCAATCAAAGATTTGAAGCTAATGCTGATTGAACCATATTTGGAACACAAAAGTGGAAAGTTACAGCAACAAAATGAAAATGGCTCTCCAATTCTAGCTGAGATGAAATTTCCCCAAATTATAGTTTCTTAATTTAGTTTATTGATGTTTCTCATGCTCTAATTTAATTATAATATCAGTTATATTTTGATACAAACCGTGAACCTTTCTGGTGAAAATTTTTTGGTCAAAACGAGGCAGCTCTGCTAAGAGGCACGGTTGAAGTAATGGCGGCAGATACGATTGTGAATTTCTCAGTGCTCTTTAAACTTTTTGATGAAGAGGTCTTGCGAGAAAAGCAAGTACAGTTGATGAAATTTGCAACAGAAATTGCAAATGGTTACATTTGGCAAAAAGATAAGTTTGGTTTACAACTTGAAATTTCGCCTTCGAAGTCAGGTAATATTTGTTCAATTTCCATCATCAAGTTACCGTAGAAATACATTTGCAAATGAAATGTGATGATCATTAGAATATAATTGACCATTTTCAGTATTGTAAATATTTTGATATGAAGCGTCAAATTGTGAAGATAGTTTCAATTCTCCGTTCCGGGTTGAGGTCATCGATTTTGATCTTGCTATCTTATCTACAGACCTTTCTCAAAAATGGACTCCAGATTTTAAATCTTCATCTTGAAATTAGTCTAGTTTAGACTGAAAACTTTATGTCTTTTGGACCGTTCGTTCGCGAGTTGCGTCAATTTGAACATTTAGATATTTCTGTAGAGTTGACCGGAATTAAGTTCTGTAGTGAAAAAATTTCACTACACACAGCGAGAAATTCCATTGATGAAGTGTAAGGAAAAGCTACATTTTGAAAGTGGGCTAATTCGCTATCTGACGGGCCAAACAACATGACATTTTCGACATAGACTAATTTTAACATTAAGATCCCAAATTTATGATCCATTTTTGGCAAATTTCAAGAAAGAAATACCTGGAACAGAGAATACCTTGGAAATTTTGATATTTACATAGCTCATATATGTAGATTCCAATATTACTTCATTAATATTATTTATAGATTTAATATAGCTAAAAGATTTAACATATATTAATTTTAACTAATACCCTTAATGCCCAATATAATAAACTCCTTAGTAAAAATATGGACCTGGCTTATAAGGGATTTTCTTGTATTGTCAAACTTGAAGATAGTAGAGCGGTGTCACCCTCTTGGTGAACTTTTTTATAATAAAACTGTTTAAGAATAATAAAGCTGTTATCAATGTATAAATATAATAAAAACCATTTCCCAGGCCATGCTGGGAATAAAATGGCAGGGGTGCAATGAATCGCACTCCTTGTGGTGCCAAGGCGTGCAATGGTGTGCTATTGCACCAAAGTACTTGATAATACAGTCAGCTGTGTATGGACTAGACTACATAATTTTATCGTAATAAAACATAAGACAAGGCTAGTCCAATCAATACATTTTATCAAACAAGCTTTATTAACGTCAAACCCAACATATTAAAGAGAAAAACATTAAGAATAAGGTAGGTTAATTAATATGTAATCCTGCAGTTTATAAACCCTTCTGGTCTGCTTCTCCTGACAATCTTGTTCTCAAAATTTAAGAATTCTAACTGTGTTTTCACCATAAAGAAAACTTATCTGCTGACTAGTGCTAGAACTAATTAAATGGTTAATTGCACGTTTATATTTTGTAAGAAAGCTACAGTAGCTAAATCCTCACAATTCAAAGTCTCTTAATTTTGGAACATTTTTGGCCACATTTTATTAATAAAAGTTTCTTAAGAGTTTTGTATTTGCATACAGATTAGAAAAATGCACATAAAGTAAACTGTATATAGAGGAATTGTGAGTCCTGAGAAAACGGGATTTTACTGATCGCACTTGCAAGATACACTCGTAAACCACAGTGTAATCTGGGTCAAATCATTTAAAGCTTAAAGATCAATAAGCCTGTTTAAATAAACAAAGCCTTACATGTGCCATGGGGTTGTAACTACAGTGGAATCCTGATATAACGAAATCTGAAGGGAACCAGAAAATAGTTTGTATATCGGGAGTTTGTTAAACCGAGAGATAACGTTTTTTGGGGGTCCTTTCGCAGTTCACGCCTAAAAAACCTGTGGTGGGCTTGTTTAGGCTATCTCCAACCTCTGTGCACATGTACAGCCATACATGTACCATTTAACTCAAAAAACCAATCTGAATTTAAATAATACAACTGGCTGGTCATTGAAAATGAAAATCTTAATGTTCCTTTTATAACTTGGGAGCAAGAGATTGGCAAAGCTGGTATCATTTCGCTCCTAGTTGGTGCCTGAATGATGTCTTCGATTACTTCACATTCTTACTTGTCTTTTTCTGCTTCTCCATCTGGGTCTCTCAATAAAGTTTTGTCGTCTCTCATTGCCAATGTCTCATATGTAAAAAAGTATTCAGTAGTGTCAATGTACTCATTTGCAGTAATTTCTGACGCAATCAAACTTTCATCTCGTGGTCCGAGTCTATCAGCCAGTACTTGAAATGTATCATTGGCATGTTTTGCCGATTATTAAAATGATTTCTCCCCAAGAGAAAGTGATAAATGAATACCGAAAATAAATAAACAAAAATAACAGATGAAAAATTGATGAAAGTTCGTTATATCAAGGGTAATTATGATGAAGGGACCTAAAAATGGTTTGTGATAACGAGAGTTCGTTATATCCGGGGTTTGTTATACCGAGAGAATTTGTAAGGAGTTTGTTAGGCAGAATCCAAGGGACCAGGCATTTAGTTTGTTATACCGGGAAGTTCGTTATATTGTGATTCTACTGCAGTTATTGCAAATGAGACAAGCGACCACAACCGCAAAGCAAGGATTATTGGCTTAAAAGGTCAAGCGATTTTCAGACCTCAACTCAAAACTTTGATAAAGAAATTATGGAAACCTTCGTTTACAGTGGTTTTTCGCCACTTTCAAAACTTCTGTTAGTTTTGAACATGGTATCATCGTGTGCCTTGAAAGTCCGGCTACTAGAATCTGAAGAAATCGAGAAATGGGTGTTTTCATCCAGAAAACGTTTACCATAACTTTAAGCAAATTAGAATATTCGCCAAATTTTCCGTCAAGTAGAAATCAAATAGAATCGATTGCGTGATTATCACCGTTAATCATAGTTGATTATGATAAAAAAGTTACATTAGATCATATTGGTCAATTTAGAATAAAGTGTTCAGATTACTTAAGGCGTGCGATAAACTGCACTTCTGAGCAATGGAAGGCATGTGCCAAGGCGTGGGCGTGCGATCGCACAACATTCCCAGCATGGCCTGATTTCCTAATAAATATGATATATACCAGCACCCAAGAAAATTACAATTTTTACAGACGTTAAAGATTAAAAAATTTTTGTGGATAATAAGTTCTTTAGTAACTAGTAAAATAACTAGAAAAACAAACCAAAAAGGTGAACAAAATTACTATCGGTTAATTCACTAATTAAGGTTTTTTTTCTCAACTGTTTTATCTAACCCCCTTGTTTCTTACTCCCCCTTGTTCTGAAACTGAATGACTTTGATCTCATGAATTTCTAAAAGCCAGTCAAAATGCTAGAGCAAGCAACAGGTGAGCCAAGAGGGCAATTTCCATTTCTAGCCAATGAGTAACAGGTGAACCAAGAGGGTGATATCCAGCCAATCAACATTGTTCTCCTAAAACACCTCCTGATTTGCTCCAACTTTTTATGGTTAAGGTAATCGTTTTTGATATGATATTTGGTTTTCCCTCCCTAAAAGAAAAACTATTAACAGACTCAGATTAAACTATACATCATTCGATGTACAAAAATGTGGTGATTCCATATCAAAATAAGTGGCAAAGATCGTAAACACTTACCGTAACTTTAGATCTCACACATCAAGACATTGTGTCAATGCAAAAAGGCTTCTTTATTAGCCATTCAAAACAATTTTTATTCAAACTAAAAAGAAACAAGAATTTCAAAGCAAAACTTTTGTGTTATGGAAAAATGAAACAAAGAAATAAAGGATTCTTATAAACTTGTTCAAGGTAAGCACTTGAAAAACTTGTCAGAATTATATTTCTTTGTAAAAGAGAATTCAGAAATGACCAACAACTGAAGAAAATATGTCAAAAGTTATTTTCACGTGCTTTCTTGAAAACTAGGCCCAGTCTACCTTCATTTACATTTTTACAAGGCATATCCAAATCATGCAGTTTCTTGGGAAGGCACCAAAAGGGCAACACTACTCTAGTTCTTCTTGGATTTGGGACAAAGCAAATCTTGTCCCACATAGACAGAAACAATGGAAGGCTACTTAACATGCTTGTCATTTATTTATATTTTAGCTGGTATCTTTGTTAACTTTATGATAACCTATAGCCAGAATTTACATTAAGACTGATTTAGGGATAACTTATTTTTCAGATATAAGATATTTTTTTATTTAACACTGTGTTGCAATTTGGAAGTCGTCTTGATCATTTGCAACTGCCTAATATTAATCTGACAAAATCAATAAATTGCTAACAGTTTATAAATGCATTGGAAATATCCCTTGATAATCCATTCTTAAGTCTTTAGAAATTAAAACTATTATTTAAAACATACGTTTTGTAGAAGTTGTAATATAAAGTTCCAATTCAAAAGTTGTTTACTTAAAAAGTTGCTAACTTTGATTTGAAAGTTATTTGCTTTTATAACACACAGAATTTGGAGTTTGCTTACCATGCTTTTTCAATCATATGTCTGGGCAAAACAAATGCAATAAAATATAAATTGCAACTTTTTTATCATATAAAATTTGATTTTTTGTTAATCTTGATATAAAGATAAATATTCCGTCTTTTGGTTTCATCTTGTTCTTTTTTATCTAATATAGACAGCATCATGCATGCTTTTAACCATCTTTTTGATGATCATTTACTGTATTGTGTTATTGCACATATATTTGTTTACTTCCTTTGATTTTTAGAATACTGTTTAAATGGCTCTGTTAACTGTGGTGATAATATCCAAGATGAATGGTTCATTGTATACATCCTGTTTCAAATCTCAAATAGTGATCACAGTCTTATGATAAGGTAACATTTTAATTCATATTCAAATTAATTTTTCATAGTAAATCATGACCATTTTCTAATTTTAAGAGGATCAGATTTTATCATGTCCCTCTTTTAGAAGGAGTTGATGTTTAAATGAATATACAAACTTAAGATGTCATGATGATGGCTTTGAAAAAAGCAAACATTTCAAACATACTTGAGCTTTTTGTCTGACACTCTTCAGAATATAAAACTGCAGAATATAGATTGAAAGCTCTAAGCTAGTAGATATATGTACCCAGTTGTGGATGGAAATAGGCCAATCATAACCGTGAGTACAAGTCTGTATAGGTTACCCATTCACTTTTGCTTGCATTTCGAAAATATTACCAATGAAATTCTAGGCAGAAAATTAACTCTTTCTTTCTACACAAGAGCAGCTTTTTCATTTTAATTTAGATAGATTTCAAAACTGCTAGATGGAAAAGCGACCAGGCTCTACCAATAATCCAAAATGTGTTGCCAAATTTAGTTTTTGGCACAATCTGGGATTTCCAGTATGATTTGTTCCAAGTCAATGCTTGACTCGGAACTAGACAAACAAAGAGATATCAGTCTGGAAAATGTCTATCTAGAGGATTGCTTTGCTACTTATATCAAGGAGATAATCACAAGTCTGCAAAAATGCTTGGTTTATTTAAAACTACCACAGATCGGTAACATTTCCTTGCAATTTGAAAGTCAGATTAAGCCGGCCATATACAAAATGTTTCTTTGCTGTTTATCCTTGGTACTAGGAAAAGTACTAGAATAGATACAGTACTAAGAAAGCCTTTTCTACCACCCCAAAGAATTCCGTTATCTACAAGTTAAAGTGCTATTGTGATTCTAGTTACGTAGGACACACAACCCAATATTAGTAGCATAACTCTCCCCCAAAAGAGAATAGCCTCCTCGGTATTGCAGTTCAAAAACAACAACTAAAACATGATTCTGCTATCAGGCAGTATGTATTTGAAAAAAAGCTTGTGCCAAAGACTATGATGGCACAATAATAATGTTTGGGATTATTATTAGAGCCTGATCGTTGTCCCATCTAGCAGTTTTGAATTCTATCTAATATAAAGATGAAAAACCACTAGTGTGTATACAGGAGGAGTTTGTTTTCACTTGGTAACAATTGGTAACATTTTCAAAGGCAAGCAGGACTGATTGGGCAAGCCATTTAGTAATACGCTCCCGTTTTTGGTTGGCCTATTTAAATCCGCAGCTAATATATACTTCCAAGTTCAGAGTTTGCCATGTATGTTCTGAAGTTTTGTACTCCGAAAAGTGTCAGATGAAAAGTTTTAGTATGTTTCAAATTGTTTGCTTCTTACAAAGCCATTTTAAATTTTATACCACCAATAATGTAATAAGTAAAAAGTTACTGAAATAGAATACATTATTTACTGTCCGTAGAATCTTCATCAAGTTTCCTTTAGTCACAAATATGTGATTAACCTCCGTTTTAAGCTTTGCATGTTTTTTTTAGGATCTGGAGGGCTTTCTTCATTTTGTTTCATGTTGTTTATGCAGTTGGAAGGGTGATCACCCAACAGTTCTCTGTCATTTTAGAAAATTTCTTTACCATAAGGTCTTTTATCAAATGGATTTTTAAGGGTAATTGAAAATAGGACTTCATTTATAAATGCAAGAAAAATATGTTCTTGTAGTGGTGCGGATGTGGCTAGTCTGGTAACTTTGCTGTTAAACTCTCACTGTTTTGACTTAGGTGAAAAACATGATTTTTATGATCAATGTCTTATTGATGTTTGTAAAATGAAGATCTCTCTGGTAATAATGATTTCATGTTTAGTATTACAGATGACGATGGGCAGTTTCTTCTCATTGAAGCAGCTGATTACCTTCCAAACTGGCTGAATCCTGACACATCCGAGAATAGGGTAATGTTTATTTCTTATGTCAGTTTAACTAGCCTGAGCCCAAGTTCACAAATGCTGCTACATTTATGGACTGTGCAATATTGATAAATATTCTGTCAAGGCAGAGGGCTGGGTCTAGTTTTTCAATATAATTTATGCAATGAAACCATTGAAATCTTGCATGAAAAATACTTGAAGAAATATGCACTGAAACCAAACAGGACCTAGATAAAATTGTGCATGATGAATTTAAAATCTTACAAGGTTGGAACCGTTGACAATTTTAGCTAATTGCATAATTTTGAAGGGTTGCATAAATTATCACCAGATCCTGGTGGAAACTGTGGACAGGATATTTATCAATATTGCACAGTCCATTAATGTGACCGCATTTGTGGACTGGGGCACAAGCTTAGTTTAACCTGTAGCTTGAGTATCCATATTCTTCTGATTTCACCTGATTTATCGTCATTTGATTCTCAGAACTTTTTATGGGAACATTCTTCAAAATCAGCTGCAATAACGTTTTTTAGCATTTCCTCATCTACACGAGGGCTTGTGGTTATTTGACCCTTCTCCGGCAATATTTTAGAGGCCTCAGCTCTACCCCTAGCAACATTTTAGTGCAGAAGAGATTAAATTGAAGAACAGAAAAAGTATGTTTTCTCCAGTTAATTATCTGCAAATCAAAACAGGTTTTTTAAAATCGAAATCCTCTATCAAAGGGGCATTTTGATGTGTACTCGTCAACACTTTAGAGGTATCGTCATTCTTATTAGGTATCTTGAGTTATTCCATGAAAATGGAAAGGTCGACATCTATGCTTCGCTTTCCAAGTGTGTTATTCTGAAGCCATACACTCATTTTATTAGGAAGAAAGTTAAAGTATATTTATTTGATACCTTTGTTCAAATGGTCTGAAAAATAATATTGATAAATTCCTATAGAAGATTTGATACAGAAAATACGATGTAAAATGGAATTCTTTTTTCTACTTAGCTATTAAAAGCTAATTAAAAGCAAAATATTATCCTGGAAGTAACATTATATAGCTAGGCTTCGATGAGTTACACCCAACGTGTCAAACTACTGCTTGCATACGTCAAATGTATTGCCTCATCCTTCAATCGAAATTAAGTACAGAGATGTCTTTCTACATTTGGGATTCTTTTCCAAATTACTCTAATCTATAATTACACCGTGTCGAATCTATATCATTTGTGATTTAGGCCCTTTTTCAATTCCGATTTCCTTAAGATAAATCTCCTTTTTAGCTTGAGAGAATATTTCCTCAATAAAGGTCGGTTATTTTTGTCTACGAGATGAAACTGTCTCTACGAAGATTTTATTTAAACCACGTGATGTCTTTTATTTCCATCAAAATTATTTTACATATTTTTGTGATGATAGGCAGGTGTTTCACGTTTTAACAGAAGTTGTTTGGCTCATTTTGTTGTCATTTTTCCTACCACAAAATATCTTAATAAGAGGGAAATGATTGAAATGTAGCACTCATGCCTAAATATTTTTGTCCGACATTCCTCAGAGTATAAGGGTCGGATAATGTCCAAAAGTAAGCAGAAAATTTGTATCCAGTTGTGGATCGAAAACAAGGTGAGAGAAAGAGAAACACGTTTGCTTGGTTCTCCGTTTTCTGACCAATCGCGGCCACTAACCTTTCGCCTAGTTGAAGGGTCCAAGAGAGAAAATGCTCTTCCGTGCTATGTTAAAACTTCATGGTACCAAAGACTTATTTAATAGTAGAAATGTGGTATAATAACAGCCTTAATCTTGATTATTTGTTTATGTTCATTCATTTAGAAGGAAAAGTCCGCTAGTACATGCCCCATTTCCCTGCTTCTTTGCAGGTGCTCTTTCCGTGCTCTTCCAATTTCAATTTGCTGATCCGATTTCATCTTTCTGTAAATACATTTCTGTTAATTTATATTTCAGCTATCATTAATTCAGTTAGCCTAACTCGCAAAACTTGTGTTTGTCTCTCATCATTCAAAACTTTTACTACAAACCATTATAAAGTGGTCTAACTTCTGACTAAAATACTTCATTAGTTGATTTACGGTACTATCGTAAAACATTGCTACAAATATTGCCTTTCTTAAAAGAAACAAGATCTTATTGATGTACCGTATTCTCTCTTGTATTCCCGCTGTGGGTTTATTGATTGAGTATCCTATTTTAATGCGGGATTTTTAGAGAGGCGCGATTATCAGAGAGCTGAGATTAATTTTTCAACGTACTTATTTTTAGTGGGCTCAAATTATCAACACGTTCTTCTCTTTTTGGCGTGGCATGTAATCCTGTTCTCCATGTTCTCCTTTGCATGTAAATTGCGAAGAGCGTTGACAAAAGTTGGTAGGAAAATCGACGCTCACTGGCTCCAACATTATTCACCCTTGATGTTACCAAATAAGAACGACAAGACACTACGGTGCATGTCTGTTAATCATTCAAAATCAAAACTCCAAACACATTTGCAATCCATTCGATTTCTTTCTTTAATCAAACTTGCATGCGTGATTATTGCGATGCGGGATTAATAGAAAAGAGAGGCAGGAGTAGTAGAAAGGGCGGGAATGCAAGTGAGAATACGGTATTTATTTTGTGATATACGGGAATACGGAAATACAAGAGATTGAAAAATCTTAGTATTAAACACGCATTTAACGCACAATTTGGTTGTTTTTCTAGGTTTACATCCACAAAGGTCAATTACATGTGATTCCTTTCCCATCAAACCCTGCAGAAGTTACCATGTTTCCTACTGGGAAACCCTCCATTCAAGAAGCTATTCGGATAATTTTTGGTGATCATGGCATAGAAGTTAACTCTAGGATTCAGAACTCCATTGATGCTAAAATTAACAGGTTAGGATTTTTATGTAAATGGTCTTATTTTCTATTCTCATCGCGTTGCGGTGTTCTTTATACACTACTACTAATTTTCTATGTTTGTCTCAAATGTGATATTCATTTTGCTAAAATCAAATTACTAGAATTTTTATGTACCAAGATTACGTTCCTTTCTTTAACTTGACTTGTGATGATTATATATGGTCGTTCATTCGCTCGAATCGTCAATGAGAAACACAACCACAGGAATACCTCGAATTCGGTATATTCTTTTTAACATACACGGGCTTTTCAACTTGATAACGCAGATATGATGTGTAGTTTGCGTGAGTCAGTTGCAAAGTAAGAAACTTCACACCAGCAATGATTAATGTGTTTTCCATGATAATGTGACGCTTCACTAAAATGTTGGCAAGAAATCATCGGTGAATTCGAATAATCTATTCATTAATATTTCATAGTTTAGGCACATTTTTGACTAACTCAAGGCCGTCAGAAGGAGGGAGCGGCTGGGGGCCTGAGCCTTCCAATAATTGTCAAACAGTGGTATATTTCCTTTATAACAGTGTACTGAAAGGGCAGCTATACAATGGGCAACCCCTCTCCCATATGATTTCGTTCCGACGAAACTGCGACTGGAACTGCAAACTAATTCAACTAGATGCTGAAGATCTTTCTGTTCCTCTCTCTGAAGTCACAAACAGCATTAATTTTTTGGAAGATACATTTCATTGAAACAGTAAATTGGCCTGTATTTCAAAAAGTTGTGTGCAAGCTTAAAGCGATTAGTGTGTTTACAATCTTATGAGAGAAGTTTGTTGCGGACGAATTTCTTGTCTTTAATAAAAAGCACTGCTATTTCAACTACTGACAGTACACAGCCGCAGACATTTTAAAAGTCTTTAACTGCACACATAAAGACGCACTTTTTTCTTATGCTCCTGTGCATTATTGCGCTTATACGGCATTTCTACTTATTTCAAGAGTTTATGCAAGAACTTTTGAAAACTGAAAATGTATACTTTTGGACGTACCTCAATGGTTAGTGCTGGGTCTTGTTCTTTTCGATTTTGACAAGATTTTTCAATCCTGCATTTTAACAAGCAAGCTTGCTGCATTACATTAACAACCAACGAGACTACGGAACTAATAAAAAAGTCAGAAAACTTCAAGCATTTCATTTGAAAAGATAGAACAAGCAGAATTCACAATTTCAATTCTTTTTTATCACGGCCTAGAGCTTTAGGATCGAAATCTTTGGGTTGAATCTCAGTAACGTGACCACCATCTCTTGTCTGACCCTCTGACAGACATCTGGCCCTCTGACAGACCTTTGACCCTCTAACAGACCTCTGACCCTCTGACAGACTTCTGACCCTCTGACAGACTTCTGACCCTCTGACAGACATCTGGCCCTCTGACAGACCTTTGACCCTCTAACAGACTTCTGACCCTCTGGCAGACACCTGACCCTCTGACAGACTTCTGACCCTCTGACAGACATCTGGCCCTCTGACAGACCTTTGACCCTCTAACAGACCTCTGACCCTCTGACAGACCTCTGACCCTCTGACAGACCTCTGACCCTCTGACAGACTTCTGACCCTCTAACAGACCTCTGACTCTCTGACCCGCGTTTCAATTTTACTGTATCAAAATCTAGACTTTATGGAAAAGAATATGCCAGACTTTTATTTGAATGGATGATTAACAGGGGCCTAAAACGAATTGAAGTGAAAACCTAAGCTAAAGAGCCGATACTAAGGTAATGACCACCACGTCAGCTTCTATTGAAGCATCCTCTGTGTTGATAAGTCATAACAGGGGCGCTAGCATTCCAGTTGGACCAGGCATCTAAGTACAAGTGGAAGCCCAATGGTGTGGCTGCTTGTAGTTCAGGTCATTAGGCTCAAATCGGTGAATTCCAGATAAGCTTCAGCAATGAGTAACAACACTGAGCTCCTTTTCTGTGGAATGGATTAGTGATAAAACCAAACTTAGAGCAAAAATCAGTTTGCTATTTTGAATTTTTGCTTCGTTTAGTCTCCTTTCACAAATAAGGTAATGATAAAATCGCTGATAAAGACATGTCATTTCGTCGAACAATGTATTAGCTCTTTGTTAGCTTTTTTAAGAAATGTCGCTTATATGATTCATTAGTCAGAAAATTGGGACCAGTTCCTGTATTTTTTCGATTAATGATGCTATGAGCAATGAAGAGCAGGATAGATATTTTTAAATAGTATAGTTTTGTTAGAACAGAATTAGATGGAATAGTTTTATTAACTAAAGTTCTAGTTTTTAAGGTGCAAAAATACTGTCAATTCTTTATATTTTCATTATACAATTCACAGAAAGGATTTTCGATGTATGAATCTGCAACATTTTTCTGTTTGATTGCAGATTTGACTCGAGTTTTTCTATTTTACAGGTTTGATAATGGATTTTCTCACTTACTTCACAATGCCCATTGTCTCTTGCCACCAAATTTGGCGTGTATTCTTAAAAAGGACCCTTCTGTGGCAAACAGGATATCGGATATGCTTGAGCAGTATGTAACTGCAAATTTCGGTAAACGGGTTAGTTGAACATTTTTTTACATATCACCCATTTTGCGTTTGTTTTTCAACAAGCCAAGGAGGCAGGAGTTAGGAGGCTTGAACTCAGCTTACAAGGCATCGCCCACAAATATACTGATTTCTTATATTCTGCAAACTTTCGTCTGCAGATTCAAAAGCTTTCCTTTCACACGTCTCAAAATACTGATGGAAACCTTTCTTTTTAAATTTCAGTTAACCTACGAATACAAATCTCTCTGTTCCACATACATTTTCTAGCTGACTAGCCAGTTTTTACAAAATATAACTATTTCAATCAAGCAAAATATCAACAACAAAATCTAAATTAAAGACGTTGTAAATTTGGACTTTTCCAATATTCTATCTGTTGATAATGAGTACATGCTCGAAACGTCGTGTTTTTAATAACCTATTTCATGTTAGTCTTAGTTAATTCGCTCATTATATTGTCGTTACAGTTTATCCTACTTTCTTATATACCTTGATTAACAAGAGCACTGAAGCAAGTGATTCAAAACTGAGTACATTTGTGTTTGCCATGATAATAATAATGATAATACTAATTTATTTATGTTGCATGGCATTAAGAAACCGTAACCTTTTGATTCTTTCTAACTGGGAAGCAGAAATAATCTACTGGTCGAAGCTTGACACATCAGCAGAAGAGATCAAAGTTTTCTTATTTATCTCTATACTATTGTCCATACTATTTTTATTGAATTTCGTACGTTTTGGGGACCTCTAAAAACGATAAATCTACTTTCATTCAAATTTAAGTTTTCTATCGATAAACCAGCCCCTACAACCCCAGACTGGGCAACTTAGGAGTGATTTTAATGACATCTTAAATTCTACAACTGATTTGCTACAAGACACCATTTTAGAAATGCTATTGATTTTGAATACAACTTGTTTCCTTTTTACAATTTTTTGACATTGAATTTGCATGGTCATCTTATTGACTTACTCTTTATTATTTTCAGAGGAAAAGCGTTGGCAAGTTTGAATTCAAAGACTGGATTATATCAAGGGTAATCTCTCTGCTTATCGACATTTCAATCATCCAAAAGTCATATATCAAACCTTGATATCAAAATATGCATTTGCATTCGGTTATTTTGTTAAGCCCATTTATCATCAAGACTTTACCTTTATAACTCTTATACTTTTAGAATCACACACTGGCTGTTAACAAAATTTGTATCGTTAGTTTTCGTCACATTCATGACCAGTGAAATATTTGATTTGCTACATTTTCTGACAACAATAAAACACACGACAGCCAGATCTGAATTTTATCATTTACAAAAATTTGAAAATTCGATTTGACTTTTAGGTTGAAGAAATAAAATTTTGAATAATGTCGTTTCGTTTTGAGTCAATTATTTAAAGATTGATGTGCCATTTTGAATTAGGCCTAAGTCTCAGATGTGTCAGTTGAGGCTGTGGTTTTCAACGAATCCGATCTCCCTGTATTACATTCCGCATTGTAAAGCAGAAATGCTAAACGGATCTATTATTAATATCTGAAACTGGTTTCATATTCTCTGCAAAGGCTTCATGCGCTTAATTTTCCCTCACCAAAGGTTTGCTTCACAAAATATACATATGCGAAGCTGCTGCATACAAATATAGAAAACAAAGGATTTGTAGCAGAAATGCAAAGTGGCAGGAAAGGTGCTTCACATAAAGCATGTGACCTGGGGTCGAAACTTGTAAGCATTCGTTATGTTACTAAAATTTATATTTTACAAATGTTTACCAATAATAAGTAGTATTTTTTCTGCCAAAATCCGAGGCGACAGAAATTTGTATGTGTTAAGTTAAGGAAATTGTGAATGAAGCAAGAATTAGGAAAAAATTAAGCAAGAATTAGAAACGAATTAAACAAATTACAAAAAGTCGCATAATTAGATTATCGATGTAAAAAATACTTTTTGCGAACATTTTTGATGGTATAAAGTTTAAAAGTGGCTTTGAACAAACCAGAAATTTAATGTAAGCCAACATGCAAAAATAACTTATCTGGAGCAAATATCTGCATTGATTGCAACTAGGCCTGTCCACCGAAGGTCGAATAATCGGTATTCGGTTACCTGTTTCACTATTCGGTTAGCTGAAGTCCAAAGCGAATATTCGGTTACAAGCGAATAGTTCCAATAGTACGATTATTCGGTTACAAACGAATAGTTCGAATAGTACGATTATTCGGTTGGAGACGAATAGTGCGAATAACCTCACTGTTGGAGGTCCACAATGATTGTTTGGATAGCCGTGACTCATCGAATAGCGTTGACTATTCGAATAACCGTGACTGATCGAATAGCTGTGACTATCCGAATAACCGTGACTGATCGAATAGCTGTGACTATTCGAATAACCGTGACTGATCGAATAGCCGTGACTGATCGAATAGCTGTGACTATTCGAATAACCGTGACTGATCGAATAGCATTGACTGGTCGAATAGCAAGGATTGCTCTAAAAGGGAAAGGCAACTTCCTATCTTCAATCTTCGAGAAAGTTTCATGGATACGGGCCTTCTTCAAAAATCGCAAACCCAAGAAATATTTACAAAGCGAATAAAGCAAGATTGGAGGGGGCAGGGGGAGTGGAGCCTGGGTTGCAGGTGGGGGTCATGGGGCTTTTTCAGGGCCTCAGACGAAGGGTGGCCGGGGGGCTATGGCCCTATCACTATTTTGCAGAATAATATAACTTTTCACAAAATCTTCTGTTGTGAGTGTTAAATTTTCTCTTGCCCCCCCCCCTTTCTCCACTTCCCAACCTGTGTCGAAGCCCATGCTAGAAAGCTTTTCATTTCACAAAATGTTGGAAAACGATCCTATTTGAAGACTTACGACTATAGTTTCTCGTCAATTTGATACTGACTTTCTGGCCATTAGGGGTGACTAATGCTAGGGAAGGCTCAAGAAAACATTTATTTTTGACAAAAAATCGTTTTAAAAATTACTTTGTAGCACACCCTTTGACGTTACGTAAAACACAGGAAATATCAATAGGAAAACAAAAAATTAATGGTTCTAACTTATCGAATAGTAATGACTGATTAGCTATATTCACAGCTTGGTTAAATTACAATAAATTTTCAGATTGCAGTTTTTTACCACCACCCTGCCACACCCATTTTGCCACACCCATATTCGCCGAATAACCGAATATTCGTTAAATTTTAAGCCGAATAACCGAATAGGAATATCTGAAGGTTTGGACAGCCCTAATTGCAACCTTGATCTGCAGCTGGTTATCTTGCTGGTGTTCAATAACAATTGCTTTAATGCATTGATACATGAAAGCCCATTAATGCAATTTCTTTTGCTTTTCGATTCCCGTTACGAGCTACCCAGTAACTTCCATGTAAAACCAAGGCAATTTAGACGGCTTCTGATACTGCTGCTGCCATCCTCTTTGTCTCATTTCATGTTATTACCCTTAGTCATAGTACCCAAGATCCAGCAAACAGGGCTCTGCTGTGTCTCTTTCTTTGTGTCACCTATTTCCCCTTTTCTTCGTGTCTGTTTATTGATAACAAAATATATTTTACTTGTTGTAGGCCTTTGGATTCGAGTTGTTACGTAAAGAAATCAATAAAACAGAGGTGCCCAATCAGGTGTGTTCATTTGTTCTTTTTGTCGATGCCTTGTGATTTTATTTCTTTAAAGTTTTTTCCAGACGCAAGATTTATGTTATGAAATACTAGATTTTTACTTGATGATGTTACTATGATAGTTTTACAAGGCTAGCCGAATAAGCCCTTTTTCGTTTCTTTTTCCTCTTTTAGTATCTTGTTAGTCAAAACAAGCATTTTTCTCTGATTTCTGTTTAGGACCTCTTTAATATCAAAGCTTAATAGCTTAATCTAATTTATTTAAAAATTTATCAATTATATTTAAGGTTTTATTCAGTATCTAAAATCAGATATCACCGTTCTCTGTTTTACCCGCTATTTCTTGTTCTACCCCAGGACATTTGTCAAGCCGAAGAAAAATGGTTGAAATATGAAACATCTTTGAAAAACCTTGGATATTTTAAGGTAACATGATCCAAACTAACATGGTACAAAATATTACTGTTATTCTTTTTCTTTTCCTTTTATAAATAACTTTTTTCTATTGTCTGCTGAGCCGCCTTCCGAATCGATTCTAGGGCGAAATCGAGGGATCTACGAGATGGCGACAGCTCTTTCGTGAAGCCAAAGACTATTTTTATGCGACGTTGCCAGATGACGATCAGTAAGTCAATTCTTTTTCTGTTCTTTTCTTTTTGGTTCTTTTCTTTTCTGTTCTCCGTTTTGGTGTTTGAAAGCTAACCGAACACTAGGTTTTGAAGCAGCACATATCAGGGGAAGCGTACGTTCTAAGTCAATTAAGGATTTTTTTCAACTAATATTAAGAATTGTAGAAGTGTTAACTGTCTACTGCAGATAAAAATGGTTTATTTTCCAACGCTGCCAATACATTTAATAATCAACCACATTAAAAAGGCACGGTTGTATTCTTTGGTCAGTTATTCTCATGCAAAGATATACTTAATGCTTAACCCATCAGTCTAAGAATACGTAAAGTCAATCACGAATGATTCTTTACATAACCTAGTATAGAATTTCTAGAATCTATTCTTAACGCAGGAGATTTTCAGTTGCATAATTTTTCAGCGCATTGTATCCTGTTCTGGTAAAAGTGAATGATTTTTTAAGCAATTGAATTATCTTCTTGATTTTACGTCATTTGCACCCTAGAAAGAATGTCTGGCAAAGCAGAAACTTGCGAAAATTATTGGAAGACTCAAAAAAAGAAGTTTATAGCGAGGAAGAGACTTTGCCTGAAGACGGTAATTTCTTTTCTGATAACTGTGTCATTGATGAGTGACGATTCTTAAAACATCACTGATCATTGATGATCGAACGCTTTAAAACAATACTAAACGCTGGCACTTGATAGCTTTGAAATTGCATTGATCTCTGATGATTCATCGCTTTATAACATCACTGATCACTGACGATTGATCGCTTTAAAGCTCCACCGATCATTGACAATTGATCGCTTTAAAACATCACTGATCATTGACGATTGATCACTTTAAAACATCCCCGATCTCTGACAATTGATCGTTTTTGAAAGCTTTAAAACATGTAATTTTTAGCTTCCGACTCTCTATTCTGTTGATTTCGATTACAGATGATTCTTGGCTCGAGTTGTCTTTAGATGATGTTGACAAACTGTTACGGGGATATCATCAAGCAACAACAAGCGAGGTAATTATATCAAACTTGTCTAATTATCAACAAAAGGTGGTAATTATTGCAGTTTCAAGTTTCAACTAAACAGTTCCCAACCAATACAAGCTTTCTACAGCGGATTCACCAACATTGAAATGAAATGTTTTATTTAAACTTTCTACCACTAACACCTTTAGTGCATTAAAAACATAGATGTTTTAGTTTATGTTGATAGCGGGCCGAGTATAAAACCACGCCCTAAACGTTATACAGGATGATATTGAGTGAGCAAAGGATGCTTTTCCATCCCAGCTTTTTCACAAGATACAGGAAAGAAAGCTTTTTCACCATTGCTAGCTGGAGCCCTTAGCGAAATGTGATGTAAATAGCATGCTATTTTATGCATTATGTGGTGCATTCTGCTGGATATGATTTTGATTCTTCTTCCGTAAACTTCTCCAACAAATTCAGAAAGTGGCCTACAGTTACTGTACTCGCTGTTAAACCATGCCCTCGGGGTTTTGATTTCATGTTGTTATGTCAAGAAGTTGATAACACAAAGATATCTTCTCATTGAAGTGTTCTTAATATTTTGAAATTGAACCATTTTTAAGGATCATACTATTATTTTGATATTCAAGCTAACTAGTCTGTCGATGCAACTAGCAGTGGGTGCTATTATTCCCCATATGTTTTAGAATAATGCCCCAAACTTTTTTTCATATTGAATATGACTGAGTGACAAGTTCCTCCCTAGGACCTCAATACAAAACTGGACGATGTTGCCCAAAACATGCGAAGGTTTGTTGGCAAGATGTCTGATTACGAGGGCGTTGAGACAGCCGAGGACAACGTTGACTTCGACCCATCCTCAATCATCGAAGAACTCAAGAAGATAATGGGTAACTTTGATTTCATGTTGCTTTCTATTAACTAATTGTGCCGTAAAACCACGAGGTTGCAATTTCATCTGCCCAAAATAGCGTTTGACCACCAGCTCGATAACCTGATCAATGATTAAGAACAGTTTTAGGTTCTTTGTTTGCCTTACATTTTTGCTACAAGCAAGTTATCCTGTCATCGTATGCCTTGTCAGATTTTGTCAATTTTTTTTCTTTAGATGGAAAAACAGAGAACAACAGAGATGAGGGAGATGATTTTTATGAAAGTGACTCAGGTTAGGAATTAATAAGATATAAGTGTTTTGATAGTTTCAGTAGAAATGTTTTTATAGAAATGAAATATTTGAAAGGACCTTCGCCAGCTCCACCGGGGGATGTGTTCGATAATAATGTTGGGAAGTAATAGACCAACAACAAGTTTTCGGCCACACGAACAAATAAGAAAAACGAATCGGGTTGGCAATAACTATTGAGGTGACTCAACTAAACTTTTTCGTAATTCTGAACTGTCCTGTATGTTTTTTTGTCAATTTAGGCCAGTTTCCAGTTGTTTACATTTTGGTTCTTGATGTTACTCTTAAACCCAGTTGCAGAAAGAGAGCTTCGCGAGAATTTGGTTTGAGTGCAGAAAATTTTTAGAACCATTTACTAATGCAAACTTTTCTCACACTTTAAGTCAAATTATCTTATTTTTGAAGCAAATTAATATTTAGCGAAAGCAGGGTGGGGGCACGAGTGCCATAGCACCACAAAACCAATTTTCAAATCATTTCCTAGTGATCTCATACAGCAGGAAACACAAACTTTACACCTTAACAAATTCAAGTGCAGCTGTTATGATGCTAATGGTAATTCGTCTTTCAACCAGACCAGTATTATTCTGATGATGAAAATGGCATTGATGATGACGAAATAGCTCAAATTGGTTCGTCGATGCAACAAGAGCTGCGAAATACAACATTAGCGAAAAGCTTTCAATCCAAATCCCAGGTACTTTTTCAGCTATCGTTTTATATATTGCTCCAGTTTCGAGGTTCATTCTAAGCTTCCTTTGATGGTCCTACTCTGTCGTTTGGACCTCGTTTATGTTCCTTAAGTACGTATCCGGCTGTTCAGCATTCGCTAGTGGCTGTAACTTTTACCCATACAAACGGATTCATGTCCTCTCTTAGAAAAGGTTGTAACAAATTCACCTTACGGCATTTTATCAAGGTATGAATAGAACGGTCTCACAACATTGCACAAGTAACTCATGATAATGTAGCTGGTAAATCACACAAGAAAAACGGTTTAGTTTAGTCTTTAGTAAACTACACATCCAGGTTGTTTCAATCAAATGTATTTTTGTCCACAGCAATAGAAGGTTGCTTTGTTATAAGCATATTGTTTTGATAGGCGACAAACATGACCTCTGTAGCTCAAGGAAGAAGAATCAGGAACCCTGGGGAATGTGGACAGTTTAGTACAATAGCGAATCGTGAATTTGTGTCTCCTGTTTTGCATGAGGTGCTTTGTCCTAGATGTAGTCAACCATCCGTTGCGTTGTTTCTGGTTGGCATTTGCTCTGTAGATGACCAGCTTCAGATCAACCTTAAGCTACATTTTATTTATTGAAATATTCTTTCAATGAATGAATTGATCACGGAAAACACCTTAAAATATGTTTCCTTTACAAAATTCCGACGAAAATTCATAATTGATTGGAGAACGAGTGCAAATTACAAGGTTAAAACTGAATATGATATATACCGAAGTTCTGTTGTGCACAAAATGTTCTGTACCTTTACGCGTTAGCATCTGAGACGGGAGTTAGTAATCCTTTTCTGGCTACTTTTTGTTTTCTTACTCAAAATGACCTTTTTTTTAGTCAAGAATAATAACTTTTTTTTAGACCGATGGCAATGGACCTATCGAAGACCAGTCACTGGACATTGATTTCAATTTAGTGAAAAACTTTTTAGAATCTGTTTCAGCGCAGGACAGTTCTGTTGGCCCTGTATCAAATCTGTTGTCATCACTAGGAATTTCGCTACCCTCTGATGACACTGTGTCAGGCCAATATGAAGAGTAGAATTTTCTATGAGTTTTTTAGTAAAAGAAGGTGTTTTTGATAAATGTACATAGCATTGAGTCTAGTTCGATATCTAAAACACGAAAATTACAGAATAGGATTATAGAAAAAATCAAGATTTGTTGATTACTACTTTAATTATTATTTAATTTCAATATGTCAAGTCAGTAGTAGAACTAATATAGTATAAAATGTTAAGATCTCAATCATACGAAGTTTTTGGATACTTGAAAAGCAGAGACAATCATTTGACAAAAATCTTCTAAATAGTTAAGAATTTCCAGATATTCACCAATTTCTGAGCCAATGCATAGATTTAGAATACATTCTTATTCGACTCCTAATTGTAACAATTTGTATTCATACATAGTTTTCTTAATATTTTTGTTGGCTACCTTGTTTATTATGCTCAAGACAGCAGCTTTGATGTCTTATCTTAATGTTTGATTAGCATTATAATGAATAGGCGATATTTAGTTGAAATAGTAAGATGTTCTTGGCAATCGGGACACAAGTTCGTTCTGGAGACCTAAAAAGTGTTGTTTTCTTATGTAGAAAAACTGGTATTTCTATCAAGTGGATAGGATAGGTATAATTTCTTTGTTTTTCGACCTGATTCAAGAAACGGCTGCAAATGGTCTTTCTAAATCAAATTTGCAAGCCTCCTAAATACTTATATACAAAGAATGCACCTCAGTTGATAGGTTAAGATTATAACAATTGTACGAGCTAATTCTTAACTTGAAAATACGTAATTATAAATCACAAACATTGAATAAATGTAGTTGAATCAAAAACTGTAAATGTTACCCATTGTTTGTTAGTTCAGACAACTTTGAAGTTGAGTGAAGCGTGCAATCCTGCTAGCTGCTTTGAGCTGAATGTTGCCAGCAAACTTCTTGTACCCGGCTTGGTCTAAAATTTGAAAGTTTGAATGTCAGTAGAAACAGTTTTCTATTCAATGTAGGTACGTGTAGACATTGTTTAAACATTACATTAAAGGAGTTGTCTAGTTTCCATACTGTTCGACCTGATAGTCATAAATAAGCATGATCAATAGTCATAAATTAGTATGATTAATTATTTCAAGTAAAGGGTTAGGGTAAGGGTAAGGGTAAGGGTAAAGGGTTAGGGTTAGGGTTAGGGTAAGGGTTAGGGTAAACTAATTACGTCATCAGGTCGAGCAGTATGAAAACTAGCCAGCTCCTTACATTGAGGGAGTTGATTTTAAAAAAGAAGTGAGCTTTTAAATATCAGGTAAAATGCCTCAATCATTGTTGTGATTTAATAATACATCATGCACCGGGTACTTACTTTTCATCAAGGTTTACATGAAACACTGAGTAATGATTGATAGAAATTGCCTTGCTACAGTATTGTTTAAACTTACATTTGGGGTGATCTTGATAGCCAGTTCTGAAGACTTTTTTCCACCAATGTTTCTGAAATGCAACAAATATGTGTTAGTTCATTGGAATGATAACTACAGGAAGTTTTTGAAGAATATCGTATTCATTATTATTTTTTTGGCTGTAAAAAACATATTTATTATTATGTCAAAAGCCTGTTTTCAATGCTTGCCTGATCTCTGTTGAAAATCTACCACCCCTCTTAATTTTCTATTTTCAAATGTAGAATTTGTAGTAAGCAGTACCTGTCTGAACTCTGCTGAAATTCTTCCTCCCTTCATTATTTTTTTGTTTTCAAAGTTTTCAATGGGTACTAAGTATTGCTTACCTGAATTCTGCTGAAATTCTTTCTTTCATCAGTGTGCCATCCAGATGAATCATTCCATTTTGCAAGGCAACGTCAAGAGGGTTTGCAAATTGAACCTTCAATGTGACTTCTTTATCTAATTCAACCTCGCTTGGAACATCTCTGAATACGAGTTCAGGCTTCCTTATTTCCACGATTTTGCTTGTTGTGCAGACCTGACGTGTCTCTTTTGCAGTGCATGTTATGAACAATCGAATCATGGAATACTCATTCAAGTGTCCCATGTACCCACTTGCTTTCAAATTGACTGTTATCTTCTTTTCTGTTTTTCAATTTTCGACAAAGAAAATAAACACATGAGATATTTACACAGTTTTATCTCGATACGCTTTTTCAAGCTTTTCTAAATCTTTTGTTGCATTGCTGTCACGTAAATAAGATCAAAATCCTACTTATATTTCATTGTTAGTTCCAAAAATATTTATAAGAGTATTCCATATTATAACTATTTCTATTATTTCATGAATCTTTCTTTATCTGGTTGCCAATTTTAATACTTGAGTGTGCTTGTTACCTGAGTCCCTTTAATCTATCATTCTCCTGTTGTAAATCAATGACTTTAGAAAGTAAAAGTTTGAGTTTATTTATATTGAATTATCCTCACCTTCCTGTGCACCGATCTTCTCATTGAGTCGTTTATATCCCAGCTCACCTTTCGACACCCCGTTGTACCTCACTATGTTTCCTCCGACTATAAGTTTAAGCGTGAGGTCTTGCTCCCCTGTGTTCTTCAAGAAAACATCGACATTAATGTCGTCGCCAATCTCAATATTAGACTCTTGTGGCCTCGCTTTCATTTCAAGTGTTTTTGGTGTGCTTCTCACATGCATGTTTCCTGCCTTGTCCATTGCTCTTCTCACTGTTGCTCTTTCCAGAACCGAGTTTTCAGGAAATTTGTACTCATTTGTTATGTCTTGTCTTGACCTCTTCCCAACAATTTTGGTACTTATTTTCTTGCCTGTAAAGTAGATATGGAATTCAAAATGGGAGAATTTGTACAACAACAGCCCTCATATTTAGATTACCTTATCAAAAATATCAAGAGATCTTATTTTTGTCTAGCATCTTATAACAAGGCCGAGGATTTGAAGGACTGCGTCGGCATGACAGCTTCGGGGAGTGGACCAAGTTTTTTTATAAAAGATGTCGAGCCTTGTATATAAGTTTCAGTGAGTTGCATGAATATGAAGCCATGATACTCTAAAGATTTTGAAAAAATAGCAGTTGGAAAAATGACAAGCAAAAGCTAGACTAGATACTGATGAAAACGCCTTCTTAAAACGATCAGTGAATAAAATGTAAAAGTGATGACGTCACGAAAATCTATTTTTAGAATTGCTTGATTTTGAACATATAGCCCGAAAGAACATCATAAAACATCCCTAAATGTGCATAATAATGTGCAAAAGCTGTAATTTGGCATCTTTACAGTAATCCGGCAGCAAATTTCAAACCTTTCATTGGCAATATCTCAGAAAATATGTCGCACATTTAGAGGCTTTTCATGGTTATTTCTGCTCATCTGGTCAAAATTGAACAATTCTAAAAACATATTTTGATGACGTCTTTATCGGTACGTTAATACAAAGCTCGAAATTTTCACCCCAAAATTTGGCGTAGTCTATGAAGGTACCATACATTCGTGGTTCTCAAGAATGATGTGTTGGGATTGACTTCAAAGATGGATGCGCGAGGTCTCTTTTGAGCATTGGGGTTAGCAGTTTATATATTTTTAGACAATTACTACAAAGAGACTGATGTTTTGTTCTATTGAGAATAGGCCAAGGCAGAAGATCAAGGAAAAGTATGTAAAACATTCCATAAATAAATATGTATTTTAGGCAGCAGTGATTTACGTTTTCAGGTAATCGAATCTAGACAAAGCCAAGTCTTACCAACGTGGGTTCTGTTTGCACGCACCACTTCCCATTTGCCATTCTCGTCCTTCTGATGATATAGCACGTCACTATTCACTTCAGCCAAAATGAATTTGCCATCGTGAGGGAAATCTACCTCGCCTTCTTTGATCGCTTTAAGACTGCATGGTCCACATTGATATTTGCCTTGAAATATGCATGATACATTTTTTTAATCAAATTCTCGATGTTCAAGAGGTTGTAAATCTTCATATGATAATACTTACATAAAGGTTTAACCGTGCTATGTAGAAGTATGTCCTGCTAGAATTTTACAGTTTAATTTTGTGTGCATTTCGAGACCAATTTTTCTCTGTTTTTAAGAAAATACTAGAAACGAAAAGGATTGGTTTTCGTGGCCAAACTAACGATTTAGAATCCAAGCTGGATAAAATGTTATCTATAAACATGGACTTGGTTTGATCAAGGCAAATCATTTAATGACTTGTATTTTGGCATTAGCTTGCCTGTGATTAAGTTTTCATAGACGCTGTTTTATTCCAAGTTCAAAGCCTATTCCCACTAAGTGTGACGTATCCACCGTTTTAATTTCTACGCTCTATTCTTCTTTTATTCACTTTATTTAATGTTGGTTTACACAATAATCATACACAGTGGCGTACTCAGGGGTGCAGTAGTGAGGGGATCTGGGGCGCAACCCCCCGAAATTTTTTTGAACCACGCCCTTCAAACACTCGCAAATGCGGGGAAACGCCCTTCCTGCAAAATTTTCCCCCATTATTTGATTCATGTTAGCTACGGTAAATAACAAAGTATTTTAAAAATGTTATTGACACAAGCATACAGTATACTACACCCCCCCCCCCCCCCCCCCAATGAGTTTTACATCGTTTTTAGACAAATCTCGAGGATCATATTTTAGGGGGACCGAACCCCTTTATTCCCCCCCCCTTGGGTACGCCACTGATTATACAGTAAATGCCTCATTGATCTCCAGGCTCAATCTTTTAAATCGGATTTGCCAGAACGTTTTGCAGGGGCCTTTTGGTCTGTCTTCCTTGCAAAAGGCTAGAAAAGTTCTGTCTGCTCCCGCTTCAAGACAGGTAATACAAAAAATTACCTTCGCTCCTTTCTTGTGGAGTTGCATCAACTGCTTGCCATCCTCCATACCCAGGCTTGAGATCTGGCCTTGCCATCCATGCATCGTTCCAGCAATGGAAGTTCCTGTTGGGATGTTTCTTTGTTAGTCTATGGAACTTGTCATTTTTAGTGAAAATCAATATTTGGTTTGCCTCTTGCAATTTTTCTTCATGTGGCCGATTTGGTTCTCTTGCCTCTTAGCAAAGTTTTGAAATAGCTTAATTTCTGATCATACTGATAATTTTGTGAGACTGGTATGAATGTTTGCTTGTAACGAGTATAAATTTTTATTTCACTCTCTCCAACAATCTTCGAGAAAAAGTTTTTGGGTTATTATGTCTTTATGAGGTTGAATATTTGAAGTCTGCACATTCCGGTTCTTGTGCGCTGTATATATTGGGGGCTATTAGAAAAGGAAACGAGGGGCAAATGCCCCCTGGAGCCAATCCATTTGCAATAGAAGCGGGAAATAGACAGTTTGGAATCTGTTTCTGCAGTGATTTGTGACATAACACTGTTGCCTCTACAGAATTTTTTTAGAAAAACAATCACTACCTTCACGAATGGCCGTCATTACAGTTAACTCGTATTTTTCACATCATTTATCTAAGCAATACATACCAAATACTGTCTGAAGTCATGCCATCAATCTGTTTGCCGTCTTCGTCCAAGTAAATATCTTTGCTGACGTTGGCATTGGTATCATGTGCCGAGTTGAAGTTTGTCACTGAGCGGCATGGAATCCCGAGAGTTCGCAACACTAAACAGAAGAAGTGTGATTAGAATTTCATTGCTTGGTAGTTTGGCCTTTTCTACTGGGTTCAAGGGGCTTTGTGGTTGAGACATTCGATAAAAATGTCGTTCAAAAGCGAGGAGTTTTGCCTGAAGGATGGAATACCAAAACCGCTGACCCTCAAACAGCTGGCTGTAGACTGGTCTCGCCCCATTCCAGAGTTCAGCTGTGAAGTTACACTGAATGAGTTCCTAAAGCTGACCTAGCCTACCCACTTTGACCGCAAGTTGAACCTGGACAAAATCCCTTGAGCACAACATCTCGCAACATCCCTGGTCCTAGCAACCAAATCTTGCAATTATTTCCTTTAAAGCACGTGGAATCATTTATTTATAAATACACTAAGTTGCATAAAAGAAAACCCAGGAAATGAAAAACCTGTTGTGAGAAGTGCGCTGAAAACCCAGCATTGACCAAATTTGACTGACTTCTTTTCTTTCATGTATTCTTCAAATATTGGTGGGCTGCTTGTCCAATAGAGCGGCGATTTTCCGCCTTCGTAGTCACCTGACCAGTTCCCAACCAGCAAACCTCTATTGTCGCAGCTGTTTACCTACGAGGGTAGTTAGACAGATCATAACAGCAACATACCATTCAAAATTAAGTGTAAATCAATTTTCTGTTTATATGAAACAGTAAATGAAATGTCACTCCATGGGAGATATATAATTACTTGCAGCATAAAAAGAGAGCCTTTTGGGAAGTTTTACAAATCTTTCGACAAGGGAAGTTCAGTTTAGAGGAACCTCCTCGACTGACTTCAAGCCTAGCAGTGGATCCAACGAGGACATTGGGATTAATAGCCTCCCACTTCTGTCAAAATATAGTCAATCTTGCCCTTATTGAAATGATAAACCTACTGTTCCATCAAGCATACAAATGAAACATTCTAGAAAATTACACTGACTTGAACAAGATCATGTAAACAAACACAGTTGTATGCATTTAAAACAGTCGTAAAAAAGTGAAACGACAAGATTAAGTTGTCAAGGTTGAGACCTATAAGATTGGAAAATTTTCTTTTCTCGGAGAAATTTGCGAGTATTCTTGAAGGCAACCAAACACAAATGTGCCCATTATTGAACTTTGAATCAAAGGAATCTGCGGGTCGCTGCTTACGTTGACTTTGACTTCACGATATTTCTACGACGCAGTTCTAATTTACGAATGCCATGATATCTATGCGATGCAGTTCTGATTTACGAATCCCGTGGCACAAGCAAAAGCAAAAGACATGGCTTACCAGCGATGACATCCTTCTGGTAACTTCAATTACACTGTCTCTACCCGATGGTTTCGTCAGACTCAGCAAATAGAACGTGCACTCGAGGGATACGTCTTCAAACTGTAGCGAGAAAAAGCTTTTGCTTGTAAACATTTTGCGACAGGATTTTAACTTACTGATTTCCTAGAACGTCAATCTCTAAATTTTCTGTAGCATTTATTCTACATTAAACCGTGAAAATCTTCTAAATCGTGAAAATTTAAAAAAGAAGAATATTTAGTTACTATTACATTAGTAATATATTCAAACAGAACAATTTCCATCTTCTCTCTGTCTTGACAATGGACGCAAGGTGAGCTTTGGGGTATGCAACTTCAGTTTCTTGACATTTTTGAGCGTCACAAATCTACTTGCAGCTTAAAGACTCATTGCTAACAATGAGCCATTGCGCTACGCAAGCATCCCATAATGCATTTTTAGACTGTCTGAAATCAAATTTGGTTAATCCGTAGAAGCTTACTGCCATTGTTTGGACCGTCGCCACGCTCGCAAAGGCCCATTGTTAGCAATAAGTCTTTAAAGAACTTTGCCATATATGTTCTTACTGACTTGCAGGGTTACTGTTATCCCAGAAACACGAAGCATATGCCCCCTGGTCCCAATGCCCCCTGGTCCCAATGCCCCCTGGTCCCAATGCCCCCTGGTCCCAATGCCCCCTGGTCCGGTTTAAGGCTCTAGCAACCTCAAGCTTCTGCGGTCCCTGATAGAATCCTTGTACCTCACCATCTTACCTGGCCGAAGTACCAGTCCTTTCCACTTTGGTACTTGCTGCTTCCAGTGTAGATAACTCCGTGTTGGCGAAGAACGTATTCCCTTCTGTCCTCGTCGTCCTTCATGAAAACATCGTCAGCTGTAAAAACAGATATAGTTGTGGGTAAGTTGACTGGTGATGACGTCATGAAAATAAACTTTGAGGTTATGGATAATATCTGAGAAAATATTATGAAATGGTTCTACTTGTAAAAATTCATTTGAATCTATTAGTACTTGCATGGGATTTAGCCACATGAGCCTCCGAACTTACCCAATCAAAAAGCTATGATAAGGTCATGTTCAAGTCAAAATAACAGTTATATTTAAAATAGCACGAAGAAGCATAGAAATACTAAAGTGGCTCGGATCTCCACAGAGAATTAATGTCGGATAAATTTTTTTGGAGATTTATTAAGTAATCACCTTAGAAGATTCAAGATTTTATAATATAAATTGTTGTAAAAATGTGAATAGCTTTATTTATAAAATGCCTTCTATGAAATGCAAGAAAAGTTGTGCCATCATTCTTTACGAATACCCATAAGATTTAAAATGATGTATTTTTATTTGAAGCATAATCGTCGACATTCAACTTATTTCCGTACTTCACTGCTTCGTTTATCCTGATACTCGTACATACCTTTGTTCCATGGGTTGAACAAGATGAACAACGAATTTGGATGTTGATAGAGTATATAATCGTCGTCCTCAAATGCAATTTCATATTTGGCTGGCAGTGCATCTACCGGACAGTTGACCTCCAAGTTCAGAATGTTTTCTTTCATGCCAATTACTTTGTAGGCCCATTTCTGATTTAATGCATCAAATTCTTCGACTTTGGGAATATGCACAAACGATTTATCGAATTCTCTTGGCTTATTACCAGTCTTTAGCGAGATGTAGAAGTTATCTTCTTCTGGTTTGTACGGCCTAGTCAAATGAACGTCTATAAAGAAGGTTTGTCCTCTTCGAACAATGAGCTGCTTTGAAATAAACTTGATGGTGTTATGCAGAGGCCTGTTTTTCTCATCTTTCTGATCAACTTTGACGATCTGCAGGGCTAAAACAGGAGCAGGACTTCTTATATAAATGACATTTCTCTTGATTCTAATCATTTTAATACAAGTTATTAAAAGCAAACCGAATTTCTATCTCTACTTAGATTGATTTTCTGTGGACGTGTAATGCATATAGGTATGACACCTAGCTTTAAGGACCGAGTGATTCAGTGTCAACATACTTGTTGAATATTCGCACGTACCTCATCAGACAACTTGGCGCTGAAACATTCAACTCGTCTATATATATATTTATATATCTATCTATCTAAGAAGCAGTTGTTACTACAATAAGGACACTTTACCTAGGTTTTCGATCTCAATTGCAATCTTTTTATCGCCTTCGTCCTTTGCTAGCCATCTGTTGCAGTGAAAGTTGTAGTTTCTGCTCGTTGTTATGTCTTTGATAGTAACCTGATGAAGAGGTGTCAATAGAATTCTTTACAAGGGAAAGATCTAGATACAAAATTTTGATTATGACGAGAACATTACGGCACCAGTAAGGGCAATCATAATGCACAAAGACAGTCGTGTTGTTACCTTGTTCAAATGCCATCCCGAAAAGTGCCCGGAATCGTCGTGTCGAACAGCTATCTTTGTAATGATCCCGATTGCCTTGCCAACTTTGACAGTAAATTTGTCATCGCTACGAGAGAGAACAACAAAGTACTGCACCTATTCTGTACTGCATTAAAAACTCCATTTCATCTTCATAATCGCGTCATATTATCTTTTAAAATAATTCACATAAGATATTCAAGGTATTTACAAGATTTAGCTATATTTTGTCCTTGGCTTCAAAGGTATTTTGATATGCCAGTAGTCATTGTTTTGTGATATCTAATGATTTTATTTTTCTCGGAATAACTTTTTCATTTGCTTAAAGTAACTAAGTAGCCGAATAGCTTAAGTATTTTCTATAATATGATATATATCCTCTGCCTTTTTTTGTCTTTGCTTATTATTGTCTGTATCAAAGTTGCTTTTAATGTTACTTTTCTGGATAAAGTTTGCATTTCTGGTGCGATGCTCTTGCGAACTTCCTGTTAAAATTTTTGTCCCCTGTTGAGAGCCGTATGTTTCGTTGGCAGACATACAACGCTTCCCAGAACTGCTCTTCTTTCTAAACTATTTACTTCTTTTAAAAGGCAAAAGCCGCACAAGCTACATTGAAAAGCATACTTTGTAATCTCTTACGTCATTTTGCAGTAAAGCAATATTGTTTTGAGTTGGAGAGGTGGATGGCTGAATTTGACAGTGATTGACTATCGCCAGTGGCTCTATAATACCTACCTTGGGTACAGGAGCCTTCAGAGTGGGCCAAAGACAGTGGAATTCACCGACCCTCTCTGGCACCCAGGGTATATAATGCTACCCGTTTTTGTTTTTGAGAGAACACGTTATAAGAGAAAGCAAGAAATTGGCTGTGAGATTGTACAAGTAACAAACCTTTAGTACATGGTGCACATATCTTAAAACATTTTGCTCATAATTAGAGTTTAACCGGATTTTTAATTGACGGCTTTTCTGTAAAATTTTCTTCGAAATAAAGCTTAAAGGAATTTTACGATTGCCTGAGACAACGGGCATTATATTTTGGCATGTTGCATTTGTCATACCCCTTCGAACTGTTGTTTGCGATTCTTCTTTCTATCAGCTAAGACCATTTAATTGCCTTACAACATGGATTAAGTACAGGCATGGGTTAAACACCGCTCATTTGCCATGCTAAACTTTATGAAGTTCCATTGTTTTATGGAGTTATCTAGGGCGCAAGCACAGTTAATGAATGGAACAAACTCCTTCAATGCAAAGAATGTTTCCGCAATCAACAGACAATTTAGCCCAGCACGAAAAAAATGCTATAACAAGAAGTTTTTTAATACACACCTTCCAGCTTCGAAAAGCCTCTTCCCTTTCGTGTTATCTATAAGTTCAATTTCATCACTTTCTCCATCTGATCCAAAGAGTTTGATGAACACTTTAGCATCCGTCCCAGCTGCAAATTTTCCACTTGTTGAAACAAGAATTTCGAATTCTTGATCTGTAACGAAGATTTCGTTTTTTCTTGACAATGACTGGATCAAGAACTTTACAAGGTTGTAGGTTTGCTTTCGTTGCTAAACCTTCACACATTTCAAAGCCTTGCTATGCTTTGCAAACGCTAACACTTCCGTTTCAGTTCCAGGAAAACAAAAATCCATGTTTTCAATATTTTGATCTTTTATTAAACGGAATTTGCAAATAAAAGAATTTTTTATACCTCACTATGAAGGTATAAAATGAAGGAAGTTCCATTAAAAAGACGGTCTAAAGAGAGACTAGGAAGTTTCAGCCCCCCTCAATAATTGCTTGGTTGAGCTTTATTTCTTTCTAACAGAGTACTGAACTGAAGCAACTGAAAGGGCAGCATCTTCCTCCTCTAAAATGGCATCGATTATCAAGAAAATGACATCGTTGTGGTTGCAAAACTTCCTGTTTGCTTCTCTCGCAGGGGCTTTGTGTCTTTTTTGCCCCAGGGTCACCGAAACCTTTCGGCGACCTTGATCCTTGCCAGGTATCAAGTGTGAAACAAAATGTCTTCGTCTGCAAAAGCAGTTTTAATTATTTGCATATTGTCCTTTGTACTCCTCAAAATTTTCACTTACTATTTTCAACCCTCCAATCACAATTAGCTATTATTATTAAAGTTGGTGCTGCTATTTTTTCCTGTTTTATCGTGTCTTTTCAGACACATCTACTGAGTATTTGAATACGTTGTTTTGCCTGGCTTTATAATCCCATCCATTATCCCAGCTGACAATCCCAGGCATGGCTCTCTTAAAAGCACCAGATAATTTATTGTACATCTGAGAATTTTACGTTGGTACTAAATCTAGCCTTGAAACCAACTCGGTGTAAAATAACCCATTAACGATATAACTTCCTTTTACTCACCAAATCATTTATAACTCAATAGTATTTTAAAAAAGCAGGCATTTTCAAACCGGAGTTCGCGATGGTGGACAATTTTCCACTCTACATATAATTTTCTTTCGTTTACTCTTGAATTTTGTCAATTATCGAATTTGCAGTTATCTTGTGTCTACGCAACGTGACAACCTTAATGCATATGTCACTGTTTCTAAACGATGAGAGTGCCAAAGCTCCTGAAATTAATAAAGAGAAAATAACAACGACTATGGTTGTGTGACCGCGAGTGGACTGCACAGGAAACCACACAGAATCGTCAAATGCTATATTAATCTCTTAGAACCTGATATTGTTCTCCACATCATATTGTTCATTATTTTATAGGAATTTCTTTAGGCAGATCTTGTTCTGAATTCTGAATCAACTTACCCGTGGTCTGCATTTTACGTTAGGTTTGTCGCAGTGGAGATCCAAACTTCTTATATCGTCTTCCTGTAAAATATATGCAAGATTAACACTGAAAGCAAAATATCAACCAGTCCATGAAGTGTTTACTAAAAACAAACGGGCCTAAAGCACGTAGTTTGTAGTGTACAATGCAGATTAAGAATAGGAGCACCAAAGGCCCTTATTAACCTCATTTATATAATATTCATTCAACAGCCACAAGCTGCAGGTGTCAGTTGATAAAAAGCAATACACACGAAATTGCTCGCTGAAATTTGTTGATCTGCAAACAAAGAAAACTTTTCATGTCCTTGTAAAACTGGCTCTTCGCTGATTGGCAAACAAATAGTTTTTCTCTGCTACATATCCAACGAATCTGATGCTCATTTGTAAAATGATGAATAATTTATATGCGTAGAGCTAAAGGGATAGTTATTGTTTTCTTCGATCTGATGTTTTAGTTGCAGCAAGGAAGAAGATGGCGAATTGATCCGGTCGCTCAAGAGTTTCAATACAGGTGTTCTGTATGGAACTATTTAAAACAGATTACAATGAAAAGAACATGGGCTATCTGATAGTTTATAAAATATTTCTAACTTATTCTTTGTTTCATTCCTCAATCATGAAGAGTTGGAAATACATCTGATCATGAACGTGAACTCACAACAAATACAATTGAAACGACTGCAACAAGAACCCATTGATAAAAAAGATGCAAGGGATTATTTGTATTGTGGTGCCATAGAACTCATTCTGACCGCGTGTCCTGATAAATTATGTGGTTTTAATACCAATCAAGATTAATATAACTTTTAGCTAGTAAAGAATAAAATTCAAGAAAACACGCATTAAAGTTCACCACTCACCGTGTTCTGCCACTCGCCAATGAATTGTGCGATACTGTGTTCCTTGCTCGCTATTTATACAGGATCTTCGATGTAGGGGAAATCGTGCTTGCTCTGTTTTTCCCCTTCGAAACTCTTAATAGGGGAATCCAATTGAAGGAAATCGATCAAAGTACAATCTTTCTTTACAAGGAACAAAACTCATGTTTCAAGGGTGCTTGAGAAACCTTTTTTTCGGGGGCTGTTTGCGGAAAAGAAGTCATGTTATGAAAATAATAAAAAACGATTTGACAACCGCGATGGATAGAACCTGGTAATTTATGCGTAAGATCTCTTAGCACATTCTCTGCTTTTCCCCTTCGAACTATCGGATGACTGTCTCAATGCTAGTTTCCCAACAAAAAGCTTGTTTTCTGTTATCTCTTTCCATTCTAATATTTCTTGTCTTAAATTAAAATCTAACATTCAATGCTTGCTCAAAGATAGAAATCTTAGTATTTTCCATTTCCTCTTTACAGGTATGTTTTAACAGGAATAAGCGTTTAATTTTTCAGTAATTGTTTATTGGTTTCTCTAGATCTGTTTATGCAATATTTTTTTTATAAGAACCAGATACGTTTTGCTGTGGCTCAGTGCTCTTGTTTTCTGGATGATCTGGGGTTCAAATGTTCTTAATGTTGTTCTTTTCTACAATTATTTACTTAATATTGTTTCTACATGCTGGTTTTTATATAGCGTATTTCAACGCATTTCATCACCATTCAGGAGGGTGTAATCACGAAGTCTTGTTATCATAAGTTGCAGATCCATTCCACGGTTCAAAATTCCTCACAATCCTTTAAAAGCTCCTCCTGGGCTTTTCTGCAGTTTTTCTTGATTGGGTTTCCTAGTTGCGCAATAAAGCCAAGGTTTTTATCAAATCGTCTATTTTGCATAGAGTTATCATGTGATATGGCACCGTTTCGATTACAGGGATTTTCAATGTTTGGAAATTATTCCAATTTTTGTGGGCTGGTTCAACAACTATTGCAAGCACACTAAAATGTTTAGTTTTAAAATATTTAGAGATCATTTTGTCTCGTTGTCGAGCAATTTCGGTATAATTTTCGTTTAGTCCAAATTGCTACAATTCCAAAATCTCTCTTTTTCACTTGTTGTTTGCAAATGGCTAGCTTTGGTTTAGAAGATGGCAATCGAAAGATAGATAGCAAAACAGAAAACCGAGAAAAAGCACAACAAAACAAAAGTCATATTGAAACGAAAGACCTAAAATTTAGTTATGCCACCAACGTAAACCTGCTTATTTTGCTTGAATCACTACCAGCGATGTGATTAAGACCTACCATCAAAACTTTCTTGACATATACTGCCCTTTCTACGGATTATAAACGATTTCTATACCCAGGAATCTATCTCAGAATTAACTAATTTAAATTATCAAATGATTTCAAAAACAGTTGGAAAACCTTGCAACAACTTTCAGGTTTCAAATTACTTTTGTCATAATCGTCTCATAATTGTTTCCTAGTTCTAGGAAAACCTCGACCATTTATCCTTCTCTGAATCGGTATTATCAAGATGAAATAACTTTCCTCATTGCAGCCATTTCTGAAGTATCTGTTTGATGCTCATTCGCTTGAACTACTGAGTGGTTTTCCCAATGTTAAAAACGGTGAAAGAATTTTGCTACATACTTCATGCCTTGCTTTGGCCAATTTTTTATGGGTATCAAAATTTTTCTTTACGTCAGTTTGCAAATTGGGCCACATCTCGTAATTGCTAAACCTGAAATTGAAAAACCGGCTTTTCACTGTCCACGTAACGCCCTTGTCATGCTAGAATTCGGGTTGAATTTACTAGGGTCTGGGCAGGGTTTATGCTATGAAAATATTTATTGGCACAAATGAGATAGGCCTAGACTGCCGATTCTAAAGAGATTCTTTGACTGTTTTCCTCAAGCAACTTCTATAGGCAAACACAGAGCAATATTCCTCTTGTATTTTTGTACTTTTAATCAATATTTATCAATTTCTTTTCTTTGAACAAAACCACCTCAAATCGGTTGCAAATAGCTTCTTTTCAGTTTGAAATTATTGTTTTGTTTCTAAAAAAGTTACCTCGAAATGTCCGAATTTTATAAATTAGAATAGCGTCCTTTGCTATTCCAATATTCTACAGTATAAGCCACATATGCGTGAAAATATCTATGCCTCTATGTGATAGAGTACCGAAGTGTGACGTCATCCAAAATATATTTTTAGAATTTCTTAAATTTGGCCACATAATCTGAAAGAACGGCATAAAATACTTCTCAATATGCAAAAACTGTTAAATATGTTGCAAATTGGGCGAGAAAAGGCCAATTCAAGTTTGCTAACGGATTACTGTTATTCTGGTCATAAAGTCAAGTACAGAGGTTTGATGGGGCAAGAGCCTGTGCTCATATTGCCATTTCTCAGCCAATTTGTAACAAAATCAACTGATTTTGCAAATTTAGAGGTATTTCGTGATTCTCTTTCAAGTTATGGGATCAAAAGTGAAAAATTCTAAAAATATATTTTTGTGACGTCATCACTTCGTACTCTATTGTCATACAGGCAAACACTGGGAATTCCCCTCCTTTGAATGAGGGTAATGCCAGAAATACACAGTGTCATATTATTCTTTTGGATCATGTTTTTCAGTTATTGTGCAACATTCTTTCGTTATTTCGAAGAACTGCTCTTGCTAAGATCTTCGTAATTTGAGAACATTTGAATCTTAAGACTGTGAAAAGATCAGATTTTATCGTAAAACACAGTACATTTAAGCCCGTTATCAAATTTTGACAAGGTTTGAACGTATATTTCATGTATACATTTCATATTACAATGACTCGGCAAGTTTTATGTTAAACACATTTTCAATGGGAAATCTTTTCTGTTAATTCAAATAGAAATTCGATTCAGAATTTTATGTAAGTATTTTAAGATTACTAAGAAACAACTCTATCAATGGTGGTGCCACCCACTTGGCTTTTTTGGGGGGGGGGGGGAGCAATCGCAAAATCTTTTCCACGCTCTTTGTTCTCTCAAAATGGCCCTTTTCCAACAGAACGATAATATTACGAATTGCAAGCATGTTTAATAATCATTCAATGTCCAAAACCATCAATGCTATTTGTTTCCAACACAAGATTATATTTACTCTTATGTTAATGTAAATTTATAAAAATTACTGTTTACCAGTATGTCATGGGCTGCTAGATGCCGTATGGACAGAGCTCTAAAAGCTTAAATGCATGTTAAAATTTAACTGAAGTTTGACACATTTCTTCAAGCATTAAAACTAAGACATACAGAGGGCCCTGAACTTGCATTTAAAACAACGTATTTATAAGATTCGGGTAAATTACCTTTTACGAGCAGCTTTCATTGTGCAAAGCCTAGTTCCCAACTTTTCAACAAAGAATCTGTTCTTCCCAATACACGTAAGTAAGCTAGTTTTAAGCCTGAAACTGATATTTGACAGCATTTAGCGACAATTTTAACTTTTGTCTAAGTGTGATATTTTGATATTTGATATATTTGGTGCTGAGTGTCATATTGTTCTAAAACACCTTAATAGCCTACACCCAGCCCTCCAGTTTACGTTTGAAAAGGAAGAAAATGATTCCTTGCCATTTTTAGATGTTTTGGTCGAAAAGTCTACCACTGGATTTCTTACCAGTGTATATCGCAAGCGTACTTTTACCGGTCAACGGTGATGGCGCCAGAGGGGAGCAGGGGGCTACAGCCCCCCCCACCCCGTCGGAGTTGATTAGCCCACCCGTCGGAAGATATAGGAAGAAAATCTATAATTTTGTCGGAGCAAGAATTTACCACCGTTTGTAAAGTTTGTAAGAAAAAGAAGGAGTAACGGTTACGATTACGGAAATCCCACTGAGCATAAATGTACAAACAGGGAACCCCCAAGTAATTTACATACCATATCGGGAAACTCAGCCCTCTCTTAGGGCATACAAAACGGCAATCGGATTATCAATATAAGTAAAATTCTTGAAAACAACTGGGACATAATTTCAAAAGTTAAAGAACTAAAACAAGTATGGAAACTGTTAATTGTATATTTTAACTGTTAAATGGCAAACCCAAGCCAGTGAGAACCGAACTCCACATTACAATGTTTCAGGGTTGGGTGCGCGAATGACGAGAATAGCGTTTCGCCTGTAGATATTAACGCTAAGAGTAATGTTGTATTGCAAAGGTAGAAAAATTGCTCCAATGAGACATCTTCCAGCTAACTGGAATCATCAAAATTCGAAAATTTCCTTACCCTCTGCGGCAACCACGGTGCCGCCTCAGGTAGTAGCTTTCGTGTACTTATTTATTGCGAAAGGAGCAACTGCAAGCTAGCAAAGACTTAGCCTTCATAAGCAAAATTGGTCCCTATTTTGTTTAATGATTAAATGACGTTTTTTTACCCAGAAAAGTTTAGAGCGTTGAGAATATTGAAAAATCACTGAAAAAGATCTACAAAAGACTTATTTTTTCTTTTAGGAACATTTTGTTGAAAAAGCGAGTCCTCCACAAAAAAGTAATAATTCCGCTCTAAAGAGCTGCTCTTTTTTGTTTGTTGAATTCATATTTTGTCATAATCTCATTGTTTATCTGATTGCCTAGCCCCCCTGTCGGAATGTTAAACCCCTCCGTCGGAGAATTTCTAGCACCACCACTGCCGGTGAGTACATACGCAAGAATTCATTTAGCCCAAAACAACACAAAGTCAACCTTGTCAAAACTTTAGTACATAGGGCACTGATGATCTGCTCGAAATCTAAACTGCACGCTGAACTGGAAAAACTCAAAACGATCTTCTTGGACAACGGCTATCCTGAAGACGTCATTTTATCTTATACTAAGAAGAAGATCGCAAGTTTTTCGGCTGTTTAAAAGTTTGGTCTGCAAAAGTGCCCAGTTTATTTGAAACTGCCATGGATTGGTAACACTTCCTTGCGATTCGAGAGTCAAATTGGGCAAGCCTTATCTAAATGTTTCTTTGCTGTCAATCCTCGTATTGTTTATAGCACTAGGAGAGCCCTTCCATCCATTCAAATGGATTGCGTTCCTACCAACCAAAAAATTTCCTTTATTTATAATTTTACGTGCCAGTGTGATTCTGGCTACGTAGTATGCACAACTCAAAGATTGGGGGATAGGATAAAACAGCACGTTCCTTTCAACATAAGAAACAAAACTGCCCCTCAAAGGGAACAGCTTCCTCGATCTTGTAGGTCTAGAAACACTGTTAAAACAAGGGATTTTGCCATCGCTAAACATCTTTTAGACAACCCAGATTGTGCAAAACTCTATAATGACGATATGTTTCAGAAAATTGGCAGAGCCCGGTCGTCTTTCCATCTAGCAGTTTTGGAATCAATCTACATACAAACGAAAAAGCCGTCATTGTGTAGACAGAAGGAGTTGTTTTTCTCTCTTGGACTCCAGTGGTAATTTTTCTTTAGGCACGGGGCACTGTTTGGTCTTGTGCTTGCGTTTTTCTAATTGGCCTATTTCGATCCACAACTGGGTATATATTTTTCATCGTGTTCTTTCGGACCCTTATTCTGACATTCTATGCTCTGAGGAGTGTCAGACGAAAAAGCTTCTAGCCAATATGTTGTAAAATGATTGCTTTTTCCAAAGCCATTTTGTCTAAGTTTATAATAAATAATTTTTGGCAATAATGCTTAGCTCAAAAAGTGCTCATTTTGCAAAGCTTAAATCTTTGCGCGAAATATTTTTTCTTTCAAAGATTACGAAAAAGTTAGATTAAAGCCTGAAACTATATTTGACAGCATTTAAGATCTCACTAAACTTTATCTGAAGTAATATTAAATGTTTAACGTCATAAGTGCTTTACTAAAAAATTCTCATTTTGTCAACCTATAAACAGACTTTTGAACAAATATTTTCTGTTTCCAAGACTCAAAAGTAGGTTTATCTTAGACTTAAATCTAACTGACATTAAACAACATTAAAGATTACAATAAACTTTATCTGGCAGTATCTTAAATTGTTTATGTCAAAGATGTATTACTCAAAAACAGCTTGTTTTGCCAAGGATAATACTTTCCTTTCTTAGCAAAAAATCTGTTGTTTCACCGCCACAAAAGAAAGTTAATTTTAGGCCTGAAATTCTAAGGTCGAAATCAACTTTATCTGGGGATATATTAAATTTTCTTATCAATGAATGCTTTATGCAAAAATTGCTCATTCTACCAACCCTATTAAATTGCATTTAATGCAAAAATCTATAATTTTCAGCCAAAACTAATTAAATAGTTTTTGGCCAAAACTGATGTTTAATAACAATCGAGAATCCAATTAATCTTTTCTAAATTTAGTTCAGATATCATACGTCAAAACAGCTATACTTAAGAATTGCAATCCATGCCAAGCCTATTGCCTTACATTATTCCAGCAAAAATTCTCCTGTTTCCAAAATTTAAAACGGAGTTACTTTTATACATTATACTGATGTTTAACAGTGTTTAAGGTCAGAATTAGCCTTGTCTTAGCATATTTGAAATTTTATGCGCCATAAAAGCTATACCTGAAATGGAAATAATGTGCAGCCCATAAACACAACAAGCCAGCAAGATATATTTCGTAGATTTATAAAGTTGCAAACTCAAATGCATTGTCAACAACTGTTTTCACTGCCATGGTTTGTTTTCTTTAGCTTGAACTCAATAAATATGAATAAACATTCTCACTTGATAAAGAAGAACATGTCGACTTTCATTTAGGCCCGGCTACTCTAGGCTAGGCCTAGCTTTAGTCTTCCTTGCGGACGCGTCCCTTTTGTAACGTTTTACTTTTCGCTCTCAAAAACTAAATTCTCCCTCCACTGTCTTTAGCATGCTTCTTTGTGTCAAAGATAGGTCCTTAGGGAACTGGGTGCAGGCGTTCACTACCAGCGTTATACCTCTGTGGGATTCTCCTGATTCTAGTCGACTTCCTATTATCTTCGTAAACAATACCCAAATATTGCTCATTTTGTCATGCTTTTGCCTTAGTTTCTGAGCAAAATTTATTTATGTTTACATTCAATGTTTTACAGCAAGAACGCTTTACTTGAAAAATGCTCCTTTTTCCAGGCTTATTTGGTTAATGAGCCAAGATTATATTACAACAAAGCTTTTAAGGAATTTTTGCAAAAAGTCCTTTGAAAAAAGATCAAAATTTCTAAGCGACCCCACAAGCATTTTAGACTAACAGTTAATTATTTTTTAGTTTAGTAGCTTTTGCTGAAAATTTAGCTTTGTATTCGCCATAGCTGTTTTGTTATTGATGCGTAGATTAAAAATTGTAATTGTAATATTGTAATTCGCTGTAGTACTGTAAGCGGTTAAGGGCCATCTCGGCCTAGATACTTGAATTGCAAAAAAAATTTATTACGTTACATTTTCAACAAAAAAATCTGCTGTTTTCCCAAAAGTTCTGAATCTGACTTAGTGTCTGAATTTGATTTTTCACAACAATTCAGGAGATATTTAACCTCTTCTTATGTAATATTAAATGCTTTTAGCATTTAAAAACTACACATCAATAATGCACAACACTGCCTTTATTGAATCGAAAATTATTCAGTGGACCGACAAATAGCAATCTTAAAAAAATTCAAAATTCAAGTTTTCTTTTCTACGTTTCCCCTTTTCTAGCATCTTATTCAAATCGTCTTAAATCTTTTTAAAAGCCAAACTAATAAAATACAAAACCAAAATAACTATTTTATCACTTGCAATAACAGTCGTGCACTAATATTAAACTAAGTAATGATACCGATGCTAATGCTCTTGCTTATACTAATACTAATACGGATATCAATACTACTACTAACTTTTATACTAATACTTATATAAATAGTAACACTAACATTAATACTGATATCAATACTAATAAAAATACTAAGACTGATACTGACTGAAGTACTAATATTTACACTAATATTTTATTATACCAGCACTAATACTAAGACAAATATTTGTTCTAATATAGATACTAAAAACAATACTAAAACTTACATTCATACTACTAGTTCAATACTACTACTAACTTTTATACTAATACTTATATAAATAGAAACACTCACACTAACATTTTGTGTGAAGGTGATATTTTTAAGACGCGCAAGAATACTTTGCAATATAGCTTACGATCTATTAAATATGCAGGCGCTAAATCCTGGAACGACATTCCATCCAATATTAAACAATCTACTTCTGTAGTGATTTTCCGTCGTGATTTGAAATTGCATCTGTTCTCAACTAAGTACCAATTCTGAATATCTTGATAAGATAATTCTTCCTTACATTGATCAATCGAATCACTAGAAGATTTCATGAATTGAATGATAAGTTTTTAGCTTAGGGGGTGCTCTCTCCTCGATTAGTCTACCTACTGAGAGAGCTCCTCCTTAAGAAATTCCTCTCCATACGAAATTCTATGTAATCTTCTTGTAAAATTTGTCATTTTTTGTCATCTGTTTTAATTTGTTATTCTAGCTAGTTGTATGTATTTTAGAAAGATTTTTGTATGTAGTGGAATTTTAAAATTAAAACTGAACTGAACTGAACTGAATTTAACATTAATACTTATACTAATACCAATACTAATACTAAAACTAATACTAATACTAATACTAATACTAATACTAGTAAACATACTAAGACTGATACTTACATTAATACAAATACTAATTATTACACTAATATTCACACTAATACTAAAATCAACAGTAGTATTGACGATTGTCTCTAATACTAATATTAATACCAATATTAACATTAATGCTAATAATTATTACACCAGCACTAATACTAAGACAAATATTTGTTCTAATATAAATACTAATAACAATACTAAATCTTACATTCAAACTTCTAGTTCTAGTATCTGTGCTGTGACTAAATAATCTGATCAAATTTTTAACTCCTTACCAACAAGCATTCACCTATCAAGAAAATACCCACTTGCACTTTATTTCCTAAATCTAATGAAATCATTGTTCAATGTGTTATTTCCCTTGTTATTGTATTTAGTTATTTCCCTTGGTATTTGAAATTGCAAGATATACTCAAAGATGGTAAAGACTTTTTGAAAATTTTATAAATGACAGTAATAACAAAATTTAAAATCAAAGGACATTTTGAATAATTTTAATTGTGAATTATCAAATACTACAAACAAATCCTATAAAAATTGAGGGCTAATTAGTGTTATTCTAGAAATATTTAATCAAATTATAAAATGAATACAAAATATTTTCTAAAATGACTGCATGCATTGTACGACCTGCACGATCGCTGGTATTCTTGTATTCAGTGCATGAGTTAAAGGTATTGCTAGCATGTATGTAGGGCATTTCAAGAGGTGAAAACATTTCATGTCAGTGTGAAATGAATTTCTTTCATTAGTAATGGACATTCCTTGCATGGGTGAGGGAGATTCCTATTCTGGGTAAAGGGCATTTCTTATATAGATGAGGAGCAATACTTGCATGGGTGAAGGGAATTACCTGCATGTGTGAAGGGCAATACTTGAATGGGTGAAAGAGATACCTTGCATAAGTGAAGGGCATATCATGCAAGGGTGATGCCCAAATTTTGCATAAGTGAAGGGAATTCCTTCCTTGGAGAAAGAGATTCCTTGCATTGGTGAAGAAATTTATTAAATGAAAAAAGCGTACTTTCTGCACTAGTGAAGGGTTTTCTCGCATAGTGAAGGAAATTTCATGAACGGGTGCTTTGCATGGCACGCTTCAGTGAAGAGAATTCGTTGAATATGTTGAGGGTACTCTTTGCATGAAGGAGGACAATACTCTAACGAGGTCAGAAGCCTGCGTAATACTACACTTTGCTCAAATGTTTTCTTTCTAGAAGTTAGCTTTGGACAATTGTCAAGGATTGGACAACACTCGAAAATGGGTATCTAATGATTCGTTCTTTTCTTTGCCTACAAAATTCAAGACTTTGTCGCTCTTAAAGTCATCATAGATGATTTGAAAAAAGTCCATGAACAACAAATAACGAACATTTATTAAATTAATAAATCATAGAAAATAATCATATATTCTATATTTTTTTGATGGATTAATGAATATATACAGCATAGAGATACTTTTCCATAAAAGAATACCTTTTATTGACTGTTATAAAATTCAAAAAGGGATGCTCTCATATACAGACTAACAGAATATGTAACTATCAGGGTTGGTTTCCAACAAAACTAAATTTTGCTCCGTCAATTTCGACAATGTTAGGTTTTGAGGTACAAAAAGTCGACGTTGGATTCTAATGCCAATATTCTTAAAGCAGCATTACAATGCCTGCCAAAAGTTATTGGAACACCCAGAAATTTGCGTTGCATTTTACATCTTTTATTCCTTTTACAAAAAAATTGTGCTTCAGCCCCTTCCTCCTAAAACAATGTTGATAGTTTAGGCAAATATCAAAAGAGAAACGCAAAATAGGGTACTTCCTAATTCCCTTACCAGTTTAATAGTAAACCAACATTGTTCCGTGTGGGAGAGGGGGATGGCTTTTAATTTGACCTTAGTTGCAAACTGACTTTAGTGTTCCAAGACATTTGGTAGGCAATGTAGAACAAATTTAAATAAACTATCAACGAAAATTTCTAGAATTCCTTTCTTACTTCAGTTTTTTTTCATTAAATTATCGTTTTAACCCCGACAGTTAAACTTGGTCGTATTCCGCTCAATATCTTGCTATAAAAAAGGCTGGGCCTCGCAAAACGATGATTATTTACTGCCGTGTTGATTGCTTGAGTCAATCGCTAGTTTTTCATTCCTCATAAATTTTGAGAGACATTCTAATTTTAAACAGCAAATGATAGTGTAAGATTATAATCGCAAATCCAAGTAAAAAAACCGAAATCGGTGCCTGGGCTTTGAAGTTAGTGCCTATTAAAGTTCAAGTGCTACCCTAGCTCGGCTCCAAAATCTTTACAAGCAGTTATGCTTGAGGACCCAAAAGTGTTGTCAAAACTACAGAAATGTTCTGCTAAGCATTCAGGTTTTGTCTCTCGTCTTCTCTCTGATATCTGGCAAAATTTAGAAACACTTGCTCCAATGTTGTCTGACTAACTGAATAATCTTCGATGTTATATCTCTCTTTGTTTTTCTCGAGAACGCCAAACACACGTGCCCATGAATTCGTTGCATCTTTGAGCTGATAGTTGATAAATCCTTGATGCTCATCTTTCAGTATAGAGCCAGGAAAATTCTGACTGATTAGTTGTTTCAAGGGCGTTGTATCAGGGTTGATGCCACCTTTGAGAAAATAGACATTTAATATCGACATTAAGAGTATCGAGAAAAATACCTTAAGATCAGAGAGAAAAAGGAACTAAGTGCACAAACCAATTGTTCTTTCTAAAAAAACTTAAGTGCACAATCCCATACATACCAACTCGGGCAAGTAGAGTGTATCCCTCGCCAAATTTGCTCTTTAGGTGTTGCGGACTGCCCAGGCACTTGAACTGTCCGTTAACCATGATTGCAAGCCTTGTGCAAAGTGCTTCACATTCTTCCATGCTAGAGATAGAAAAAGAATTGACGATAAAAAACTCTAGAGTCAAGAAAAACACAGTCTCCTTCATATTTAAACCAACTTTTCTAATTCCACCATATATAAATAGCTTGGACAAATTTCGTTTCCCCTGAAAGTTCAAGTCACTGTCAGCTGATCTAGGACAGATTTGAGGCAGATCGAAAATGGCACATGGAAAGTCAGACCAAATTTTACTCTAAAGGTCTTCACAGGCATTGGTAAAATCGGTTCAGACAAATGACGCCATTTACACACACTCATTGAAAAACCAATTCCTAGTAGATATTTCAATATCGAAGTTTGAAATGCATTAGAAGGTAAAGGGAAGTGTCAGGGTCTGAGTTCAAACAAGAAAAAGCACTATTAATTTATCTCAAAACATTGCGGTTCGGCAAGCAACTTGTGCAATATGTTCAAAGCTAGTTACAATATTGAAACGTTTTTAACTTATTTGAAGTTTCAGAGATTGTATCCTCAGTATTAAGATAGCAAAAAGCGAGTATCCAGGTATGAATGCCAAGATGTTACGGAGGCAAAGTCAATATTGTGTTGCATAACAAAATATTGCACTTCTCACGAAAATATCTTATGTTCACATACCGACACTTTTATGTCAAGGCACGTGGTGTACTAATGTAGGCCTACCTATGCGATGTTATCACAATTGATCCCTTTTGGTCTCTGAATCTGGTTAATGCATTCCATAGTTTTCTTCTTGCTGCAGGATCCATGCCAGAGGTAGGTTCGTCTAAAAATACGATTTGTGGATTTCCAACCAATGCCAGCGCAGTGCTTAGCTTCCGCTTGTTTCCTCCACTGAGAACAAGAATACAAAAGTCACAGAACAATTGACAGCACGTGCATCAAATGACAAATTCGCAGTTAAAGGCAATCTGTCATGACGTTGATTGATTATAAGAACAAAGGGATTTTTATTGTTTCCAGTCCTCTATAAATTTATCGCATTGTAAAAAATATGGCGGAGCGCTGGAATCGTGTTTAGGCTATCGTTCCAGCTATTGTTCTCGTTAACCAATCCACAACGAGACAGATTGCCTTAAAAGTACTTTCTACCGCAGCCATGAAAAAGGTGAAGAAAGAGTAAGTCTATCCTCACCTGTAGGTTTTGGATATTTTGTCGATATGCTGCTCAAATGACAAAGAAACAGCCAATTCTTCCACAATTTTCGGAATTCTGCTCTCTGGTATGCCACGTAGTCGAGCATACATGGTCAACAGTTCTCTTCCCGTCAAAAGATCAATCAGAGCATCAAACTGGGGACAATATCCAATGCACTGACGCACCTAACAGGGGACAAAGGAAGCCACATCAGATCAGACACGGTAAAGAATTAAATGGAGGTATTCAAGCTACTGAATCGTGAAGGTTCGAAATAATTTCAAACTACGTCACCAAATACGAAAAGGCAATCTTCGTTCATTGTCAAATACTTCAAATTGTAACGTTCTGTGATGCTTTGAATATCGGTAGATAAACACAAGTGAAAATAACAGAGCTTTTGCCAGTTCAGCACCACGGTAAACAACTCAGTTCTCATCATTACGTATCACGTGACGAAAACAAATTGAAACAATCATGCAATGTTACTTACTCTATCTTCTGCAGCAACAGTAGATCAAGACATTAAATCTAAAGAAGCCAAGTTTGCTAGTCCAAAATTTAAGTTAATCTCATTTCACTTTCATACTTTTATTGGACTTGCACATTATTTATTTACCGATATAAAGAAGATTTCCTCCTTGAATTTCGTTGTATTTGCCATTTTATTCGAACTTCAACGCAGGACTCTTTGATTCCGGTGGAAAACTTAGTCGAGTGCACCCTTCTTTTGGCAAAAAAGATGATAAAAATGAAGATACACAGCTGGTAAATACTGTCAAAAGTAACACCGCTGAAAACTATATTACAATATAAACAGCGCCCACCTTGGTCATATTCTGCTCAATATCGTAGCCATCTACATAAATGCAGCCATCAGAAACACTTTCATCTCCAGTGATCATCTTAAATGTCGTTGTTTTGCCAGCCCCATTCAACCCGAGCAAACCGAAGCATTCCCCCCTTGGCATGCCTAGGAAAAGGCCATCAACGGCAAGAAATCGCTTGCCTAAAACAACGAATTAGTGACATACATATCAATGAATATAATAATTACGAATATAAGAATGCACAAAACAATTTGGTCCGAAAATAATAAAGGAATTATGCATTTCTTTTGAACAGCTTTTTGCCTCTTGTCTGATAACGAGGAAAACAAAAACTTTTCTCAAAACTGGAACGACTTTGTAGTTTTAGTGATTCTATTTGGTTCTAATGTTATCAAGATTAAAACGGAGATATTAAGACACATGATTAGGTTTTCAGGTTCACTAACTTTATTTTTGCTCTCTTAGGCTAGTTTTTATCAGAAATCCATCACCGGGCCGGTAAACGTAGCTATATTCGATGTCTCTGTCACCCACAGTTTGAAACAAGACCCCTAGGTGACAATAAAAGTGTACTTGATTGAATAAACTGTGTGGTTTCCAGAACTGGTTACGAGTCCAAACGAAGCAAAACAAAAGTCGTTTCCATGAAACCCCTACGAAACTGATCGTTGATCAGCGATCGTTGATCAGCAAGGACAGCCAATCATAAAACGAGTTGAGATCTTGGAACAGTCAAGTTAATTAAAAGGTTTCTGGTGCATTCAACAGAGAAAAAACTTTAAAAAGGTCAATTGTGAATAGTAACTTTCACAGTCTTTAAACATACCCACACTTCCGTAGTATTTTGTTACATTCTCTAAAACAAGAACATCATTCGCAGTGTTGTTTCTTTGAATCTTCCTCATCTCAGCCGCTACGTCATCATCTGCTGCCACACTCATTCCATTCTCCATCATTTCAAACACTTTTCTCGAGCTGCTTCTTAACGATTTAATCAGCAATTTGAATCCTCCGTACTCAAAAAATAAAACAAGAAGGAAGAACACGAGTCCTTCACAAGCCATGAACACAAGAGGTCTGCCAATACCAGGGAGTTCCCATGACAAATAATTATCTTGGAAAACTACTTTGCTTGGACTGTTTTTCAGTACATTAAGAACAAACTCTCTGCAGATTTCCTTCTTTTTATCCTGCGGAACTGGAAAGGGCAATTTTGTCTTCATGCACAATTCAAAACCTTTGTTGAATAGCTCAATGTATTGATGATTTACAAAAAGGTCATTCAACGCTTGTCCTAGGGCGTAGTTTGGTAAGAAAAGGAAAACCCATTTGAGAGCTGAAGCCACGTCAAGAAGATCCAGCTGAGGTTGGCTCAGGATGAAAATCGTTAGAAGAGTTGCAAGGCCAGTAATAACGTTGAATATTGTCAGTCGTATGAAGGCTGTTGATGGCACCGTAAACAAAAACGACGAAAGGTAAACCAGAGGTATGATGGCCCAGCCATACAACAGCAAGAGAACAACTACGTAGCCAAGGCGATTTCCTGGAAGTCGAAAAAGAACTTAATAAACAGCTGTTTTTCTGATAGATAAGAAAGTATTTCTTCACGCATTCCCGTGCATAATTAACAAGTCGTGACTTCAAACAAAAAATTTTATACAATATAAAATTGCATAAACCTATAAAAATTATATGTGCATGACATATTTTTATATTGTGTTACACGTGTTCTTATCAAGTACAGCTATAATTCAGCCATTTCTATCTGATCTTCTGCAAATAAATCGATAATAATAATAATAATAATAATGGAAACATTTCATTTTCAATTCAACTTAAACTACAATTACAAATCTCACTATTACAAGGTAATTTGCAATTGGCTAGCTTGGGTTTACAAAATAAAAATAGATAACAAGGGAATTCACAAATAGTTATGTATGTAGTTAAAAGGGGAGTAGTTCCGGGTTAGTCCATGCTTTGTTCCTACAGCAAAATATGTAATAGGTGGTACGAATGGATATCATAGAAAGCTTAGAAATGAGATATCGTTTGTGTCGATCGTCGATGGAAAGAGAATCACACATTTCAAGGAATGAGCCGCATGAGTCGCTGAAGATGCCAAGAGAGCTGATGGAGAATTTACAAATATGACAGATTTGAACCTTGGTCTTAGATCTGAGACAAGGCGAGCATATTTTAAACGTTTCCTTTCTGCATTGCAGTTAAGGTTAGTTTCAAATCCTATCGTTAGTTCCAAAACATAAATAATGTTTTCCTTTGTCTTCAAAAGTAGATCTGGGCGCAGATTGTCTCCTATTATGATGGATGTTGAGGAGAAGCCAGGTATATTAGCAAAAAGAGAGGACCCCTCTATTGCTTTTAAGGAGGTGGCAAGAAAATTTAGAGCAGAATTATGACGCCAGGTATAACGACCTTGTTCGAGATAAACTTTGCAGCCTGCAACGACATGGAGTAAAGTTTCGGGAAGAAGGCAGAATTCGCAATCAGATGATTGGCTTAGGTTCCAAAGGCTTAGATTTTTGCGCGTAGGGAGAGTATTGTTCAGGTACTTGATGGTGAAGTTGAAGATGTTCGTGGGTAGGTTGCTCTGCACAACAGACCAAAGACCATTGAGCTTTTTAAGAGAGTGGTCCAACAGAAATGAAATAATAGCACCCTGGGATAGTAATTGGTGTGCCAAGCGCTCTCTACTGTCTGATTTTACTGCTTATAATAACAATAACAATAACAATAATAATGGAAACATTTCATTTTCAATTCAACTTAAACTACAATTACAAATCTCACTATTACAAGGTAATTTGCAATTGGCTAGCCTGGTTTTACAAGAAAAAACTATAACAATCGTAAGGTAAAAGAAAAAACTGAGAAGAATAAAACAACCAAAATTAAAACGGATGTAATTCCGGATTTGTCCATGGTTTATTTTTGCAACAAAATATGTAGTACGTAGTACGAATGGCAATTTTGGAAAGTTTAGAGATGAGATACCGTTTTTGTTGTTGATCGATGGAGAGAGAGTCACACATTTTGAAGAAAGAGATGCAGGAATTGCCAAAGATGCCAAGAGAGCTCATAGAAAGATTCACAAAAGAGACACATTTGAACTTTCGCTGTAAGTCAGATAGGAGAGGAGCATACTTGCTGTGTTTTCTTGTTGCATTTGTGTCAAGATTGGATTCAAAACCAACAGTAAGCTCCAAGATGTATAGGTAATTGTTGTTAGTCTTCAAGAGAAGATCTGGGCGAAGGTTTTCTCCAGTTATGATTGATGGTGAAAGATAGCCAGGTATATCAGCGTAGATGGTAGATTCATTAACAGCTTTAAGAGACGTAGCTAGAAAGTTTAAGATAGAGTTATAATAATAATAATAATAATAATAATAATAATAATAATAATAATAATAATAATAATAATAATAATAATAATGACAATGAGTAAAGAACTTCATCCTAGAAGCGATGTAGCAAGAATTTATGTTAGCAGGAAAAAGGGTGGTAGGGGGCTGATAAGTTGTGAGTATTGTATTGAAAATGAGACAAACAACCTGGCTTGGTATGTGAAGCATGCTAGAGGCAATATTATGTCAAAAGTGAGAGACCTTGGGGCAATGAATACTGAGGAGGCAGTAGCACCGAATGAACATAAGAATGAGACAAAAAGGCGCTTGGAGAAACGATGGAAAGATAAGCCGATGTATGGGCAATTTACTAAGAATACTGACGGAATTGATTGGGAAAAAAGCTGGTCATGGTTAAGGAACGGAGATCTGAAAGGGTGCACTGAAGCATTAGTGTGTAGTGCACAGGAGCAGGCGCTGCGCACTAATTATACCAAGCACTACATTGATAAAACAAGTGATACGCCTTTATGTAGAATGTGCGGTGACAAGGGAGAAACAGTGAGCCATCTGGTGAGCGAATGTGCTAAACTGGCACAGACAGAATATAAAAGACGACATGACAATGTGGCAAGGTATATTCATTGGTTGTTAGCGGAAAAGTGCGGATTTGAAAGAGCCACAAAATGGTGTGAACAGAAACCTGAAGGAGTTTTAGAGAATCACAAGTTTAAGCTACTGTGGGATTTTATGATTCAATGTGATAGGGTTGTTGAAGCTAGAAGGCCAGACATTGTTGTCGTTGACAAGGAAAAAAAGGATGTGAAGATAATCGATATTGCCATTCCTGGTGATAATAGGGTAAAAGGTAAAGAACAAGAAAAAATTGAGAAATATCAACCATTAAAGGAGCAAATCGGAAATCTGTGGAATATGAAGAAGGTGACAGTCATCCCTGTTGTGATTGGGGCATTAGGGTGTATATCATATTGTTTTGAAGAGCACATGGAAAAGATCGGAATTGATGTAAAGCTACAGGTGATACAAAAGACAGCACTGCTAGGGACAGCCAGGATTTTGAGACAGACATTGTCTATGTAAACTTGAGATGACAGAATGGGACCTTTGTCAGCTTGTTGCTGACTGCTCCCTCCTATATTATCCGGACCAATTAACATCTAGGTGTCTGTGAATCACTTAATTAGCCATAATAATAATAATAATAATAATAATAATAACAAACAAAAATTGTTGCAACACGGTCAGGGCTAGCTTATGGAGATGAAAGAAAAACAGATCGACAGACGACATACAGGATGAAGTAGTTAAAAGTGGAACAAACCTGAATACGCTGGTACGTCAAACGCTGCGAAAATTATGACGATGAAAATAATTGGAATCAGAAAGTTGATCAAGTCCCACGCAAACGATGCTGTCCAGTAACAGAATGGGCCAACACCACTCACAAATTGTAGGTGTTTCGCTTTGCTTGCTCGTTCCTGGACTAGAAAGACGACAAAACTTGATGCTAAGAAAGCCATCCCAAATAAGATGTTGAACGAAACGTTGAATCCAACACCATTTCTGTCAAAGGAAATTTTTTATCAATTATGCATCGCTATTTGGATGAATATTTTCATAAAAAACAAGGCTCACTGTCTGAACATAAGCAGGGACGACAAAAATGACTCGGTGAACTATTCTGAGCATCAAAACGGTATGCTAAAATAGAAAAACAGAAACATTTTGGACAAATACTTCATAACGATACGATATTTATCAGCTGTTCAATTTATCGTTTTTCAATCAACGTTTGTTTGATCAATCGGTCTTGAATCAGAATAGTGTTTAACACCAATGGAGGGTTGAGTTTTTTACCTTTCATCTTTAAAAAGGCAATTGACCGTCAATTTAGTTTTGGTTTTTATATATTTTCACTAGTCATTATTACAATCAATACAATAAATGGCATATAATAGTTTTCGTGGCATAAAATCAAATGCTACTTCAAACATGACCCTACAACCATTGCACAATTCTCAGCATCGTATTGGTTAAAAAAAACATCCAACCGTCTGTGCCAATTACCAAATTGCAGCATCTGGACCAATTAGAACCACTGCCAGTAAAAAGATGGCAGGCACATGACGAAATAAGATGTCCATATAATCCTTATCAGTCTACGTATTCCAATGGCAAATATTATCAATCCTTGCATTGTATTTTAAAAATGTTTTGTAAAAAGGAGACGCAATATAATGAATTGACCATAAGCTGAAAATCATAATAAAACTTGCCTGCTAAGATCATCAATAGACTGAGATGTAGTTCTTGGTAGAGGGTGATTGATCGTTGTAATGCTACCAGAAGTGCCTGTGACATACCGAAACCTGGCATTATTCACTGCATTTATTACAGCTGCCGATGAGTGGTAAGCGGCATTATTGAACCAGGCCTTGACGTCCACTAGGAAAAAACAAAGACTTTATGTTCTTTCCACCAGATTTAATTTAATTACAAACATAAATGAGGATTGGTTTTTGTCACCTCGGTTCAGATACTGACTCACAATAAAGCCAAGATAAATCATAATCATAACCTTGTTTTAAGTTGGTATCTTTCTAGTTAACATTTATCAATGTACACCAAATATCTACAGTATGTTGATTTCAGGACAACCAATCCGCTTTCTGGGTTGCTATACACGTGACACCGCAGTTAAAATGGATAACATATAAACTATTGATGTAACAAGAACAAGTAATTAAAGAGAAGCCATTCAAAGTCAAAAGACGATCAAATATTCTTTCATCTTGCACGCATTCATCATGTTAACAACACAACAACAAGATAAGTAAAACTCTTGAGATATCTGCATATATAGGCTTCAAATGACCACACATGTCTATAATGAGAATTAACTGCGTCCGTCAGTTTATCAGTTCTATATCCTTTAGCAGCACCAGCCTCCAAAAATTATTGGCCTTCTAGGTATCCTGAACAATATATTGTGAAATTTTAGGTGTTTTTTTGAAATGTTTAGCTGCTGGAGGGATTGAAATTTACAAAATAGCCATTCCTTTTTCTCAGCACATCAGGCATGTTAGGACGTAAACAGATTTCGTCGCTAGCTTTAAGAAAGGCATTTTAACAGTTCTGTTATTTCCAAATATCTTCTGCAAAATAGACGATGATTCGCAAACTTGTTTGACAAAAAGCTGCTTTATCCGCAGTCACTCGTCGAACAGGCAGATCCTACTAGATAATTTAGTAATATACAAGTTTGAAATTTGAAAAGAGAAGTGTGAGATTCAGATTTTAAACATGATAAACCACTAAAACAACATTTATCTCAAAAATAAAATCGGCGATCATTTTATGCCAGCATGCTGTTACGTATTCTTAGATCTTAATCTTAACTCTATTGGTATGTAATTCTTCCTTCACACTGGAACTAATAATATCTTAAGCCTATACTTCACATAATCGGAGAAATAAAATAAAAAACCGCTCTTATAGTGACTTTTCTAATCTGCTTGAAAAGAGCTCTGCCAAGAAATACAGAAGCTTAACAGGAGCTTACCATACCTTGAAAAATTGAGTACAATTTGTTACGACTTTGACCAAACATTGAGACTGGAGTGACATAAGGTTTAAATATTTAAACGATACACAAATCTTTGAGAAAACACAAAATCTGAGCTTGGGAAGAAACATCTGAGTTGAAAAAGGAAAGTAATGCCAAAGCAAATTGTCTAATAACTTACAAATATTACTGCTTTCTTTTGCATTCACGGCAATCAAATACTTCAAGTTGAATTCACCAATATCAACAGCTGATTTCTTTAGGATATATGATGTCAGGTTGCCATGGGATTGCTTTGTAACATTTCTTGGTTTTGTCTGTGTGTTTCTGAATTGATCAACGAAAACTTGGAAGAATCCTTTGTTGCTTGGGTTAGTAGTGCTACAAAGAAAATCTAGAGTAAACAAAATTGTTTTCGTGTGAAATAGTCTTTATCAAAATAGTCTATATACACCTCTAAACGCATTATTTATTAATTTGAAAATTAATAAATAATTAACTTTCTTTAATGAATAATTCGGCTTTGCTTGCAAATATACACTTGTTTTGTCAAGTTCGTTAAAGACTTGGAGAAAAATAACAAACAACTGAATAAAGCATAAGAATTTTCTTACTTATGAAGAAATTGCGAAAGTTGAACAGACACACTAAGTAGGTCGCAGCTAAAGTCAGATAAAAATTCACCTTTCCGGGTCAGAGTAATAGACGTAATTTTCCTTAAACATGTTTGAGTCAAGTGTAAGAGGCGGTGAGTCAGTTGGCTGTGGAAAGGTTTTAGCAACAACCATGGCCATCAAAGTCCAGAACCCTGGCATCAAAAGCTGAGTGATGATTGATCTTTTGTAACGCTTTGAGTTTAAGAAACGCTTCACAAACATAGCGCGCCATTTTTGGTAGAACAGCTTCTGTCCCGTGATGCGTTGCGAAGATCCAAAGTAGTCGTCATTTTCTCTGTGTGTCGACTGCGAAGGCGCTGATCTACTGGAATCTATTTCAAATCCACTTCTGTCTCCGTTAGACCTCTTCGAAGATGCTGTATTGAAAAAGGAAATACTCAAATTATCCTTGAAAATGTGATAGAAACGTAAATTATTTTAAAAAACAAATTATAATGCATACCTTTGCAAGGAAAATTACTTCATATCTTTATTTTTGAGGTATGCGCACTTTTGTGACAATAAAGAACAAATCCCGCATAGTTAAACAGTAACTTCAACCAAAATTTCTCACAAAGAATTCAGTTTCTAGAATTTCTGGCAAAGATATGTTGCCACGAGTGATAATTATTTTACGGATCAATCTGAACTATGATCTAAAAAAAGACAATATACCAGCAAAAATCAACTTACAATTAGATTTTGAACTGAGCTGGCGGTAAAGTTTCTTTGAAAGCGATTCTGAATCTTCTTGCAATGATTCCTCTTCTTTTACTCTGAGAAACACTTCCTCCAGGGTTGTGACGGACGCTCCATAACTTGATATGCCTAACTCATTTTTGTTCTCTTCCAAGTACGTAAACAAAGTCACAAAATTTTTAGATTCCTCGCTTGGTAGAATATATGAGAGTTCTAATCCTATATCAAAATGAAATATAATTTCAGAGGAGTGAAAAATGAAGAAGCAATTATAAATTCTAACAAAAGTGTGAATCTAACATGTGATATGAATCTAACAAAAGTGTGAGGTCTAGCGCCACCTACAAAATTAAATGCATATTTAAACTCAACCATAGATACTTAGGCCAGGTAATCAGCAGGGCATGAATAAATATTTCTTTTCTACGATTGGATAAGGATCATGCATAAATTTCCTGCAAGAATGGGTAGATAAAAGAAAAATGAACCAGGGTTCAAAAGGAGTTTTGATATATCACCAGCTTTGTGTAATTGAAAGCAAGACATCAATGAAAATAATCAACACTCCACCTCTCTCTAAATCGATAAACTATATTTAATAAAAAGGATGGAACGATTCTATTTTTATTATAAAATCATTAATGTTTTTAAAATAATATGTTATGCATAAATAGAAATATAGCATAAGAGAAAATATATTTAATGAGTTAAAATCGCCATGATATGAAATCTTGAGCACATCAACATAATTCTAAGAATTCTTAAAATAATCGAAAATTCTGCATGGACAGTTCAAGGGATTCTTAAGACAGATAAAGATAGTAAATTTATCAAAACAAGTGAAGTCCACTGTTGACTTTGATCCAGGAGTTGGGCTAGGGCCTAGTCGTCGGAAGGTCGTTGAGGACGTGGAAAAAGGTTGAGTCAATAGCGAACGATTGCGCGAAGAGCAGAAGAAGCAGAGCTTAGTGCCAGTTAAAGAATATATGAAATTTATTATTCTGTACTGGTGTGTCTGGGTCTATTTTAAGGAACTTTTATCGCTGCACATTTTCAAAATTTGACCACACCTATCGAACTAGCTGTATGTGAAATTATCGAATTACACCAGCTCTCACCCAAGCTTTACAAGAGACTTTGACACGGAAAAGTGGTCTAGGTTTGAACAAGTTTTCGAGAACAAAGATTTCAAAGGACAAGATGAAAAACAGAACAAACTAGATACTGAATTCGATAAACTTTTAGAGAAATTTCATAGATTAGGATCATTGTAACTGTTGTGTTCTCGTTTTTAATATTGTAATGCTCTTTTATAAGCTTTATGTGTCTACTGGTAGTTGTTGCAATTTTACTTTTTCACTATCAAATCTTTTTTAAGTTTTATCGCTGCACAAATTTTGAGTTTATCACTGCACAATTGCGATTGATCACTGCACGTTAAAATAAACTCTGCGCATCATTATCACGAAACAAACATGTATCAACGAACAGCGTCCACAGGATGGCAGAGAAAGTTGGTCAAGTTAAGTTTTGCCTTTTCTACAGCAACGAATAAAACATGAAATCCTTCCAAATTAGATTGCACCTACCAACATCATTTTCAAGTTTTGCACTTGGTATAAACCGCTTGATAACAGACGAAATCTTGGAGACATCACAGTCAGCTGATTTCACCATGACCATATGATACCCAACGCCATATTTATTCTTCAAGAACAGCGATGTTCCGCAGCATTGAAGGACTCCGTTTGCCATAATAGCAATGCGATCGCCTGTCAAAGAAAAAAGCATTGTAGGTCCCTATGTACCATAACATTGTCCTGCATCCTAGGGTCCCATGTACCATAATAGCAATACCCGTGAAACTCTTGACACAAAAACAATATATTCATGTAAGTGACAGGAATTTCTTCATTTCTGTTTGAAAATCGATGTCCAGACGAGAATTTGGCTTTAGTTGTGTATCAACTGGTGTATCTAGGTGATTTTATGTGTACACTAAAAGCGTGTACAGCTCTGCCTGTATGGCATTGAACACATTATGACAGACTGGTAAACAGTAGTTTCCATTACATCAATGCGTATAAGCGTTGGTTTGAATCAACGCACAAAGGGCCTACTGAAGGTTGATACAATAACTGCAAAGTTTGACAGATGTTATGAAAGAAGTTTGGGAAGGCGACTTGAGGCGATTTGAGACAAGGAGACGAGAGAAAAAAAGCATACCAACTGTAGCATTGATGGGCATACCTCCAAGTAGTACAATTTCAGCAACACTACTTGAGAAAAGACGGAGAGGGGAGGCGACGTATGGCAAAGGGAGGTGAAAGGAGGCGAGAGGAGACGAGTGGAAAGTAACATCTTAAGTCTAGCATTGATGCGAATACCTCCAAAGATTTCATTTTCAGCAAAACTACTTGAAACTACTTTAAAAACAAGCAACAACTCATACCAAGTAAGTCAGCTTCATCCATGAAATGTGTTGTGAGTAGGATGGTTCTTCCTTTTCGCTCTTTTTGCAGAAGATCCCATGTGAATCGTCTAGCAGCGGGGTCCATACCAGATGTCGGCTCATCAAGAATCACAATCTGTAATATTAGAAAGTATTAGCAAGACCAGCCAGGAATAACGACCTGAACTTTAAAAATTCCAAACTTTATATCAAAGCCAAATAAAATGGATCTGCTCCAGGTAGCTCGAAATTTGATTTTCTTACATTACTTCTTTTTCATCTTTGATATTATTTGTTCTTCGCTAAAAAAAGTATTAAAGTAGCAAAATACTGTGTTAAAAGATTTTAAACCACACGCCCCAATTACCTGTTGTGATGGACAAAAAAGGGACATCCGTGAATATAAAGAACAACTTTAAAAAACTTTGAAATAGCTACACATGAATACTTGTCATAATTATTATCAAAATCAAGATGAAAATTTAAAACGGCGGCACTCTCAACTGCAATTGAGTTTTGCAACAAACAATATCTAATATCTAGGTAACGCAGTTTGCATCAAATGCTACTTCTACTAAAGGTAACCCTGTCTTGCCCCCTCCCTGCAATGGTGTCATTCCGTTGTTCGTGGGCCACACTAAAGTGACATAAAGTGACACAGTTTAAGGTAAGCTAGGTCGCTAATGATAGATAGCCAAATGTTTTCTTATCTATGGTCACCCCACACATTGATGTTCAAAATGCAGTTACTTTTGCTCCCTTGATGTTAAGACCCTTGAGTATCAGAAATGCCATACAGAAAAGCATAAATAAGCAAATATTACTTTTGAATTGCCGATCAAAGCGATTCCTACAGACAACTTTCTCTTCATGCCACCAGATAACTTCTTCGTTTGCACATCTCGCTTGTCTTCTAGCCCAACAGCATTTATTAGTCGGTTGACTTCGCCCTCTAGCAACTTTTTATCATCGATTCCTTTGAGTTTAGCGAAAAACCAAAGATGTTCAGCCACCGTCAAGTTATCATAAAGTACGTTGTGTTGAGGACAGATACCTGAAATTGATTCGTTAATACGAGTTGAGCACAAAGAAATATCTTGAACTGCAGGCTGCTTCTGCTTAGGCCAACACTTCGTAGAAGACAAAAAGGGTGTGAAAAAGTTTTTAAATAATTAACAGGACCATGGTTACATTTGATTTGAAAACGTATTCGTATAGATATTTTCAAATAAAACGCAATCATTACTTTGCCAAGTATGTTAATGAAAATGCAAACACTCGAAAACGCCAGAGTAGAATCTTTAAGCCTTTGGTGCCTAGTCATGGTTGTAAGATGTTTTTGTCTATCTAATATCAAAAGCAGACACATATATCAGCAGATTCTTTTAAACGTCAGCGATACCTTCACTTCGTTTGTTGTTATCGATTGCTTTTGTGATGCTGACATTATGGTATAATATTATGTCACTTGATTGTCATGCTTGAAGGGCCACACACACTAAGCTTTATAATGATGAAGATTTGGTCACTCATCAACCACTGGCAAGTTATCATACACAAATAATCGTTAATTGAAAACTTGCTTGTAAATAATAACAACAAAGCGCTATGCACATCAATAGCTAACAAAGTAAAGTACAAGATTTTGATATATAGTTCATAAACCCATAGACCGAGATACAACTTTTTGTTTGGGGGGGACTGCCCTGATAAATAAGTGTAAAAACAGATATATTTTACAAATTAAAGTATTTTACTTATACTAGTTAAGCTTTTTGGGGGGCCAAGGCCCCCTGCCCCCCCTGATATCTTGGTCCTTGCATGAACCCCTTCTTCTTGGTCAACTTGCAAAGTGAGCCTGAGTAGCATCAAAACAAGAAATACTCGTGCTGCCTTACCTAAACTCTCTCTGACACCAGTTATATTTTCAGTGATGTCGTAGCCATTGACAACAGCAGTGCCTGATGTTGGCGGAAACAGTCCTGTAACCATAGAAATTGTGGTTGTCTTCCCAGCTCCATTATGGCCAAGCAGTGCAGTGATGTGGCCTTCATACATGTTCAGCGTCAGTCCATTAACTGCAACTTTGACGCCTGGAAACCAACAAAATTTAAGTTCCTTAGTTATATACTTATTTACTTGTACTGATAATCAGTTGAAATGTATAAGCTTTCCTGTAACTATTTTTTTACCAAAATCTTTATCAGTTTCCATGTTTTTTTGTTTTGTTACAATTGATTTTTTTCTCATTTCTTTCTTTTCTGTGTCGGCCTTCCTAATTTATTTCTTTTTCATACTTACCCTGGTTATTTCAACAGAAAGTCTACGAGTTAAACTGCTGCAGACATTACAAGACTTTCATGCTTTACTAATATAAGTGGTCCTTGTACAGTCATTCAGAATTTCAAATTTTTAATTGTGTAAAGAAGCAAGTAGCACATGAAAACTTAGAATATCTAAAAAATTATATTAAGTTGAAAACACTGCAGTCAAAATGAATATAGATATATTTATACCTGTATCAGTTGCAAACTGTTTCCTCAGATTCTGAATCTGAATTCCAGCTTTGAGATTTGCTGGCTCTTTCTCAATAAAACTTTCATTTGCAGAGGGCTTGTTATCTTCATCGTTTCTATTCTCATTTTGAAACTGGACATAATCATCATTTTGCAAGGCCTGAATTGAGGATAAAACTAAGATAATTATTTGATGTGGCTTTGATGGCAAACTCATCAACAGTTTAACACCTAATGGAATCATACAGGCTGGATAACAAAGGTACCTACTGCTCTAGATACCATATTCTAAAAAAGGTACAGATAGGTATGTATAACTTCAAAATACAAACAATCGCTACTAGTTTTTCAAGTGCGGCTGGATCTAAGTCTTACGGGAAAAAATATCCTCTATATTGAAGTTGGAGCTAATTGAGGAGGGTATAAAACTGACCATCACAAAACATTGTTTCTGTTAACCTGTGCAAACTTTACAATTTGTAAATTTAAAATTCTTTGGTGCAAAAATAGTCCTTAACTGCAGAAATCCAAGCTCTTGACAAACATTTTTAATCTCAATTTTTTATCAGATTATGACATTGTGATAGATTATAACTCATAAATGTAAACAATTTTGAAACCTGATGGAAGATATGATGAGGGAGAATGCCTGCCCTCTTCTTGATGATGAGGGAGAATGGTTTTATAGAGACTATGTTTGCAGAGGCCAAGAGAGGATTCCATTGGCCCCAAGCTATTGAAAAAGCATACAAATTGACCACATAAAAGTTACAGCATACTGTTAAAAAAATCGGAAACAAAATGTAGCCTTAAATTTAACATTGCATTTTTTTGTGATTGAAGATGTGATGTACCTACCTCAACCCTTTCACCACACCAGTAACTCTTTTTAAATGGGAAATACCATGGCTGTGGTATTCCATATTCACCAGGGAAAACTGCTTCAATATACCACATGATCAACCCATAAAGCACACTGTCAAACATCATCATAAAGAGAACAGCTCCAAAAGAAAAGCTATCATCAACCGTAACACCTTGAAAAAGATTTGACCACTGAACCCCTATACCTTGACCTTCAAACTTCCCTATTAAGGCCGCACCAAAGGCCATACCTACATTGAAATCAATGCAAGATATGGTCTTTTGAGGTGTATTCAGAAGATCATAATACATGGAGAGAAAGAAGTATGGTATATAACTAAGAAACCATGTGATGCCACCTCCAGCAGCAGCAGTGTTTGCACGTGAGAAGAATGTGCTAATCATAAAACCATACATGATGCTGGATATTGAATAGAGCACCAGGTATACAAATATTAGAGAAGGATCACTTTTCTGAAGCATTTTGCCATTGTTTCCAAATTTAACAGTAAGCATGATAGTTATAAGTGCCATTGGTATGAGGAGCAGCACGAAGCATTTAATGAACCAAGCAACCCAGTGCAAGTATCCAGTCAGTCCCATTATCTTCATTGATTCCTAAAAAAATATTGATTATCATCAGCAATTGCGGGCTGGTCTATAACATAAAGTGAATGGAATGCTATGTTGGTATATTAGATGAAACTACCCAGACTTTCAAATGTACATTCATAAATAATTAGTCTGAAAACTTATTTTTGGGGAAATTAGGGGTAGTTTTTTAGAATAGTGAATCATTAACAAATCATATTTTCAAAATCTAGAGTCTGGTGTAATGGACCTCAAATTTGAAATTATCATAATGAAACTAGTCTATACTGAAAACTTCATGTCCTTTGGACTGCACAGCTTGAAGTAAGAATGTTTTGAATATTTAGATATTTTTAAAGATTTGACTGGAATCTGCTAAATTTCAGCAGAAAAAGTGCAGGACAGCTTAGTTATGGGAACATTGCAATCCACGGCCTGGCTGTCCACACAAGATGAAATTTTTGTCACAGACAATAATTTCAAAATGAGGACGTTTTATCCTAATATGAAGATCAGTGACACATTTACCCACGGGCCCACTGGGCTTGGGCCCAGGGCCCCCATAAAATTCTTAGATTTAGGGGACCCTGAGCAAAATTTTGAAAAGCCTTTAAAGTGCTCTTGACTTCAATTTTGTGTTTGAATTGAGCTAGGGGGCCTTGCAAAGTAATGATTTCCATTTTAAGAAAGGAATAAAGGGCGTGCTCAAAAAGGTTTTCTTGCAGGGAGCCTCATATTTTCTATTTAGTCCAGGGCCTTTGAAACTTTTGGTAGCCCTGGCTGGAGCTTTACTTAATGAAATGACTGCGCTCAGTTTGCCATTGCCATACGGAGGTTCCTCCAGTGAAAAAATTTTCATCATGCTGAAAAGGGCAAAAGAAAAAGAGTGAACTAAGGTCCAGTAGCGGATTGTTGCTTTATGTTTAATGGCAGCAGATTTTGCTGTCCTGGGAGTTTTAAACTCCAAAAAAGGGGCAAGGGTAGTTTTATTGGGAATGGACTGAAATGCGAAATGGATGCAAGTTTATTCTTGTCTTATGGTTTTTATCTATCAAACTATTTAGTGAATATTAACCTAGTTGCTTTTGATTATGTTTAGCCAAGTAAAATGCATGTGACACAACTTTTTGGGTATATTATAAGGGGCCCCAATCAACTTTTGGCCCAGGGCCCCAACAGATGTAAATGCGGCCCTGATGAAGATGAAAATTGACAACGCTAGCTTGAAACCAAGAATACTGTTTATTTGTGCTTATAATGTCCTTGAAAAAACTTGAATGAGTTTATGTATTGCACTTAGTGATAACATGCTCTACTAGGTGACTGGAGGTGTGTTACACACTCACTTTAAGTCGCTTCTCTTTCTCATAAACTACTTCCTTGACAACCAGCAAGGCATTGTAGACCAATGACAGCATAAGAAGCAAAGGTAAACTGATCTGAATGACAACCACAAATGGGTCTTTTATGTATGCAGGATAAGGAAATCGTTGCATCTTTATCTGGCTAATATTCAAGTTGACACTTCCATTTATTTGGCTTCCTTTGAAAGAGATCAAGGCAGAATCAACAGCTAGTTGGACAGAAAGGAACCCCTCTTTGAAATAATCAGGAGGCCCTCCAGATTTTGATTTATTACTCCTTGGACCTATTCCATCGAAAGTACGTGGAAAAACAGATTTCGTTTGCCATGTCCCTTGTCCGGCCTGAAACCCTGAGAATTGGCTGGTTTTATTGGATTGGCTGTTTCTCAAACTTGAAGGAAATCTGATTTTGTAAGTTACATGCGTTTCATTCACATTCACCTTGAAAACAACCCCACAGAGGTAATTCCATTTGTCTGCTGGTTTTTCTTGATCGTTGATTATTTCCGTCACCATTGCTTCTTCTGTTCTGTAGCCAGAGATAGATGATGCACTTAGGCCTAGTGTAGTAACAGCTTCTTCCATAACTGAGCGAATTTCTGCATTGTTTGGAGTGTAAGCAATTTTCCATTTTCCTTGGCCTGGATGCTTATATGGTATACTTTCTATGCTAAAATCTTTCCAAACAGTAGCACCTATGTGCTCTTGTTTTATCCTCAACACACGGATTAGGAGAATAATGAAAATAAAAAGTACAGGCAGGCCTAGCCGAAACAATGTTGCTACCGGCCTTCGAATTTGCAAGATGTAGTTCTTCCATATCAACAAAGACAGTTGCTTGAAAACCTTCATTTTTAACTGCAAATGAAAACACTTTCAGTTCCCCCTATCAAACACTAAGTGCACAGTAAGCAGACACGATTACTCATCATTTTTCTCCTCACAAGACGCCTGTTGTCATGCATCCTCCTCGTGATAAGGGTGCAACCTCGTTTTCAACTGGTTGTATAGTAAACGTAAACACGGAAATTGCATTTACTCGCTACACTTAATGGAAGAACACGAGCCTCAAAATTATTCATCAAAAGAATAATCCTATAAAAACACGTCAAAAGTCTGCACTGTTTATACCTTAAGGTAATTTCAGAAAAATCCAGCTTAAAAGTCGTGAAGTTGCCCACCACGCTGGTTAGTCACGTAATAAGCAATTCAAGACGATTCAACAATTGCGGGCCTAACATACATCACTGTTTTACCCCATCTTGCATCTAATCGTTTTGTTTACTTTTGTGATATAGCATATAAGAACTTGATCTGGTCGCCCCTTGGCTTTTGCCCTTTTTCAAAATAACAAATGTCTTCCGCAAATCCACATTGTTTACAGTTTTCTAAGCTTAAATTATAATTTTGATACACGCTTATAATAAAGCAAAACTGTTTTTTGCAAGTGTTTTCAGTTAACAGGTCTTGTTCACAAAATTCTCTTAAGTTAACTCCACAACATTTTTTGTCACTTTATCATATCAGTCAATTGTTTATAATGCCTCCTAACACTTTGCATATATTTGTCAAAAACGATATTTCTCTGTAGTTCGATCTAGCTTTTGTGCAACATTATTCAAATGATGCGACTTTTTGACAGTTAGGGCAATCAAAATGAGTCAAAAACGCTGTTAAAAATTCTGATAAACACGGCACATAGTGTATGAGAGCAAAATAAAGATCCCCACAGTTATGACATAGCAAGATGTCGTCGTAGGATTCTTTTGATATAAGTAGTACAAAAGGCACAATTAAGACGTTTATCTGATTCACACAGACTACGAAATATGCAAAAAGTGTATCACAAATTCTAGCAGCAAATCAATTAACTGATAATTTGTTTTCAGATAAACGTATACTTAAGGCTGTTACTTCAGTGGGTGTGGTCCCTCAACCTCACCCTCACCCGGGCCCTTACGGCTTCAGAGCCACCCTGTAATTAGGATACCGGACCGCCGCTGCTCAAAGTTTAGAAAAGAACATGAAAAGCCAACCTGAACTTTAGTTTACTGGTTCCTACAAAAAGAGGGTATTTTTGGAACTCCATTTATGCATGATAGGCTGATTTTTTAACATTGCTTGAAATTCAAGAAACTCTGTTTACTTTCTGTTGTTCATTGTATAAAATGTGGGTGAATTAGTATTAATTCAAAAGTTTAATCCCCTTTTTATTCAGTTCAGTTCAGTTTTTCATTTTTTAAATTCCACTACATACAATTTATCAATAACAAGACAAGCATACATCTAAAATACAAGAAATTAATACAATATACCAATACAAAACATAGACACAAGATAGATTGTATGGAAGGAATTACTTACAGGAGGAGCTCTCTCAGTAGTTAGACTAATCGAGGAGAGAACACCCCCTATTATAAAAGTATCTCATATAAAATTGATTTCTTTAGTTTACATTATGATGTTGACAAAACTACTTGATGGGCAGATGGTGACATTTTTGATATCCACTTTTCCAAAATTTAGTAATTAGTTTCAAATAGGAAAGCTTTGATTTTTTGACGAAAACTATTAACAGATGGAGATTGTTTTATTTCCACAGGAGTGTCATTCCAGTATTTAGCTCCACAATAACGCACTGACCTAAGACCATATTGCAGGGTATTTTGAAAAGCAACAGGTCTAAGACTGATACTTGAGGAACTCCCTGCTTTATCTACATCAAATCACTAAAATCTATTTTACTCATTTATTTTACTAGAGTTTACTTCTACTTATTCTACTCTATCGTTTAGATACCTGTACATAATTTCCATTGCATTGTCACTGAAGCCAATTTAATCTCGCTAGTAGAAGTATTGAGATAAGGAGGTGAACAATCCATCAGCAATGCACCAGCAACATTCTTCTTTAACCAAGCTCTTATTAAGGTCTTCAGTACGTCGTAATAGAGTGTGCTATAACCTTTTCTGAACCCTATAAAATCCCCACTAAAGAAAGAGAACAGTTTAATACTGATGTGGTTGTAGATTTGATTAAACATTATTCTCTCAAAAATCTTTGGAGCTAAAGGGAGCACACTTATTTGTCTATAGTTCTTGGTTCTAATTCTATCACCTTTTTTAAAAACAGGGCACACAAGACTTTTTAACAAGTTAAACTTTTCATTTAAAAGAGAGCGATTAAATTCTTCTGCTAGTGGCTGAGAGACAACATCTATTGCCATTCTAAAGAACTTTTGACGGAATATCTAGGTTGTAAATTGTCTCTTTTACATCTATGGAAGTTCAATTTTCAAAGTAAAATTAGGAATTTGATGAATTTTATCAAATGTTTCCTTGGTTTTTAAAATACTATGATGGCTATCATGATGGCGATCAGAGCATTTCAATGATGTTATTAATGGTGATTAAGCTATTCTTCATTAGATTTTTGTTGCGTAAAATCAGATAAAGGCTGGGCTATGTTATGGCCTGATTATTCAACGTTTGTGCTGCTCTTCTATTGTCAGACGTTATCGTTTTCTATCAGTATAATTTTACTTGATTTAATATTTTGTTATTCGATAATGGCTGGATAATTTTCCGGTATTTTTGTTATCCTAAAAGAATTTTACATCTAATTTTTTGAAATATTTTCTTCTAGTTCATCTAATTAATTTGACACATTTGTTCTGATTTATTGTACTTCTCCCTGTGTACAGTTCCATTTCTTGAAGACGAAGCTTATTTTTTCTAAAAGTGAATCCAAAATTTCTTATTTTATAACCGAATTTGCAGCAACATTAAGTAACTCTGGTACTTGATGTTCTTATTTCCTCTTCAATGAAGTTTTAGATGTCCCCGTGTGTCTCTTTGAAAATTTGAGGTAACGTTCTTATAGGAGCCACTAACTCCTACATAGGTGAACCAAGATTGAACTAGCCGGGTGAACGGATGAAATGATTGTTGAAGGAGACAAACGTTAATTTATATGGCACTTCAATTGGCGTCAAACTTGAGTATGGAGATGACATAAACCATTTGCGTAAAGAGACAGATTAAAAGATGGGTGTAGCATCATCATTTTTGAAAAAAATTCAACTGAGCCTAGAGATCATGGCGACCACACGGTCAAGGACGGTAGGTAATTTTTTAAGAACTTAGAGTACAATGTAGAATACAAGAAACCAATTCACTACGAATTCCCTTTTAAATAAATACCTGAAGCAGTTAAAACCTCATAGATACTGCATGAATCTAGAGGGACAGTATTCAAGTTTTGTACCAGTTTTTTTTCTTTAGAACCAATCAACACCACAGGAGAATCTAATCGACAGATTTAAATCCTCCCTAGGCAGTAAGGACGAAGAATGATTATCGATTCTGGTTGCCTTCAAAACGAAGGAACGGTTAATTCACACACCAAAAGGTTTTGTCGTTTTCATTCATTCAAACTAATTCTTGTGTAAGGTTTTGTGTAAAGTTTTTAGTCGATTTGCTGGAATGTCACGGCGAAATGAGTTTTGACAAAGCTAATGGAAAGTTTCTGCGTCACAAACAGGTATCTAATCTGCTAGGGTTGGTATTATCTTATCAGTGGAAACATGGAATCATAAAAGAGAAAAAGAATGGGGACCAAGGTATGACACTTGTGGAACTCCATATTCTGTTTCTCCGCTGTTTAAATTGGCACGCAATTATAAAGCCTTTTAAGGAGAATTTCACGATCAACTGAATTGAATGTTTGTTACGATCAATGATTGCCCAATCCACAAATTCACTATGCTTCAAACTGGTTCACCGTAACTTTAAGTTTTTGAGCTGATGGAAAGTCGAAGAGCTGCAATAGTTTAAACGAAAAGTAACAATTTTGTCTCAAATTAACATTTACAGATATAATTGGTCCAAAATAACATTTAAAACATTGACTTATATTGTACCAAAGTTTTATTGATGAAAATTAGCATGACCATTGCTATTCTCTAAAAACAAAATGCTGCTTCTCAAATTGAAAGGATATTGTACTTATTTTTCTGCATGATTTCACAAGGATTGGGGGGAGGTGGGGGGGCGTGGTAAATTCTTAAGGCTTTACGTATCCAAGAGCAGTGCAAAATTTGCAAATTGATGCTACTCTTTGATAGTGAGTAGAAATTGAATTTGACAATGGTAAGGATGTTGACAACATAACTATTCTGATAAAAATTCGATTTGTGGTGAAACAAATAATTTGAATACATGTGAGGCACAAAGTGATAAATCTTGCTTTATCACTGTTTTGGATCGAAGAAGATGTTGATGAGGGCAAGGATGAAGGTTTGTCGCCAAGTTGAAACAGAAACCAAGCAAGACTCTCATGAGCTTTCTGCTAAAGATCTCCAAGAAGCTCTTTAGATGATTCTGTTGCACTTTGTCGAAATGAATAAGATTAATTTTGATATGTATACTCACTGAATTTAGCAGATAGGCTCTTCAAGCAAATTATCCGGCATGACCTGGATTTCATTACTGTAGAGCTCTTAAGTGTGAAGTCTCAGAAAGTGTAGATATTTTAAACTTTTGACCAATCAATCTGCAAATACAAATTAAAATGATCCTAAAATGCAAAGCAAGTTACATCCTTTGCAAGTTGACTGAAATAAATCAGTAAGAACTGAGTTTTGAAAGGTAACTGTTGTTTTGGCCTGGTCAATAGACTTTAGAACCAAAATCAAATGATTTGATGTTGAACAACCCAGCGCTGATACGACCATACCCCAGCCAGTTCGTGATATTGTTAACTGATTTTGCCTAATTAGAGGTAAAACATAGTAGTCTTTCAAGTTTCTCAAGTAAAAATCTCCAAACCAGATTTTCGTGACGTCATCACTGAAGAACTCTGTCGTTATTCTCTGCATGGCTGAGCAAAAACTTTATGTAATTGGTATGAAGACTTATTCCAGGAAGGAGAGTTTTTCGAGACCATTTATCCCTCATTCACGTATGAACTTATTTTCTCTTCATGCGGGAAAACAAACTGTCCCATCAACCGGCATCTTAGCTGCGTCAAGTGAGATCTCGCTAGGCGGGAAGAAAATTTTCGCATATGAACACGCTATACTGCCTACCCGGATAAAATTTCTTCGCTGCCCATGCGCTAGAGCTGCTCTTATCCGCACATCTCTTACCCGCAAAAACGCAACAATCAGAAAACCATCAGGATCAAAGAGGTAGATGGGACGAAATTGTCCCATATGAACAGGCCCACATTCTCTCCATTGGTCCACCAAGCAGGAGACGTATTTGGTGACGGCATAGGTTTCACAAAAGAAATAAATGAAACTTGTCTGATGGAAGAAACCAATAGCTGAAGAAATGCACGCGTGGAAACATCTGCTTCTTGCTTTGTAGAGTTGCCTGTTTAGATTTGAAAATACTTGATGGCAAGTTAATGGAATGCTAACATTTATAGGATATTCTCAAAGCAACTTAATTTCCCATAAATTACCAGTTTGGTCCAAATGCTTAGAATTTCTGAATTTGCAATGAAACCATAATGCAAACCCGATTTAAAAAGTTCACAATTTCAAAAAACGATGAAGAGAGGCACAATGAAATGAAATCAAACATTATCTGTGTCTGACCTGTTAAAACAGTTTTACTTACAAGATTACGTCTGCATGATCAAAATAAAAAATAATTTAAATGTACTATCAATATTCATTTCTCACTGGCAAAGAAATCGGAATGAAAATACAACGGAAAGTCATCACTTAAAAGCCTTTGATTCTAAGTTAGCGTGAAAGTTTGCCATGAAGACAGTAGGACCTGTAATGGAAAATGCGTTTGCTAAAGGAACTTCAAGACCGTACACGAATGCCGATTGGATATTGACTTTCAACACAAATGAACTAATACCCAAATGTATATGCATCCCACCGCAGGGCTGTTTTTATTTACAACGGGCTTAATATTTTCCCAAGTAAGTAAAACAATCCAATGTATGTAGGGATTGTACCCAGCAAAACAGGTGTCATAAGGAAGAAACACTAAAACACAGACCAGAAGATTGTTGAAAGCGCTTAGCCTATTAGCATGTTCCCTGAATAAATTGCATAGCATTAAGATAAATAGATTAGCTGGAAGCAGCTTTATTTAACAGGTGAAATTTGCCAGCTCTATCGACGATTCAGAGAGACTGAATCGCCCATTGGGGTTCAACATACATATATTCTCTTTACAAATGTCTGGTATTACGTTATAGGATGTTAAAGGAAATGAAGACATTAGCATGGTGCTTTTCAACACGCGGCATAATACAGTTTGGGGATACGTATACTCTGTACGAAAATTGGTTGCTCTTCAAAGAGGCGATGGAGTAGGGGCAATACCATTAGTTGACTGCCATACCAAACAGTAACGCCAAGGGATTACTGCAAATAATGTGAAGGAAATTGAGACGATGTCTCAATGTCACACTTATGAATTATTTTGAGAACCAATTGCCAGGTGCAGGAAACAAAGAGCTTTCTCATTAGGAGTCAGATGTTTCGTTTCAAGAAAGAAAGGACAAGAATCGAATTCAAAATCAATGGACCTTTGAGTGGATCGTTATAACGAAACATCTTCTCAGCGGAGCGAAGCAATGAATCAAACACAGCTTGAACTTACGAGCTGCAAAACAGCTTTCTTGGCCAGAGTATTGCTTTCAGAGACCCAGGCATTGATCATTACATGCCTCTTGTCTCTCTCTGCCCCATTCATCACAGCAATAAACTTGTTGCTTTGTATGTCCCTGATCAAAACCAAGCAAGCCAAACGCAAGTCTCAACGGTTCATCTTAATACTTGGAATATCTGACACTTGTGTTGGCACCATCAGTGCCCCAGTCATGGCAGTAACATTTTCTATGTTTCACAAAACAAGGATATGTTGGTATGAAAAATTGAGCTTATTTCTCGGTCATTTCAATGCGCGATTAAGTGCCTATGTGGTATTCCTCATTGGTTTGGACCGATACTTCAACATTATCACTGATTTTCGTTCTGAAAGTACTCTTCGTAAGTTAACGCAGTCCGAAATTGGACATAGAGTGTTTTTTGGTATTGTTTTAGTGGCAACGGCAGCCCAAGGATCACTTACTATAGTTGAATTTGATAACCGAAGTTTACCAAATAGCATCAGCTCGGCGGTTGACGCAATAATTTACTTAACTTATCTTTTCATTTACATTCGACTTTACTACAAAGTAAGAACATTTTCAAAAAACAACAGTCTGCATCTTGATCCAGAAGGAAATAATTCGAGGGGTTTCAGACCTATGTACGTGCGAAACTTGATCAAAACAGTTCTGTACCTGCTTTTGAGCGTTGGTTTCTGTTATCTCCCATACGTCATAATGAAATTCACCGTTACGTACATCGAATATCGACTGCATAAACCGGTGGGGCAAAACCTAAGGTTTGCTCATTACTTGTCATTCCAACCCATCATCTTCAACTCTTTCCTGAACACTGTGATTATACTGAATCGAAACAGTGTCCTCAAAAAGTACGTTGTATCAACAATAAGCTTTTGGAAGAAAAACCAAGTTGGGTGCCAAGAGACAGCGATTGGTCAGCGTAGTGCTTCGATGTTGAATGAAATGACACTTGAAACAAGACGGCGAATCAGCAACATGAACACTGTTTGGACCTTACCTACTAAACGAAGGAAGAAGGGAAAAAATCTCCAAGTGCGCTTTTCTACTGGGAACAAAGTCTTGCCAGTAATCAAAGACGTAGTGAGCAGGGACGACTCCGATACGACAAACAGCGGACATTCGACTGACAACGAGCAACTGTCTCGGCAAGTAAAAGGTTTCTAAGCAACTTTGGACAGAAAATGAATACGATTCGTTTCTGACAAAAATTAAAGGTTGGATTTGCAAAAGAACGCTAAAGAATGGTAAATTATAAAACGGCAAGCAGCAAGTATTCGGTAAAGGGTGGAATCTTGTCTGCTCTTATAAGTGGTGTTGGTCTGGAAAGCAAATGTGGTGATGGTCTGGAAAACAGGTTTCTATAAGAATGAAGATTCCTGAGTCCCGGATAAAAATAAAACTTAGACTCTTCATACAACCGGTAAAATTTAACAAAAATTAATACAATGATGTTTACTTTCCTTTTTTCTTTCTAAATGTTTGCTTATTTCTACCTCCTTTTTCGGATCGAAATTTCTTTGTAAGACTTTTTAAAGATGTTTGATCTTCATCATCGACTGCATTTAATGGTCTTTTCCTCTTTTCCCCGATATCACGTTGTTCCTAAAATGCAAGATCACTTCAATGGAATTGTGTATCAAAATTAAAACGAAACTGCTAAATTCGCTTCATTAAAGTTTTGGTAGGATTACATTTGGGGGGGGAGGGGGATAAATATTTGGAATTTACAATTAAGACTAAGATTGTAGACTTTAATAACTTTTCGGGTAGAATTGTTTCTATATAAGTGTCTCACTTAGGCAAATCGAATCAACGTTTTAAAAGTCGAAAAACTTTTGTTAAAAAAGCTAAACCAATCAAGCTGAATCTAGGGGTTTCTTTTCAAGGATACACGAAAACAAGACTGCCAGCGCTATTTTGTAAATTGGATTCAAATATCAAAGTATTGATCTGTTAAATATCTTCAGACCAACAATTCAAACACGGTTATGATAGATGCTTCAGATGGGAGCGCGGAATTTTTAGAAATAATGTTATTATCGGGTTTTGAGTCAACCTTTTTTCAATGGCCATGAAAGCGTTTCTGATTAGATGCAACATAAATTTCTTCGTACATGGCGAAGGCATTGCTACTTTTTCAGAATGGAACTATCCTAAAGCAAGGAGAATTCAATTCTTGTACCAAATGCAACGATTTTGTTGTTGACCAGTCTCTTGCAAACCTAAAAGTGACGTTTGATATAATCTTCATAAACAGGAATCAACTGATATGAAATTTGATGTTGATGATATTGGCATTAATTAACATCGTGCAGGTGCCAATCCACTTGTCACGTGCACTAGGTTTTGTCACGTGCACCAGACTATTTTTGATCATGGCCTAATATTGAAAACTTACCTAACTAGTGCGAACACTATACCTCCAACAAATTATTCCTACCCTTCAGTGTTTTGACTTTTCCGAAAACTGTAACAATGACTGAAATTGAATCCCAAATATCAAAGCACGGGCGTTAAGCACTTATAATATCATCAGTCATCACAATTACCATGTGACCACGGAAGCTCCCAGGATGATTGGACAAAGCCGAAACAAATTTATCATAATAAAAAACAATGGAGATAATTTAATCTTATTCGCATCTTCAAAAATAATTATTGAATTTATACTTTGTTCCCTGTTGTCGAAATGGGCTTGCAACAAAGTCCCCATTCTCTTAAAGAGGTTTCTATGTCACGTGATGAGCCTTCCTAGCCACAGGCGTACCCTAGCCATATGCAAAAATAGGTTCAAAGATTCCAAACTGAACTGGCGCAGGCTCTGAAGAGTTTAACGTATTTTTCTCTGAACAATAAAGGATTATTTTTAATTTTTTCCGTCAAGTGGGTTTAACTGCGCTGAAAACAGTAAGCAGGGAGGATTTATCGAAAACATTCGATTATGCTTTGATGCAAAACTGAATAAGCCGTTGGGATAAAAGCGTGCAAGACTAAGAAGTTCCTTTAATCGCTAAATTAATGGGGTCGCAAGTGAGAATAAGTGAGTATGACGTATTTATACTAATCGGTGCTAATCAACGGGCTCTGGCTGGGCAATGAATAATTCAGCAATACAAAGAACGGGGCTTATACAGACGAGCAATTAGATTGAAGAGGCCTAATGACCAATAAGCTAACTAATTCAACCACAAGTAAATATGTAAAGGAAATATTTAGCGACATGCCATAATTAAAAACATCCACTTTTAATTACATAACGGTAAATATTATCAAGAATAACAGGTGCATGCAAAAGCGTGTTTGGGCAAACTTTTGAGGAACAATCTGAAATATCATTCAACATGATAGTTGACCAAATGTCTACTAACACGATGAAAGATGCCTAAAGACTGTAATTACCTCAAAGATTGTTCGGCCTAAATTGAAGAGTGATGGAAGGAAGGTGAAAAATGTTTAAATAAGTTCTCAGATCTGCTGTGTTTGGGAAGATCCTGATCACAAGAGATGTTAATGAGAGCAATAAATAAACTCTTACCATTTTTGCGAATCTCTGAGCTTCAGTGACCCTCTCGACAAGCAGCATGACCTCCTCCTCAACAGTTGGGTACAACGGCAGTTTCTTCTCAATCAGCTGTTCAATTCGCTGGTACAATTCAACATCATACCTTGAGCAGAGAAGACACTTATAATGAAGAAACAACTTATAGTCCTCAATAAAACATCAATGTACATAACAGCCTTGACTCAATTACTTTCCGGCTAATTATTTCCAACTCAGCTACATTGTCAGCAATGTATTTTTTGAATGTGTACGTTTATCGAGGAAAAACTACTTGAATACAGTGGCGGACACTTGGGGGGGGGCAAGGGGGGGCGACCGCCCCCCCCAATACTTTAGAGGACAATGGTCTTTTGTTCTAGAACAATGGAACATGTGACGTCATCTTATTAAAACAATAGGCTTGCCCCCCAATATTTGATCAAGTGTCCGCCCCTGCTTGAACTGAACGGCAAAAAAGTAAACTTGAAGGAAAGTAAACAATAAATGGGTGAATAAAGGAAAGGCCACGATAGTAGGCTGCTCGACGGACTCCAAGGAGTTCTTGCGGCGAAAAATCGATGAAAATGTAGCAAATAAGAAACACCCCAATGCGACGAGAATGAACAACAATGAATACACGTAAATTAGTGAAGGCTAATATTTCGCCCCGGCATACGGGGCTTCATCAGAGCTAAACAATAAATGCACATGTAAACAACCAGATGTGAATTAACAAAGAAATAAACAAATAAGCAGCGTGATTCTTTTAATAATATTTTCGCGATTCTTTAATAGCCGTTACTTATACCCGCTAGATATACGTTCAGTTTTGGCTGAAAATTTTTGTCAACATAAAAACGCACACGAAAGAATCTAAAAATCAGCTTAATGTTGAACTAATAAATGGCTAGATTTTTTGAAAATTATATGCAAAGTTTTCCCATAGACAATATTCAAAATCTTTTTAGTTCGTTTTCACAGTTATTCCTACTACCAAACAAAGGCCTGACCATTTTGCATATTAGAAGAAAATGAAAACATCATGCAAAAAAGTGATTATCGATAATTAACTTCTTTCGCAAAGATTTTAAGTCATATTCTTACTGTGTCACAAATGTTATCGATCTTCCAGATCTGCCGGCGCGTGCAGTTCTTCCCACACGATGGATGTAATCCTGACAGAAAAAACATAGTCTTCAGATAAATTAACAGTGAAATAATTGCACACACGAGCAGCTAGCTAATGAGCTCCAGTTGCAGTTCTTTAATATATTTTATATTTAAATTCTCATTTCAACACGATATCCCTCATCAGAAACCTGAGTAAAAGTTATGGTAAATTAAAAAACTAATAATGGAAGACAAACATTTAAAAAATTATTCAATAATATGAGTTAATTCAATTATAATAATAATAATAATAATAATAATAATAATAATAATAATAATAATAATAATAATAATGATACAAATATTTACAGAGGAAGGCCTCAGTCACTCGAGGGTGCTTTTCATGATGGTCCTCTATTTAACTAATTGTATCGATTTATTAAAAACATTACAATTGAAAGTTCATCATATTAAGAGTGGATAAAATCAGTTCACATTGTCCAAAACCTTTGTTTAAAAATGTTAAAATTTCCTGCCAACTTAATGTTTGTGTCCAGTTTATTCCAGTCATCAACAAACAGATAGAATGACACTTGCTTCCCCCAATTTGTCCTTACTTTAGATAGATGGTATTGCTCTTTGTTCCTTGTCTGGATGTTATGCAAATCGTCCGATCTGTTACGCAAATTAGACGTCTGATTTTCATGGGACTCGTGTTTAATTTCGGCCTTACTGAGCTCTTCAAATGTTTTTAGGTATTTCGTTCCAAGCTTTAAGCCCAGAGGGGGGGAATCCTTTTTTGAACTCTCAAGCGTGAATTTTGGGATGTCGAGATTTCTATTGTTTCTTGTGCTATAACTAGAAAATACATTCCTCTGATTATACTTGTTCCAGAGGCTCTCAGGTCACTGCTTATTAACTATATTGTGTGTCATGATAGATCTATCAAAAGAGATGATCTGATCAACGCTTAGCCAATCACTGTTCCAGGGGTCCTTTCGTTTGGCATTTTCAATAATTGAGAATGCCCTATCCGGTAGACGCCGAAGCGTTCGTAGCTTCGTGTTTGGCAGGCTACCCCAGACGACATTCCCGTATCAGAGGTGACTTTCAACCAGCGCATGATAAACCTCACAAAGTTTAGATTAGATTAGAAAGATTTAGATTGTGGAAGATTAGATTCAAAGTTTAGATTAGATTAGAAAGATTTAGATTTTGGAAGAATGTGCTTCAGTTTTTTCAACGCAGACAGACCACTTGCTACTTTCCCCTTCAAAGATTTGAAGTGTTCCTTCCAGTTGAGATTCTTGTCCACAATAACACCTAGAGATTTAGTTTTTTTCACTCGTTTTATTTCTGTGCCATTAAGCTTCAGATAAGTTAGAGTTTCAATTCTATTTACTCTACGTGGATGGCAGATAAGCATAAACACAGTTCAGGGCTGCGCGAGGAAATAACATGGGAGTGTGAGGGTGTGGGGGCTTAAACATTTTCAGCATGAAAAATGGGGGCAGCATGATTCAGTATATTGCATCATGTAAACTTGGAAAATCAATGGGGAGGGGGGTGTCTAAGCCTCCTGGGTCCCCTTTAATATTGCATTTTCCTTAGCAGATTTAAGATCTTTCTGCATAGTATACCCAACAATCGATTACCAAATCCAAAACGGCATATTAACAAAGCTCCTTACTTTTGGTACAATTAACACCTCTAGAAGGCCTTAATATCTCTAGAAGGCCTCCAACAAACCTTTGCCATCAGCGTTAAGCATAATTATCATATGTAAAGTTAAGCTAATCGAATTCTGAACTTAATGGAAGATCAGAAGCATCTGCTGAGATTATAAGAAAAAAAACGCTTTTCTCTAACAACATCCCGGGTTTTGATGTTCATTATAAAAACGAACTAACCTTTGAGTGAGTCGGAATGTCAAAATTAACAACAATGTCGACATGAGGTATATCCAGCCCTCTGCTTGCCACATCAGTCGCTATCAAAATTGATTTCTCTTTTGACTTGAATTTGTTCAATGTTCCCAAACGTTTTGACTAAACAAGATAGTAATAAGTTATTTTGCATTCAAAGACAACAAATAGGGTCTGACGATTACTAGATAACTTTGTATAATTGGTCTAATGATATAAAGAGTTTCACCAAGCAAGAGTCTTTATTCTCTCAACAAGTTAGTCTTGAGCAAACGTATGATTTTTATTATATATTGGCACACATTTTGATGGTCTCATTCAAAGGGACATTTGTGAAAAGACTGCTAATGTCAAAAGAACACACGATAGATGTTTCGTCTTTGATGTTCAAGTTTTGCATGAACTCAGCGAGCGTAAAAGAGTCCTTGATACAATGTTTTGAATATTTTTGAAGAACAGGGTCGAAAACTACAGAAAGCCACTTGGCCAGTTCGTGTTGTGCTGAGCCAATCATAGAGTGTCAGACGAAAAGCTTTAGTTTACTGAATGTTTGCTTTTTTCAAAGTTTTGTACCACCAAAAGATTGTTTGTATAAATAGAGTATAAATAGAGTTGAGGCCTTCGCATGTATTTTTATAGGATTGCACCAGCACTGTCTATTCCAATTTCTCTTTATGCTACGTCTTGGAGAATGCAGTTGAAACTGTAAGCAAAAATGGGTGCTGTGTCACAATATAACTATTGTTGGAAAAAGTGCTAAGGAGACCCTTTGAAATACACAAGAGCGTATGGCCAAGAGAACATAATAATTGGTATGGCATAATACCGGAATTTTATATATACCTGGCTCATTTGTCCATGGAGTGGTATTGCTTGAAACCCCAAATGGCGAAGCAGCAAGGTGATTCTAGTAAAATAAAGAAGTATTACCTTTATCGACAACTGGATAATGGAAAAAACTAAATTGCCGTTTCTGCTCATCGTAAATTCATGGGATTTCTAAATTTGAAAAGTTGTCAATAACACGAGAAAACAGATGTTTGATCCAGAGTGAAGATTTTCATTAAAAAGTTTGGCGGAAAAGAAGCTTCGTGAGATTAGAAAAACGCGAAATCTTCGGAATAAACTTTCGCGAAAGAAGCGAAATAGGATCTTTTGGGAGAAGAAAAATTTGAGCTTCTGTGAAAATCGTGAATTTTCCGCGAAAAATTTTTTAATTCAACTTTGTCTCCTTCTATTTTCATTCCAACTAATAACAAAAAACAGCGAAAAAATATTCAAAATCGTTAAAAAATTCCTTGGTCATCAACGTTTCCAAAAGGGTCAATAACAAAGGATTTTTTGCAAGAATAAACTTTCGCGAATTTCGTATTTAAGGAATTTTCGCGGATCAAGCTCTTGCAATGTTAGGCCAAAAACGCGAAAAACGCGAAAATCGTGAACTGGTAATAATGTCAAAAAGTATTCTGCTGAACAAGTGCCTCAAGGATCAAGGTTAAAAAATTTAAATCTATTCCGACAATCCATTCTATATATCATGCACTTTAAAAGGACGCTTTAAATGTACCATATGTAAAATTGTGTTAACAAATACACTACAAACTACAGCAAACAATTGGTTATCGCGAACGACGATGTCTAGGTCAGCTCTCTATCGTGCAAAATTTAATTATCAGAAAAAGCCCTTGCCAACAGAAACCACCTGTAGGTCACAGAGGGCGATGTCCGGAAACAGCAACCCGCTCAATTTTCTTGAAGTTCAATCGTCAATTTAGAAATGTTTGAAATCAAGCTATAAAGGAAGCGAATTAGAGAGGAACATAGAAAAAAAAGATTTCCGCGAGTTTGACCTTGCAACCAAGCACATACATGAGTCGTATTAAGGATGAAAATCCTCACAAATAGGGATAATAACAAAAAGCTGATTTGCTTAACCTTGTTTACAAATTACCTGCAAAAGTTGCTCGAAAGCGATCTTGTCTGAGCAGGACTTCTTAATTTCGCTAGCAGTGGAAGTTTCACTGCTCATGACGAGTGAAAAATTATTAAACCAAATCCTAGATAAACATACGACAAAGAAAGTCTGTTTATAGACCACCTTTTTGAAAGCGATTTAACATATCGTTTTTGTTTAACCATACATTTTGCCAATTTACCTAAGAAGCTTTCCAATTTGTTAAAATCAGGGCAAATCGCAAACAGAAACCTATAAACAACCCTTCTGCGTCAAACAGAAACTCAGTAGTATCAAACCTTTGAACGTTATTGCAAGTTCCGCAGAATACCATGAATGAATTGCCAGCAAGATCGTTTAGTATGCTAACAAGATAGCAGTCCTGTGGTAAAGAGATACAAGATTTACAAAAGCCATTTTAAAAACAAGAAGCAAAATCAAGGTTTTGAAAAAACAGTGAAGCAATCAAATGTCAACAAGAGTGTGCATGTATAAAATTATCTATACAGAAATGTATTTTAAGATTTCTAAAATAACTTTTCTCTCTTAATTTTTCCCAACTTTTACCCTTTATCGTCATTCCTCTCTTATTTGTTCCCACCCCTCATACAAGAAAAATTCCATTTGTTCACCAAGGGCAGTTACTTTAGTAAACACTTGCAGTCCTCGACAGTCAAACATGTTTTGGACACCCTCCCCCATCCACAGCTAAATATTGATACCTCGTGTAGTTGGGCAGTTGTCTCAACGGCAGATGCCAGAACAGAATTATTCACAACCTTGATGAAAACAGATTTTCAACTTCACACGGAGAGTTTTAAGGAACTAAACCAAGTCAGAAAATATGAAACTCAGGAGATTATTTGCCAAAATGTTTATTTTACCTTGAACTTGTGGGGAATAAATAAATAGCTTTGTTGCAATTTTTCAACTGTGGTATACCTGAAAAAAAACGGTTTTCACAACAGACAATCTTGTACCAAGTATACCAACTACTGTGATTTTCCAATCACTTGAAATCCGCTTAGGCCTACGCTCTAATTTCTCCAGATCATACGTCAACAGACAACTTAATTACCTTAAAACATCAGCCCGAGATTTGAATTGCAAATATAAGCATTTCACTTGGCACCGAATTTCTGAAACGCATTCAGCAAACTGTGTTTCTATCATCTAATAATTGGCTGTGCTGGTTCCATTCAAAACAGGATACCATCCAAAGTTTGTGGTGTTGTATCGAATAAAAATAGGCAATCGGTGTACATTAAATAATACAGTTCATGCAATTCCAAAATAAAATAAAATCAGCTTTAAATACAAAAGCAAAATATATTAAATCTGTTAAAAAACAATGCATAGCAAAGGTATCGAAATGGTTTGGCACAAAATAATAAATGCACCGATAAAATAACGGTACGTGGTCTGTTATGGTCCTATGTGTGCGATATCATTATTTCAACAAATAAACGAGAAATTATGAAATAAATTTTCTGAATGAGAGTAAGGTTCTTTACCACGTTGGCACAAATTTACCATTTTGGCGATAGTGTCACCAACCGAGTCCAATAAAAAACTTCCAAACTTCTGGTAATGGAAATATGGACTAACCAATGTATAACAAAAAAATTCAAGTCTATTGAATTTGATTGGTAAAAAGGGATATATCTTTTTATTTTCTTGATTTGGTTTAGTTTTTAGGCTTTTCTTACTTGTTTTGATTTGTTTTTCTTTGGTTATTTTGTTCTTGACAATGTTATAATGTTACGGTGTTGTTTTCTAGAAGGCACCGCGGTTCCTAGATGTTTTAAACGGTCAGAAATAAGGTTTTGCCTGAACTTTGTCGATCTCGAGACGGAAAATTTCTTTTGATACATAATGTTGCAAAGTTGGCCGAAAATAATTTTAAGGAGTAATGGAGGTGGAAGTGAGTGTTTCACAAACTTACTTGGTTGATACTTCTACTTTCACGGGATTCTGCAGCGAGGCTCGCTGCAATTTTTGAACCTGTAATACACAATCAATTCAGTGATTTTGTCTCATTCATGTTAATAATTAATTTCTTAATAAATAGATTTGATCAGCTTCTAGTTTCAACCTGATTCTCTTGTAACAAAGCGCAGAAGAAGAAAGATATTTCCCGCGAAAGGGACGGCGATGCTTTGATCATTACTCAACTGCTAGTTTCACCGGATCCTTTTAGAACAAGACACACCAGAAGGAGTATGTGCCTTGTCACAATAATGCAGATAACAAAAAATAAAATTCCAGCTCTCTGCACATTGGTAGACAGCCGCCATGCATTGCTGTTTTCCCTCTTTCTTCATTTTATCAGCTTTTCTATAATTAAATGTTTTTGGACAAGGTCAATCTGCAAACCGAGACGTACTGAGAACTTAAAACTCAGCACAGAGTTCGATTTTACAGTGAGTTAGGGTGTCCTAGTCCAAATCTGCTTCGGCTAATAACGCAATTTACGTCAATGTATAATTTCAAAATACATACAGAATAATTAGTATATGTTATATAATAGTCTGCACCCTCAGTTTTCTCAATCCCGCTACCCCTCCAAATCCCACCTCCCTCTTTCTCTCAGTTCCCCTCTACCCAACTCTTTCCCTCCTAATTCTCTCTTTTGCTGCCTGTTATCGTGGAAACAACAAACAAACTTTAAGATAACAAACGAAGCTATGCTACTAACCTTTTTAGTCATAGTTGCAGAATATAAATAAGTCCTTCTTTCTTTTGGGATAATTCTAAGTATTTTATCAACCTATAAAGGGAAGAAAGTTTTAAAAGTGATAATATATTCTACTTTAAAGTTTGACAGGTATTTTATAAAATTGATAACAGGTGAAGCGAACTAGCTTCAATCATAGACAACCTACTTCTTCTTCAAAATCCATATTCAAAATTCGATCTGCCTCGTCCATTATCTAAAAAAAGAAGAAGACAAAAAAAATTGCAATTCTTCTGTTCTTGCAAAAAAATTGACAAGACTTCCTGACCAAGGAGGAAAGATTTCTGATCATGATACTTAGCTAGTTTTTCTCTGTGGCTGTGGAACGCATCTACAGCCAGGGTTTTTATTAATATTTAAGTAGAAGGCTGTCTAATGAATTCCCTGGTCTACGGCACTCAAAACAACACTAAACTGAACATCTAAAACAGGACCAAATTTAAACCTTTGTCACTTTGAGCATGTTTAGAATACATACAATTTTAAGAATCTCATGGAGTCATTGTGAGTATGGAGGTATTACATTACTTAATTTAAAATAAAATTTAAGTAAAAAAATTTAAACAAGCGATGACTAATGTAAATGCTCAACAAGCGATGCTACAAACAAATTACTTGTCAACAGGGGCGGATCCAGAGCAAATTTGGAGGAGGGGCAGTTGGTAGTGGGGGCGCTGAAAAATTGGTTACAAGAGTATGCTGTATACAACAATTTCAGATGCATTTTCAGAATGAACAACATAACTTTGAGGTAATCCTTGGAGCAAATTAACCTATCGGTCCAAGAACCTTTTTCATCTGATTTTCATTCTTCAAAAGGGGCGCAAAATTTCCAAAAAGGGGCGCCAGACTTGCTTAAACTCGTTAAGGGAGGGGCAACTGCCCCTAGTTGCCCCCCTTAAATCCGCCACTGCTTGTCAAATACCCTTGATTCTTTATACTTTTAAAACGTCAATCTATGCATAGTTGGAATTATATAACAAACAATTTAATTATAAAATATTGGAAACATCCTTACTAAGTATTTCAAAGATCGCAAACTGAAGCCCTTTGTATTTTCCAAGTGGTCGATGAGTCTTCCCGGTGTCCCTGTCAGGGAAATAAGAAAGGCTTAAGAGGATAAAGTAGGCGGTGAAGTATTATTTTTATAAAACGAATTCTTCGTGTTTATGAGGGAATGTATATTTTGCTAAAACATGAAAAAACTATTCCATAGTTTCAACTTCTCATATTCAAAACTCTATTTTGATCTGCAATGCATTTTTTGAATCCGATACACCTCATAAATATCATTTTCTTAACAATAGCTTCTTTTACATTGTTAACATGGTACAAAAATAACAAGTTGTTTCCAAATCTGTTTAAGCTGAATCTGTAAAAATAAAAACAACAAATCCAAATTTACGCAGACAGAAAAACTTTTGCAATTTTTACTTGGACTCTTCAAAAATGTAAAGGATTAGTGGGTATTGATTGGTCCGTGTAAGGAACCAATCAAACGTTTTTATTATTACTTCAAACTTCCTTCGACCCGCATCTGGATGTAAATTTTCCACCTTTGAATCATTTCCCGACATTCTATGCAAAGAGGAGTGTCAGGCAAAAACTTTTTTCAGCATGCTTTAACAAACGTTCCGGTATTTCGTGGAATTTTGAAAAAAATCAAATTTGATTAAAAACCCACCAGTTGCGAAAATGAATCTACAAATATGATTAAAACCTTTAGAAAAAAAGAAGGCAAAAGGGAAAGGATAATATTTCATAAAACCATAGCGCACATAATATTGAAATTATAAACAAAACAACATTTACCTGCAAAAGAAAACAAATTCCCTGGTATTCATCGAATTGAATAAATTCTTGATTTATGTCTTAAAAGCAAGAACATTTCTGACGAATGATTTTGCATAAGCCAGGGATTCCGAAAGGCAGCTGTGGAACCAACGCATATAAAGGAAACTAAAAATCATTCGGCACCACAATCCCCCCTCCCCCCTCTCCCCCCATTAAACCAAATACTTCGCTACAATTGACCTTTCTAATGATTTGAATAGGCAATACTGATAGGTTTTTGCAGATCATGGGATTATCAATAAGAACGGAAAATAAACTGAAACTTACCAATAATTATATGGGGCTTTTTGGCTAGAGCTACTGCCTGTGTAACCATGTCAATACCACCAATTACGACAGCTGAAGAAAAAATTCAGAAATGCGTTAACTCGCGTTGCAAAGGAATTCAGTTTCTGAAACAGGAATGTAATGAAATCATCGTTTTAACGTAATGAAATCATGTGCTCGTGTTTCTGATTGGCCTATTTCGATCCACAACTGGGTATATATATTTCCTAGCGTAGAGTTTTCGGTCTATGTTCTGACGTTTTAAACTCTGAAGAGTGTCAGACGAAAAGCTTTAGTTTACTGAATGTTTGCTTTTTTCAAAGCCATTTTCAAGTTTTGTACCACCAAAAGATTGTTTGTAATCATCGTTGTATTATACTTTATACACCTTTATGGCCCAACTAAGGAGGGCTTGCTTTTGAAGGGGAAGGTAACAGAAAAAACGTTATAGCATTCTGTTGATTTGCTAGAGTTTAATTGAAAGAAGGCGAGTATTAAATTTGTAAATAGCTGTACAATTTATAAATATTCGTAATACAAAAATGAACAGAAACAGTATTTTTTATTTGTGGTTTGTTCATCGGACTAGGCAGCCAAAGGTTATATCTTTAGAGGCTTGTTAAAATCATGAGCATCTTGAAATGGCTTTCCAATGATTATGACATATTTCTTAAAAAATACCATCCCAAAAAACCTGTAGCCTCTTAATTTTTGTGAATAATCCGGTTTTTGGAATTTTCACGTACTATTTCAATGTAATTAAGAAAACTACAGTAATCCTGGTACTTGTCATTGGATTAAATACGGCTTATCAAGCGTCCCTTACCACATTTAACTCCGATTGAGGAACCGAGGGCTTCAAACTGTTCTGATATCTGGATTGCCAACTCCCTAAAATATTAATGGAATGTAGCTGATAGGCCTGGGCAAATGACAGTACAAGCTTTACTTAATTAAACATTGGCTGGCCATGTGGCACTATATCCTAGAACAAATTTGACTGTTCTTATCTTCAGTTGGCCGATTCGGCGCATTAAATTGATTATAACGAATATGAACAAACTGTTTTTCGACAGCTGAAATGCACGGTACAGGGCATCCCACCATAGTATGCACTTTCGTATAAACGCAATATGTAAATGAATTTGTGAAACAGAGGACTTCATGACAGCAGGCTAACCACATGTCATGGGCTGGAAAGCTGGAGAGCATCGTTAATTAGCAATTCAAATTTAATAAAAGAATCTTACAATCCTTTGAATAACACTTTGAGTCACCTTAAACCCAGAAAAGAAATCTCCTGTTGTAGGAAAAGCTTCATATTTAACTATTTTAAAGGAACAATTTCCAACGCAGTACCTCTCAACATATAAGACAACTTATATAGACCTCTCAACTTATAAACTATTAGAAAATTTCGGTTTTGAAAGTTAAGAAAATTGTAATAAGAATTTATATATACACAGATGATATTAAAATGTATCAATTTAGTTTAACTCAATTAGCAAAATAAAACATGTTGAAAGGTCATTTAAGGCAAACTAAAGATGGAGAGGTTGTTCCCCATGAAATGTCTGAAGTAACTGAACATGATTAAACCTTTATCTAAGAGTACACCAATGTTACAAAGAATGATTTATGGAAAGCTTTTGTGCTTTTAGACATGGCTGAAGGAGTTGTGGTTTTAACATACAAAAAAATTTCCATAGAATAAGTGATGCTAGAAAGCATGAAGGAAATCCTTGCAAAAAATGAGCTTTACTAAGATTGTACAAACAAATATGATTTACATAACATCTGTCTAAGAACAGCAACATTAATAATTCATACAAGCAATATTGGCCTCTTTTATGATGGAAGTCTGAAATTTTTCTGTTGTAAACAAAGATGCATATTAAATCTACCTTGTAGGAGTGAGAACAAGGGCAAATAGCCTTTGTGGGTTTTCAAGAAGTGCCTGTAATACAGGAACGGCAAATGCTCCTGTTTTGCCAGAGCCAGTTTCTGCCAATCCAATCAAGTCTTTGCCTGCAATTTAAGAAAATGCATTTCGTGGTTATCTTTTTTCTGACAATATCAAGAGATAATGTTACATATTGATAAAAGTCACATAGAAAGGAACTTCAAAAACAGTGTTGTAAATCAATATAGTTTAAAATGGTCTACAGCAGCACTTAAAGGCAGCTTAACATAATCAAAATTACAAAACCTTCCAGTGCAACAGGTATAGCCTCTTTCTGAATTTTTGTAGGGCTTTTCCAACCAAGCCTTTCACATGCTTGACACAGAACATCGACTACACCCTGAAAAAAATAAACAAAGATACAAGAAAATGTAGAACCAAAGAGCAATTGAATTTAAATTTGACACCTGTCATTTACATGGGCTCCGACGCAGGTTGGAAAGTGGAGGGGCCAAGAGAAAATATAACAATCATTACAAAAGTTTTTAAAAAAAGCTCTATTGTTTTGCAAGAAAGTGAGGTAGACAATGGTAACATCTCACTCATCTTCACTGATTACTTATTTTTCCAGAACTTGAAATTAAACTATGTTTTAACTTAGCCTGAAGTATTTTTATAATACGACCACAATAAGTGTTATCAAGTCTTGACTAAACCTGTTGTGAAGAAATCCATGAAAACAAGCTTGTCAAAGGGTTGTTTTAGGGTGTGTTGACATTTTAATCTTCATTTGTTTTTGCTTTTGTTTCATGGCAGACGATAATTTTTTCTTAATCCTTTGAAGGATGTTCAGGCTTTCGTGGGAAAAATATAGCAGGCGTGCTAACCACCGCACCCCTGAAAACATCCGGGCGTGTGATGGCGTGTGACATTTTTTCACAAAACATTTTGGTAATTATGGTAGATCTATGAAGAAATGGCCAACACGAAAATGATGACAGCAATAATTTGATGAAATTTATTTCGCTGAATTCTTACCACGATTACTTGCATTATAGCAACTGAGCAATTTTCTAAACAAGTATAAACTGAGCTTATTTAATATATCCAAAAAAATGGCACTACAAGTATAGAAATATGTTTGCCATGTCGTAAGCAGTTTTCATTAGCTTCAATAATGAATCCTTAGTAGAATCATTGATGCTTTGGCGTTCATCTGGTTGTAATGGCAGTTTTTGCGTGTAAATCAGTGCATCGAGAGCCCTTCGTTATCAAACATGACAGCTTTTTTGTGTACCTCACTGGCCAGATACATAAAAGATAATGATGAACCAATTTTCATTAAATCAAATGTTGCTAAAATCTAGATTTAAAGCATAGCGATGTCTAAAGAGGGGGCTGCAGGGAGTAGCGAAATCTGCAAATCCTCTGTTATTTTTTTGTGCATCATTGGCAAATCGGCTCCTTTTTATCGCAAAATCGGCTACTTTCGTACATTAGTGATAGAAAATGAAAGTCTTGTTGAAAACACTAAATGTTCCTCTTAAAATTCGGGGACAAAAAAATGTCTGTTATAGTCTTCGGTGTTTGTATTTGTTCGATGAAATGCCTTAAAGCCTTGAAAAGGTGTAAACGTTTGCACAAATCTCTTCTCCTTTTTTGCATCATTAAAGGTGCATGTTTGCCAATGTATGTTTTGTCGCTGGCAATAATGACTCCACCGAGAAATAGTGATAAATATACACCAGGAATAAGTAGACCAAAATAACGGTGAAAATTTTTGGAAAAGTTCGTCATATTGAGGAAAATTATGATGAAGAGACTAAATCAGGTTCGTTATAACGAGAATTCGTTATATACGGAATTCGTTATATACGGAATTCGTTATATACGGAATTCGTTATACAGAGGGAAAATGTGCAGAGACAGAGTTTTAGGGGCCAGACATTTTTTGTCATGCCGGAAAATTAGTTGTACTTGTAACCAGGTCAGGTTTCATAATATCAGGATTCCACTGTAGATTAGTTCTATGATTATTTCAAAATTTTATATTTAATCCGCAATCCTGAAAAGGTGTCAAGCCTTTTTGAAGTGGCATTACGTAATTGTACCAAGGAGGGATCAATATATTAACTCATCTCAAAAACGCACAAAACCAATAATTATGAATTTTGCTCCGATAATAAAAGAAGGCGTGCGATGTTTTGCACTCCTGGAAAGCAGCAGGCGTGCGCCAGTGCGTGCGCGTGCGATTGCACGCCTTTCGGACGAAAGCCTGATGTTCTTTCTGTTCTGTTGCTCAAATGTCCCAAGAACTTCGAGAACCGTGAGGGCCGCGAGCCTGCAAGGTAATCAGAGCCCGGTTTGGTTACCTTTTCGTTGTTTCTGTGACATAGAGTCTTATTGTGATGCTGGCTTTTAAACAGAGGGCACTACGCAGCAATGTAATCATTCTGTAGTTTCTTTACCTCAAGAGCAGTTCTTCATCTCTCTTGATTGGTAGAGTTCTCAAAAACGATTATCGCTGGGCTATTTTCACTACATTCTGAGCAAGAAAATCAGCCAAGTCAAGAACAGCGTTTGTAATTAAAAAAGGGTGGTTAGCCATGCCCCAGATAAAATCCTGCCTATGTGTTTTATCCGTGGATATCCGTGGAGTAACAACAAAGAAGGAAGGAAATACTCTACCGCTGGCCTGTCTTTCAATGGGTGGTTTATCAACAATACATTTAAAATTCAATAATTTATTTTAGGAAAATTTGCCATAAACTGAAATTTTATTTCCATATTTTGAGAAAGAATTAAAGATTCAACAATTTGAAGAGACTTATAGTTAATTTAAGAAACTTTTCAAAAACTATTTATAAGTGTTCTTTTAGAAAATTATTGTCCAGAAAATGTGCAGAATGGTTTATCCTGGACAAATAATTCTGCATAGAATCCTTGTGTTGTGATTCCTGGTCATTCCTTTCAAGGTAAGGAAATCCACTTATGATTACCAAGCCCTTTTTGAGGCTACACAAGAAAGGACTACTGGCTGATTTGAATAGGTCAGTTTTTTCAAAATCGTTGACAGGCTTGAAACCCCAGGCATGAACTGATAGCTGTTCACTGCAACCCCAAAACCAAACCCTCAAGGCATTTGGTTATGTTGTGCGGCGAAATATTCTGTAGTTGTAAGCATAGAATGGGAACTCAGACATTATGTAAAAATTGAGATAGCATGGAACTTTAAATAAAATAATCAAATTTAAATATGTTAGATGTTTAATGTTTTTTTCAACTCATCTGCAGATATATTTGCAGGGAAATGCTAAGCATTTTCGTTACATGAAAGGAAAAGTTCTTAACATTTGTCATGATGAAAAATAATGAATAATAAACATTTTTGCTCTGCAGTGACTTGGAATTCATAAATGAAAATTGACCTTCTGAATTTTATTGTTTATGAAATTGCTTAAACAGTTAGAACCATCAAACATATGACTTTTGACCTTTCCTATGGATTATGAAAGGGCGTGGTCCTAAAAAATTTCCCTTCCCTTTTATTTCCGATTACCTACTTTCTGACGCTTTGCGCTGCCCCTGTTTGTCATGTAAACCTAAAAACTTTGGTGGGCAGTATAAGATCTGGGTGTGCATTCACAAACTTTTACATTGTCTAGGTGCATTACCTTTTTTCCTATTTTCCACATGCCCCCCCCCCCACCTAGTTCTAGGCACGATCAATTTTGTGTTTTTCGTCTAAATTTGATGATAAAATGTTGGGGGAGGGGTAATATTTTAGCAACATACTTTTTGGGATGTAATCCTATGATTTTCAAACTGCCTTTACATAGCCAAAAGTTCATATATATATTTTTAATACTCCTTGGAAAACTTCATATATGTTTTTCTTTCAACCCCCTGGAAAAAGCATACATTTGTCTGATACCCCCTGGAATATCCTTCGTGCCAGACCCCCTGGAATTTTACTTCCATCCCCATGTACAGATATCAAATGGAATAGCCCGGATTGTAATTATTAAGCCTATTTGTGTTTGCTGAAAAAAATTGAGTTTGAGCATCTACACCTAGAAAATTATAATGCCCTATGATGCTTGTGACATCGATAAGGCTCAAAACCTATTGAACAGAACATAATTTGTGTGTATATACACATAACGTACAATCTAACATTAACATGGATGAAGTTCACGTGGAAAAAAACTGACTCAGTTTAGGCCATTTTGGTAAACGATGATAGGTTTCATCTTGCTGTTTGATTGCCATCAAGAGAGTAAATTGGAGGTGTATTCAATTGCTGAAAACACTGAAATAAATCAATAGTTCTTACCAAAGAAGCGAACGTAGATGCGTCATCTGGACTCTGATTTTTCCCAATTTCGTCCGCCATGTTTACTAACGAAAAGGAATCTTGGTTGAAAACGAGAATCGACCAAACCACGTGCCTTGTTGAATTGAATTACTCGAGCGTGAATTTTCAGTTTGCACAAGAAAGAAGACAAAAACTAACTTTGGGAAAATCTAGATAGATCACAAATTTTTTCTACTTGCATCATATTGAAGTTGAATATTCTCTAACAGTGAACAGCATGTAAACTAGACACCTTGACTGTATATTGAATCTCAGAAGTTAATTCTTGAAGAAATTGATAAAGATCTCAGGAGTATTTTCGCCTTCAATTATAGTTTCATTGTAATCATAGTTTTGTTTTATTTCCATTAATTAACATAGCCAATGTAAAAATTAAGGAAAGGAAAAATCACATCATATTCAGGCACTAGGAAGCAGGGGGGCTTTAGCCTCGAGAAGTGCAAAATTTTAAGAAATAAAATAGATTTCTCAAAATGCTTGAGGCTCCCAGCGACTGTCACTGTCACAGGATTGCGAGTATACCTCGCGTAGGAGTGCGACTGAATTTGTTACTTTATTTCGTAGGAAACTTACTTACAATTTCCGTCACGCGACCGCTGCGGAGGCACAATGGTCGTGGTGGTTAATTTTGACATCAATTCTTGTCATTCCAAGGCTAATTTGCCATTTGGGCAGCCCGCGTAGTCTTTTATAATTCCTAAGGGAATTTGTTCTTGTCATCGCTTAAAAATGCTTTGAGATTTTATGTAGGCTTAAAATATTTTCAAAAGGATAGAGAGACGGCAGAATAAAATGTGTTTTTAAAATCTAGATCGCACAGGTCAATATCAGTGTCATGTGGTCAAGCAAATTAGTCCCTTGAATGTTATGTTGACTAACAACAGCAATTCTCCGTGAAAATCAGAAATTAGGGTCTGGCTTTACATGTAAACCAATTACTGCGGATTATTTGAGAAAAGCTTTTCATCCTGTTGTTCGCAGCAACTGGGAATGCAACTGGGAGACGGTCTACAATCTGAATCTGCATACCAAGCAAAACACAACTTGTTTTTTCTTCGAGAAAGAAAGCAGGATTTAAAACCGATCTCAAACGAAATAATTTGATCCCACCTAAAGAAATATGTACCATCACCGAGAGACATAGGTGCAGAGCTCTGTTGTGGTAATGTTTTGTAGGAAACTTGTGCGCTTTTAATTGTAATTGGAATAGCTATGATGGTGGTTTCTTAACACTGTTATACATAAACACGCTGTTTTGAGTAGCACACTTTGGATAATGTGTGGAACTGACCCTTTCCTATTATAGATCACAGCAAAATAATTGTTTGAGTAGCAAGAGGTAGAGATGCTGCATGATATCTAGGGGTGCTACGACACCCCAAAGATCCCCCTGCTTTTTATTTGACACCTCCAAAAAAGCCAACGGAGGAGGTTAATACTGACCAGCTACTGGACGGGGGTCTGCTGCATACCTAATCAATACGGGTGAAACTCACGAGAGCGTGTATTAACGCGAATGTGGAATTTACTAGGTTTTCAAAAACTCAAATTCTTTCAATTCGCGTTGACTAATTCACAAAGTTAACTTCTTGTAATATAGCACTCTTCAAACAAGCCCATCGTACTCTCGGTCCACCCCTAAAAATGATACAGAAAAGATGAAGACAGCGCAAAAAATTGGGCAATTTTGCAAACCGAACAAAACTGCTTATTGCTTCAATGTATTTCAAGATATCAGAGATTTTGTTATAACTTTGTCATGGAAGTAACTAAATCTTTATCAAATTTCTGTAATGCTACACAGTCACAAAAATCTTTCTATACATATAATAACATAACGCGTAGTTTAAATAAAATCTTTGAATGTACTGATTGATCAGCGGTGAGTTAGAACGAACATACTCTATTTACAACGTTAAGAGCATCATACTCGATGGTTAAAAACACAGACAGTACAGAGAGGGGGCAAGCTAGCGGGGTGAAATCATTAAATACCTATCATAACAACACAGAAGGGGAAAGCTAAAGAGGAGACGCCCATAAAGTCCTAAATATTTCCATCTAATTTAACGAAACCAAGCTGCAATAACTTCTCATGAAAGAGGGTCTACAAATCTCTGTATGTTTTTACCAGAGGGCTCCTTGAAAAACAGCCTTTGCTGAAAGGCAACCCTCCTTAAAATATAATGAAGAAATGAAAACGGGAACTTTTGGCGGACAAAAACAAATAGCCCTCTGTCCCAAACACAATATACGGTATTGAATTCCACTCTATAGGCAAATGTTAAGGATTGATGAGGAGGAGGGGGGGGGGGGGGGGTGTATCAAGCTGGCCTTCGATTTCAGACTGCAGCTTTCGGTTTCTAGCGTTGTTACTCGGCTCTCGTGTGAAACCTTGGGGTGGATGATGCTGAACAAAATCATAAACATAATGACCTCCATGGTTACTGATGTTGAAAAAGCCTCTCGGTCACCATTTGCATTTTTATACTATACGAAATTTTATAAAATTATTGTCAGAAAATCCGAATGATAATTACCCATTTCTTCAATTTAAATTCAAAATATTTATGCTACTAACATATATACATTTCTGAAATTTTGCTATTTCTGTCAATCAAAACAACCCGATTAGATTCCGCAGCTCTTGTATACGACCTCGCATTCGTTGCTCCTCGGTTTGATTTGAAGAACCAAAAGCTGTATCCATGAGCTCACGTTTCTGATCTTGCAGATCCAGCATCCTTTCTTCAATTGAATCTTTAACGACGTACTATAATCAACAGAAATCACATTTTATCATGCAAATGTTATATAATATTTCTTGAAATGAAAACTGATGAATGTGCACCACATGAATCAATGACATGCATTACATGAACAAATGCAATGCATCACGTGTTCCAATGTAATGCATCACGTGTTCCAATGTAATGCATTACATGTACCTATATAATGCATCACGTGTTCCAATTTAATACATCATATGTGCCAATATAATGCTTCACATGAATCAATGTAATGCACCACAAGAACCAATGCTATGCACCAGTAAAACCAATGTAATTGATCACATGTGCCAATGAAATGCTTCACATGTGCCAATGTAACGCACCACATGGATCAATGTGTCACATGTGCCAATGTAATACATCATATGTGCCAATATAATGCTTCACATGAATCAATGTAATGCACCACAAGAACCAATGCTATGCACCAGTAAAACCAATGTAATTGATCACATGTGCCAATGAAATGCTTCACATGTGCCAATGTAACGCACCACATGGATCAATGTGTCACATGTGCCAATGTAATACATCATATGTGCCAATATAATGCTTCACATGAATCAATGTAATGCACCACAAGAACCAATGCTATGCACCAGTAAAACCAATGTAATTGATCACATGTGCCAATGAAATGCTTCACATGTGCCAATGTAACGCACCACATGGATCAATGTGTCACATGTGCCAATGTAATACATCATATGTGCCAATATAATGCTTCACATGAATCAATGTAATGCACCACAAGAACCAATGCTATGCACCAGTAAAACCAATGTAATGGATCACATGTGCCAATGAAATGCTTCACATGTGCCAATGTAACGCACCACATGGATCAATGTAATGCGTCACATGTGCCAATGTAATGCATCATGTGTGCCAATAAAAAGATTCAAAAGTAGCAATAAAATGCACCACATAAACAAAACTTTGACTACAATCCTATGATATTATTTTTTGCTGTTGAATATTCTGGCAAATACAAATTTTCCCTTAAAGGAAGATATTCGGCACTTCGTTGATCTTAAATGAATCAACCAAATGACGAGGCGTGATAAATAATTCAAATCTCATTTTGATGGAAGAAAATTTGTCAGTAAACCGTGATAATTGCAATTGAGTCAAGGCAATTATGAGTTACAATAGAATGCTTCATCTTACACGTGGCCTTCGTAGCGAATGGACAAAAAACGACGAAATATTCACAAACTCAAAAATACTAGGTTGAGTGGAGGAGTGCAGTAAGTGGGAGGAGAGTTGTTCGTGATGCAATTTCACAGCATTCCTGTGAATGAGCCATGGGAAAAGATAAATTAACTGTGAACCGGTGACATGCAGATTCAAAATAAGGTGCAGAAAATATTGTGGAAACAGAGAAAGCTGAACATCAGAGAGGTAAAACTAGTTTTTCAAAATACCTTAATTATTGTAACATCTTTGGTTTGGCCGAGCCGATGACATCTGTTAAAACACTGTTCTTCTATTGCTGGGTTCCAGGCCTGTAACAAACAAGAAATTCAAATGCTGGGAAGACAAAATATTGGCAAAAAAACTAAGGTTGATAGAAAAGGTGTAGGTTCAAGGAAGTGACAATTCAGTTAGCTGTTGGAGAAGCTTTGAAATTGCTTTGGAATAAAACCTAAAATTTTCAATCAATGACAATATTTTTCCTTTGGGTCGAAGACAAAACCTTAATTCTCCTTCAAATCGGGGATGCAGTAATGTAATAAAAGCTAAATATATGTTATTGAAATTGATTCAAAGACTACAAGAAGGGTGAAGACTTTTTTCGGAAAAAGATAAAAAAATTCTGCTTGAGACGAAGAAACGTCCCCCATCCATATTGAGGGAAATTTTGAGTGGCAGTATAAATACAATCCTTGATATAAATGTTCTTTGATTAAACCACCCGTTCATCTACCTATGGTATCAGGGTAGACATTATATAATAAGTTTTAAAGTTGGGGCAAAATCACAGAAGGGTTAAAAGTAGACTGGTGTTGCCCCGATCTCAATGTTTAGTCCTCAATAAATCTAAATTACTCAATTCAGCTGTGAAAACGAGGAGTGGCCTTCCTTACATATTTACAAACGGTTATGTCAACGGTAGTCATCCTAGGAATTATCCTTCTCTCCAAATACTAAGATTTAGTAAACAAACGGTGTTTTAAAACAATTTTTAAAAAACCTCTTCTTACAGGATCTTATAATTTAAAACTTTGGACAATAACTGCTAATTTCTACACCTGAATATTTCCAAAAGTTTTCTCTACCAAGTGGGGGATGAAACTAGGAATCAAGAAAGTGGAGGATGTGTCTTTAGGAATCAGTGTAGCTTGGTTCCAAACTTAGTGACCAAGATAAATATCTAAAGGTCCTGGCACTGAACGTATCAATATTTTTCAAATAATCCGCAATAATGTTTTCATTTATAGAGCCAGATGTTTTTTCAGTAATAAAATATTTTGTCCTACGTTACCCTTTCTTTTGAAAACGAAAAAAACAGATAGGGAGAGGAATGTGGTATTACAGTGATACGGTGAGCTAAAGCTAACCGAGGCGACTCAATAACAGAAGAGATGTCTTTAAATGGCGTAGAAAATGCCATAACCATAATATACAAAATAAAATTCCTTGAAATAACAAAAATAAACCAAAAATAGAAGACAAAAACAATGTTTCCAAAACTGTGAATATTGAAGAATTCAACGTAACCGTACAGGGCCTGTTTTGTTAATGGCCAAAATGTTATGAAAGGTAACCTCGTATCTGATGCATCCACATGCATACTTCAACTCCTTTTAAGCTTTTCAGCACAAAATGCTAAGGCCTGAGTTACACGACGTCGGATTGGTTTTCGCTTCGGATTGCCCACCCCAATCCGAAGCACTTCGCTTTTCCAAGTGATTACACGACTTCGGATTGAGTTTTGCTCCGCTTTGCTGATACACGATGTCAGATTGCTATGTTTCAATGTATGGACGCAGTTCATAACACAACAAATTAAAACTATTTCTGGACATACGAAAGTTAAGTCGCCACTCTTCATCATCTTCTATAAGCCCGTTCTTTAGGTTTGACCACCAGCCGCTGCAGCGACCGGGCTTAAGCCAGAAGCGACGCTGGGCCTTGATTTTTCTCCTATTCCTGATGCAATAGCTACAAGCAGCTATTTGTTTCATTAATAATTTTCTTCGCGCCAGATAGTTGTGAGTAATGAACTCAAACAACATGCGTTTCTGCTGCAATAAAGTGGTAAAACCCATAAGCATGCCAAGAAAAATTTTGATTAACAATTTGATGTCAGCCATGTTTATGCTGGGTATTTCCTTCTTCAAAAAGCGCGCACATTTTGCGCATAACAGGACAACGTGATCTGGAACGAGGTTTCGGAGTGAAAATCACTTCGGATTCAGTGTTTACACGAGAAGGAATGCGAAGCGAAGTACTTCGGATTGATTTTCGTTTCACCACCAGAGTGGAGTGACTTTCACTCCGGTTACGCCCACCGAAGTACTTCGGATTGCCTCAGCGTCGTGTAACTGAAACCCCTATCCGAAGTGAAAAGCAATCCGAAGTGAACCCAATCCGACGCCGTGTAACTCGGGCCTAAGATAAGATTAGAAAGTGATGAAGCAAACAGGACAAAAATAGGCTTACAGGATCCATCAAAAAAACTCTACTAGCAGCAGTCAGCGTCAGGCCCACGCCACCAGCGTTCATGGACAGAAGCATGATGGTCGGTGATTCATCTGAGAGGTCGTTGAATATATCAATCGCCTCAGCGCGGCTCCTTTGATTCATTGAACCATCGAGTCTGGTGTAGCGAAATCTGCGCCTGCGCAGCTGTATCTGTATCAGGTTTAGAAATGAAGTGAATTGGGAAACTATGATGCTCTTGACAGAAGGGTCCTCGGCTCGAATCTCAACCAATGACGTAATTAATGCATCAACCTGGAAACAAGAATGGACCGATGATCGAATGAATGATGATGGCATTAAGCATGAAATACAAAACTACAAATTAAAACTGTCTTCCCTTACACACCAAGGTGTGTACAGCTCTGTTTAGACCGATGCAGGTTAAATTTGCAGCCGTGAAAAGGTGGAACTGCGACATATTTATCATCTATAGATCTTTATATCACGGGAAAGGACAGGAACCATGTACCAAATAAAAAATTCAGTCAACATCACTTTTAGAATCCTTTACATGGCTTTTCCTCTTCTGAAAAATTCACGATACAGTTCGCGTTCTCGTGTAATGTTTCGTTCCCAAAAAAGATAAATTTACAATTCTTTGACAAGCTTGATTTATTTTAATAATATTTTTCGAAAATGGCAGGTATTTTTACAATTTCTTACAACGTGAAGATGAGACAGAAAAATCGAGAAAAGACATAATGAAGAAAGTTGCACAAAGTAGAAGAAGTAAGTCTATTTTCCCCACCAATAAGTATCTTTTTGTACTTCATTCGAAATTTGTTCGTCATTCGAAATAAAAATCATAATATGGAAACTAAATGCTATCATGTAACATTAGGACCTATTTTCAAGAGTTACTTAGATTACCATATTATTACGTTGTTTTTATCAACATTTGTTCTGTCTTGTCTCTTATCCTAAAAAATATTTCAGAACACATTATGTTTTAAACTCTCCTCTCTTCTCGATTAGTGCATCTACTGAGAGAGCTCCTCTTAAGAAAATTCCCCTGCAACAAAAACCTTACGTAACTGTTATTTATTGTCTGTTATTACAACCATTTTTTTTAATGTTTAGTCATTGTAGAAATTAGTTGTAATGTAGTTATAGTGAGACATTGTATGTAGTAAAATTTTAAAATATAAAAAACTGAACTGAAATTGATAACGTTGCGTTAAAAGAAATCGAAGGAATTTAAGAAGACAGCCTGCTCACCTTGGCACTCGATTCCCAGTGCTGGTTGTCGTCTTCGTTGTCATCGTCGTCCGGTATTGCTATGCTTTCTGGTTGCTTCTTTTCTGGTACCTTGATCAACTGCTCTTCAGAAATAGCTCCCCGACACAGTGGGCACAATGATTCAAGTTGTGTGTTGATAACTTCGACAATGCAAACAAAGCAAAACACATGGGCACATCTAGCAAACGAGAAATTACCAAAAATGAAAAATAGAACGATACAAGCTCAGTTTTAGAGGTAAATAGGTACAACCACATGTTTTCGTAAAAATTTGCTTTTGTAAAAATTTACTTTTGTAAAAATTTGCTTTTGTAAAAATTTCTAAAAAGGAGTCAAAAAAATTTTATTTTGCAAAGAACCAGATATTTTCCTGTTTACATCTCAATTCAAAATCTATCATCACATGTAATATTATGCCTCTGTTACTTATTGGGATATCTCTAGGAAGATCTTTTTTGTTGCAAAATTTGGTAGGTGTATGTTACAGTCGAAGGATATGCTTCTTGACTCAACATGCAGTCAAGCTGAATTGAGTACATTAAAATACATTAGCCAAAGGGAGTCATCTGATACAATGTTAGCCCAGCTTTGGTTTACAAATAAGCATAGGCCTAACGACCAGATAGGCCTAATGGTCAGATAGGCCTACTTGCCTGGTAATAACTGCATTATTCAGGTTGTCCAGGCAAATTGCACACTCCTCGCTGTCACCTGCTTCCAGCACTTGCAACAACTGCTCGATTAATTGGCCCTCGTTTTCCTCTTTATCACCATCAGCTTCGTCCTCTATATTTGCGTTATCTGAAACGAGGTTTGTGGGAAATTTTTGTCGCTGAATATGCTTTTATGTCATCGTAAACAAAAGTTTCACGAAACTTCTTTCTTTGTTAGCTGCTGTAAAATCTTGGGAAACTACTATCAGCAGCAAAAACTTTAGGCCAAAAACGTGTTGCATCGCAGCAAATTACTATGGATAATCGTTGATGATACAACTTTTTGGTTATCTTAAGAAATTATTAAGTATAGCTTGTACCTCAGCATAAGTAACAGTTTCAAAGGCTTACTGGGGCATACTTTAATTTTTTTTAAGGGATTTTGGCAAAAAATTTTGATTGGTATTTTGAACATTGAACGAAATTTCATTAGAAAAATAGCAGTTACCAAGAATACTTGGCTTTTTTGAGTCAGTTCTCTTAGAGCTCTAAGCAGACGATGAAACTATATATCGTGTACAACAACCTAAAGGCGAGTGAGGTACCTTGCTGTTGCCATTCTTCCAGCTGCGCACGCACATTGACTGCATGCTCCATCTCCCTTACGACATCTTTGCAAAGCCAAGGGTGACAGCATAATTGTCTAAGTCGCATAATGATCACCAAGATATGAGCGTAGTTTCTCAGAACACATTTTATTCCTCTTCTTAGAAACCTGAAATTAAAAGCTTGTATCGATTATCAGGAAGTGCTGCTTGTGAAGAAATACACCTATCATTTTACGTGAGCTTGCTTTTTTTTAAATATTTCAATTTGAATATCTATAACCATTTGACTTTTCAAAATGCAAACTTCGTCTTATCCTCAACGATCACGCTGCATTACGTACTAACTCACCATCTCTAAGCAGGTATGTCAAATACATTTCATATTTGGTGTTGCACAGGTAAGACAAGGCACTATACCACGGACGAAGGGGCACTTAGAAAATGGACAATTTCAAAAACAAGAGAGACCCTCAGTGCCCTACGGTTCCAATGACGTCCTTAGTTTTAGTTTTTCTCTAAATCTTTCAACAAGGTAACACTCAGAGCCCTCAAGCAACTACTGGTTAATTAGGTTACCCAATTTGTTCGCCATCTATTTTTAGCGTCTATTATGTAGCCTCAGATATCTTTGCTGAGCGAATAAGAATTAGGCCTCCAGTTTTACACAGAGCCTGTATTTGGATTTGCTTCTACCTAGCATCCGAAGGTAGTTTTTAGGTCACTGAGAAGCTTATGCTTATCAAGCAGTGTCCTGCTCCTTCCTCTCGATGTGACCACACCTCGTGATTCCTACGCCTCGAATTACAGAGAGCTGGCGACTCTCCCCACTCTGTGTGAAAGTTTGGTTATGCCAGGGACTCGAACCACGGACCCTTGGGTCTGTAGTCAGCGCCTCTAACAACTGAGCCATCCTCGTACAAGAGCCTGTAGCAAGCACATGAAATTTTCACTGAAGCTAGACCCTCAAAAAAGGGGTTACGGGCCTTTTTTCCTTTACACGAGAAGGAATGCGAAGCGAAGTACTTCGGATTGATTTTCGTTTCACCACCAGAGTGGAGTGACTTTCACTCCGGTTACGCCCACCGAAGTACTTCGGATTGCCTCAGCGTCGTGTAACTGAAACCCCTATCCGAAGTGAAAAGCAATCCGAAGTGAACCCAATCCGACGCCGTGTAACTCGGGCCTAAGATAAGATTAGAAAGTGATGAAGCAAACAGGACAAAAATAGGCTTACAGGATCCATCAAAAAAACTCTACTAGCAGCAGTCAGCGTCAGGCCCACGCCACCAGCGTTCATGGACAGAAGCATGATGGTCGGTGATTCATCTGAGAGGTCGTTGAATATATCAATCGCCTCAGCGCGGCTCCTTTGATTCATTGAACCATCGAGTCTGGTGTAGCGAAATCTGCGCCTGCGCAGCTGTATCTGTATCAGGTTTAGAAATGAAGTGAATTGGGAAACTATGATGCTCTTGACAGAAGGGTCCTCGGCTCGAATCTCAACCAATGACGTAATTAATGCATCAACCTGGAAACAAGAATGGACCGATGATCGAATGAATGATGATGGCATTAAGCATGAAATACAAAACTACAAATTAAAACTGTCTTCCCTTACACACCAAGGTGTGTACAGCTCTGTTTAGACCGATGCAGGTTAAATTTGCAGCCGTGAAAAGGTGGAACTGCGACATATTTATCATCTATAGATCTTTATATCACGGGAAAGGACAGGAACCATGTACCAAATAAAAAATTCAGTCAACATCACTTTTAGAATCCTTTACATGGCTTTTCCTCTTCTGAAAAATTCACGATACAGTTCGCGTTCTCGTGTAATGTTTCGTTCCCAAAAAAGATAAATTTACAATTCTTTGACAAGCTTGATTTATTTTAATAATATTTTTCGAAAATGGCAGGTATTTTTACAATTTCTTACAACGTGAAGATGAGACAGAAAAATCGAGAAAAGACATAATGAAGAAAGTTGCACAAAGTAGAAGAAGTAAGTCTATTTTCCCCACCAATAAGTATCTTTTTGTACTTCATTCGAAATTTGTTCGTCATTCGAAATAAAAATCATAATATGGAAACTAAATGCTATCATGTAACATTAGGACCTATTTTCAAGAGTTACTTAGATTACCATATTATTACGTTGTTTTTATCAACATTTGTTCTGTCTTGTCTCTTATCCTAAAAAATATTTCAGAACACATTATGTTTTAAACTCTCCTCTCTTCTCGATTAGTGCATCTACTGAGAGAGCTCCTCTTAAGAAAATTCCCCTGCAACAAAAACCTTACGTAACTGTTATTTATTGTCTGTTATTACAACCATTTTTTTTAATGTTTAGTCATTGTAGAAATTAGTTGTAATGTAGTTATAGTGAGACATTGTATGTAGTAAAATTTTAAAATATAAAAAACTGAACTGAAATTGATAACGTTGCGTTAAAAGAAATCGAAGGAATTTAAGAAGACAGCCTGCTCACCTTGGCACTCGATTCCCAGTGCTGGTTGTCGTCTTCGTTGTCATCGTCGTCCGGTATTGCTATGCTTTCTGGTTGCTTCTTTTCTGGTACCTTGATCAACTGCTCTTCAGAAATAGCTCCCCGACACAGTGGGCACAATGATTCAAGTTGTGTGTTGATAACTTCGACAATGCAAACAAAGCAAAACACATGGGCACATCTAGCAAACGAGAAATTACCAAAAATGAAAAATAGAACGATACAAGCTCAGTTTTAGAGGTAAATAGGTACAACCACATGTTTTCGTAAAAATTTGCTTTTGTAAAAATTTACTTTTGTAAAAATTTGCTTTTGTAAAAATTTCTAAAAAGGAGTCAAAAAAATTTTATTTTGCAAAGAACCAGATATTTTCCTGTTTACATCTCAATTCAAAATCTATCATCACATGTAATATTATGCCTCTGTTACTTATTGGGATATCTCTAGGAAGATCTTTTTTGTTGCAAAATTTGGTAGGTGTATGTTACAGTCGAAGGATATGCTTCTTGACTCAACATGCAGTCAAGCTGAATTGAGTACATTAAAATACATTAGCCAAAGGGAGTCATCTGATACAATGTTAGCCCAGCTTTGGTTTACAAATAAGCATAGGCCTAACGACCAGATAGGCCTAATGGTCAGATAGGCCTACTTGCCTGGTAATAACTGCATTATTCAGGTTGTCCAGGCAAATTGCACACTCCTCGCTGTCACCTGCTTCCAGCACTTGCAACAACTGCTCGATTAATTGGCCCTCGTTTTCCTCTTTATCACCATCAGCTTCGTCCTCTATATTTGCGTTATCTGAAACGAGGTTTGTGGGAAATTTTTGTCGCTGAATATGCTTTTATGTCATCGTAAACAAAAGTTTCACGAAACTTCTTTCTTTGTTAGCTGCTGTAAAATCTTGGGAAACTACTATCAGCAGCAAAAACTTTAGGCCAAAAACGTGTTGCATCGCAGCAAATTACTATGGATAATCGTTGATGATACAACTTTTTGGTTATCTTAAGAAATTATTAAGTATAGCTTGTACCTCAGCATAAGTAACAGTTTCAAAGGCTTACTGGGGCATACTTTAATTTTTTTTAAGGGATTTTGGCAAAAAATTTTGATTGGTATTTTGAACATTGAACGAAATTTCATTAGAAAAATAGCAGTTACCAAGAATACTTGGCTTTTTTGAGTCAGTTCTCTTAGAGCTCTAAGCAGACGATGAAACTATATATCGTGTACAACAACCTAAAGGCGAGTGAGGTACCTTGCTGTTGCCATTCTTCCAGCTGCGCACGCACATTGACTGCATGCTCCATCTCCCTTACGACATCTTTGCAAAGCCAAGGGTGACAGCATAATTGTCTAAGTCGCATAATGATCACCAAGATATGAGCGTAGTTTCTCAGAACACATTTTATTCCTCTTCTTAGAAACCTGAAATTAAAAGCTTGTATCGATTATCAGGAAGTGCTGCTTGTGAAGAAATACACCTATCATTTTACGTGAGCTTGCTTTTTTTTAAATATTTCAATTTGAATATCTATAACCATTTGACTTTTCAAAATGCAAACTTCGTCTTATCCTCAACGATCACGCTGCATTACGTACTAACTCACCATCTCTAAGCAGGTATGTCAAATACATTTCATATTTGGTGTTGCACAGGTAAGACAAGGCACTATACCACGGACGAAGGGGCACTTAGAAAATGGACAATTTCAAAAACAAGAGAGACCCTCAGTGCCCTACGGTTCCAATGACGTCCTTAGTTTTAGTTTTTCTCTAAATCTTTCAACAAGGTAACACTCAGAGCCCTCAAGCAACTACTGGTTAATTAGGTTACCCAATTTGTTCGCCATCTATTTTTAGCGTCTATTATGTAGCCTCAGATATCTTTGCTGAGCGAATAAGAATTAGGCCTCCAGTTTTACACAGAGCCTGTATTTGGATTTGCTTCTACCTAGCATCCGAAGGTAGTTTTTAGGTCACTGAGAAGCTTATGCTTATCAAGCAGTGTCCTGCTCCTTCCTCTCGATGTGACCACACCTCGTGATTCCTACGCCTCGAATTACAGAGAGCTGGCGACTCTCCCCACTCTGTGTGAAAGTTTGGTTATGCCAGGGACTCGAACCACGGACCCTTGGGTCTGTAGTCAGCGCCTCTAACAACTGAGCCATCCTCGTACAAGAGCCTGTAGCAAGCACATGAAATTTTCACTGAAGCTAGACCCTCAAAAAAGGGGTTACGGGCCTTTTTTCCTTACCTGGACAGTGTTAGTTTCCCTTGGTTCTGCATCATGTCGTACTTTCGTTTCTGCTCTCCTTCCAGAGTGATTTCCTGGATTATAACTCGTTTGGCAGGCAGGTCTACGATGGGTTTGCCATCAATCAAGTCAGTCTTCATGCGTCTTATGGTCATGTGTTTCATGAGTTTGCTTATCCGGCTAAATGAGTGAGAAATGAAACGAAACTTGATTTCAAAACTTAAATCAACAGAAATCAGTTAATACCAAATTAATAAAATCAACAAGAAGCATTGCACTTGAGGACGAAAATTTGATTGAATTGCAATTTGGATCCAAAATGGTAGGCAGGAAACTTTTGCAAATGGTTGTCATGAAATACTCTTGACATTTAAAAGACCAACAGATATCTTTCTAAACTAACTCAATTACAATGTTAAAAAATTACAAAAATCTACACTAAAAAAATAAACACCATACATATGAGATAAAAAGTCTAACAGCCGTGAAAATATAACACTGAAAAGCAATCTCGATACCGATTTGTACTGGCATTTTTTACCACTGAAACATTCTGTGAGCCTAAAAGATCAATTAATTGCTGACTTATGCTACAAAAGACAGAGGAACATGCAAGCAACTGCTAATTTCAGGATCTACTACTCTATCCTTCGAAAGTCTCTCCATTTTTCTCCATATTTTACAAATACTAAAATTGCTCCATGGGAACACGAAAAATTATCCTTGATTCCGTGAGAAATATCCGAAACAGCAGAAAATCGTTTCGTGCCCACCCTTTCCAAGTCTAAGTTCCAAAGTCGCGTAAACTCTGCCCTGCCCCTTAGTTCTGTCCCCCAACTCGCCTTTCTTTCCCAGAGCTTCTAAACATTGCAATGCTTTATCGCTAAAGGCCCGCAGCCTCTCGGGAGCCTCTCCAAAAAATTACCAACTAAAAAGAGGATTCTATTTACAGAACTGCTTTAAATTGTACTCACTTATAAGTATCTGGGTTTCTGTTTCGCATCGGTAACAGCAAAATGTCTGTCCACCATGTTTTGTCCGTGAAAGGCTCGAATCGCAAGAACTTTAAAATAGTCCACAAATCTGCCATTCTGTTTTGGATCGGCGTGCCTAGGCATTAACGTCAGAAATTTAGAAAATAAAACTGACGTTGCGTTTGCTTAAAAGCTTCTGGTCTTAAGAAAATGAATAAAAAGGAGGAGAAATTACTGAGTACAACGTTTAAGTCTTCGTGCAAAAAGGCATTTACGCTTCAAAACAGCATATCAATCTGTGCTTGACTTGAACAGTCGCAAATGCGGGATATTGTTAGTTAACCATAAACAAAAAACAAAATATAAGCAAGAAAAGGAGACTGATATAGCAAGATTTCTATAATGGAAGTAAGACGTGTTGACAGCAAATGATATAGAGAAATTTCAAATTTTAGATTGTTTAAATTCCTTAAAACATGTACAGATCTCTTAAGGATTAGAGAGTTCCAAATATGGAAATTGATGACGAATGCGCTACCAACCCGTTAACACCCATCTCCTCTTTGCAGGCAGCGCCACCGTAGCAGCACTTTGTGAAGAACGGGCATTTCGTATGACGTGACCTTCGTCTAAAATGATCCTCAGCCAGGTGATTGTGTGCAAAGGAGAATTATTCTGAAAAGTATATGAAAGCAAGCTCAGCAAACCTACAGACCTGGAAGAGGCTCATTTCAAATTGACATAAAGAGCAAAAAGACTTGCCATTTAGTATTAATCGACATGATTTTTGTAGGTTTGTCAGAAACAAAACTACGGACTCTTCAACGTCTTAATAGGAATGAAAATTATAATGCGAACTATCGACATAAAAATGATTTGTCAGAACTTTGAGGCCCTAATCATACTTAGCCCTGAGATTCATTGGGATGAATTCCTTACGCTTTTCGCGTTGTCACAGTATGCAACTGTAGCCATCTACAAATCCTATAAATTTCAGCATGTGCGAAAGGGTTTCAAGTACTCGGCTAAAAATTGGAATGAAATCTCTATAGCCAGGCCCCTAATCTCAATCACTTTGAACAACAACAACAAATGTATTGGCAACAAAAAGGACTGGCAATATTTCTTTACTAAACACGACCCTTTGAAAGGTCAGAAACTTGTGCAAGCATTTCATGTTTTGGTTATATTTCTTATTTTGATTAATTATACATTACATTTGGTTGTTTTTGATTAAAAGCTGAATTTATTTATTGAAGAGTTTTACCGTGCATAAATATATGATTAAAATAAATAAATAACTGAAAAAATAAAGCATTTCATAATAAAGAAAACAATGTAATTGTTGATCATACTAATCATACTAAGTGTATTAAACCTTGAACAAAAGCCAAGAACGAAAAGTTTAATTGAACTTTCTATCTATGTGCGGAACTTTCTATCTTAATTACCATCACAACAAATTTTTGCATGCCAAATTTTTCTCTTAATCTCTTTTAATTTAGATCTGTTCGACGCAAATTCTAGACATAAATGCAGAAACATCAAATTTACTTACACCCCATGCATACTTCAAACCAAAAATTTTCTAATTAAAATCATTAAGGAATACCTGTCTAAAATCATAGGCAAGTGTATTGTATGTTGTGAGGATAATGTCTTGCCGCTGCAAAAACTCAACATCTTTAACTCTGTCACCTCCATAATAAAGATACAACTGCAAATCCAATTCAGGGTCCACATGCTGCTGGAACTGCGTCTATTGCGAAAGATAATATGAACAAATTATCCTTTGCGGTACAGAAAAAAGTGATGGCAGAAACTTGAAACACATCAGGGGCAATAAATTACAATTAAAATGGACAATCCTGCTATGAAAACATTTCAGGTTTCTAGTAGGGCTTTATTACAGCTACGCTTTTGAGTATCTCTGAAGATACTCAGATACCAACCAGAAGCCATCCAGCTATCTTGATCTCTAAAAGTTATCGTGAAGTTTAGCAAGACGTCAAAGGAAAAGCATCATTGATAAAAACTGAACTTGAACTTCTTAATGACATGTAACTCAACACTTTTGCAAAAAAAATCATTTTCAGTTTGCAATCCTATCAATTTTAACTTCTGTGCCTTTTTAACCAAGACTTCTTGTTAATGCCCAGTCAAACTACAAAAAAGGCTTTCCAGATTTACCTATCTTACTGCAAATGAATGGCTTTCCTCATATTCAAGCACAACTATCGATCATTATGATATGTATCAGTACAGAAACAGTTACAAATACTCACTGTCCAGTTCGAAATAACAGACATGGGGCAAATTATCAGAGTAGAGGTCCCCTCGCTTGATTTGTCTCTTTGGGACAATGATTTTCGTCTGCTGCAGTCCTTGAGGCTTGGGCCTAGAGAAACGAAAACAAGCATGCAAAAAATAAACAAGTAAAAAATTTAGGCCTAGAAAAGCAAACAACGAATTGATATACCGTTCACAAAACAGAATAACAATCAATGGATTACATACAAATTATAACTCAAATGTCTTTGAACAGAGCTTTCAGTTTAAAAAAAACAAATTAAGTTAAGAATTAAACTAGAAGCTAGAACAAGCAATTTTTAAGTGAAATTTTGATATTTTTATTAAGGCTTTTGATACATTCAAATAACAATGGTATTGATGCAATATCCATTGAATCCATGTAAAGCAATAGATTTTGACAAACCAAGAATGCAAATCTACATAAATGTATTTTGTTTTATTGTTAAAAATGACCGAGAAGCATCTCAGATAAATGTGAAATATTTGTAAAATATATTAGAGTACATTCCTAATTTCTAAATTTCCCAACACCATTTAATTCCTTTTTTTAGAAATGGCAAAATTTGCCTTGACGCTTATCTTCTTTTACGTTTTTCTAAATTGGTGCATATAAAGGCTGGCAGAAATAGTGGATAGAGTAACTGTAAAAGCAACCCACTGTCTACAATGTTTGCAATCTCTTTGCTGATGCAGTGCTTTTCCATTTCTTCATCGCTGTCTGAAAAAAGCAAACAGTCTTCCTCTGTCTTTAACTGTTTGGGTTCATCTTTCACTTTTCCCTTTTTGCTTTTCTTCTTCATCTTTGACAAAGCCTTTTCATTTTTCCTTGGGAATTATTCAAAATGTTAACATATTATAATTTAGAAATCAGCTGAAATAAACAATATGCTTGTAAGAAATGCCAAAGATTAAACGAAACAGTTAAACTAACTGGTTTGACATTTGAGCTTTCAAGACACTCACTTTATCTCTTTTAGAAAAATCTGCCTGAATTTGAATCCTGGTTGCTTTACATCCTTGTGCCTAAATAATAAATATATATATATATTATATATATATTATATTAATATATATATAATATATATATATTTATATAAATTTAAAAGAAAATTAGTAATCTGCAGTCTCTTAGCACAAACGGGGTGACTATTTTTTTGGGGGGGGGGGGAGAGATCTGTCCTAAAGAGTAACAATACAAATGCAGATTAACACTGCAGAGAACAACCAAGGACAGGAAATTACATACAATGAAGCCTTAAAGTGAAAGGTGAAGAAATTTGTCAGTAGTCCTTGCGAATAAACAAGGATCATATCAAGAGCCAGAAAAATAAAATGATAACAATGCCATAGAAAATATTTCAATCCAATATGACTTCAAATTTTGTAAACAGTCTTTCATACGAAAAGAGCCCCATCAAATTTCACCATATTATTAGGCACAGTTATGTACACAGCTTGGTTGGAAAGAGTGCTTCCAAGTATTCTCACACAAAGGAATTTGTTATTTTAATAGAGATGGGTAATTTTGTTGGCAACATCTCGGTTTCATGACACATAAGGCCCCTTGAGGAGAAGAAGAACAGCTCATAAGGCCACCTTAGGGAAAGGGAAAGCCATTTAAAAGTGCCTGCGAATTGAGAAGCTACAAATGATACAGTCTAAACATTAACAGATTTTGGATTCTAATAGGCAATTCATCAGATTCAAATAATGACATCAATTAATCGATGCTGAGTTGGGACTCCTTGAAACAAAATATTATTTACCATTTCCATGTTATTCGATATCTTACCCCTCTAATACTGGGAAGAAAGCCTGCAATATATCAGTGTTTTAAAGATAATATTTCTAGCTAAGGGAAAATGACAAATAGAAATAATTTCTAAAAGGAAAGCTATTAATAAAACTGACATACGTTACTTTTTGTGGCTTAAAAAAACCTTCCTTCTTCCTCTTAAATTTAACAACTTTCACTTCATCAGCATCGTCATCAACAGCCTGGCCATTGCTTCTCCTTGCTTGCATGACAGGGTCACCTTCCACAGAGTAACTCTTTCTGTCTGCATCATGTGCATTTGGTCGCTACAAGAATAAAAATACAAGGTACAGTTAATTCTTTTATCCTTCAGACAAGAAAAATACAAAGTTACACAAACGTCTTATTCAGCCAATTTTGACAAGTTTGGCCAACATCTTTTCATTTAGTAAACATTTTTTTCATTTATTCCTAACATAAATCCAACAAAAACTGCTCATGATTGCCAAACGTACTAGATTCTGAATGCACATAAAGAATCATTACACTGTAACGTACAAACATTAAACATTGAACAACTTTGATCAAGATTTCTGTATAGCCATCAAACATATTTATGTCTACAAGAACAATGTGCTTCTATACAATCTTGAATAATGATATAGTATCAGTGTCAATCAACTAGAGTATGGGCTTGAATTGCAATGGGAACTTTGACAATAGCATGTAGTAACTGGGTCATTCAATATCAATGAGGGACACCCTTATCTTGAGGCTGTTTCATTTTTTAAAACTTTGTTAGGGACCACAAGAAAATAAAAGCCTTAAAATTTAAACCAACCATATTATAAGAGATTGAATGCACTACTAGAACTAACTAAGATATAGCTCTGAAGTTTTTGGGATTTTACATTCTTCTGATCCTTAACATGGGTGCCAAAAATGAAACAATTCTGAGGCAGTGCGTTACATTTTAAAAATGTTTGTCTCCCTCTCACATGGAATGACTCAACTGCATCCTTATTTTCCTAACTCTGTGCCTTTTAAATTCATTTCTGCATTTAGAAAACAATCTGGTAATTAATTAATACTTCAGTTCACCTTTCTAGATTTCTTAAACATTGGCTTTCCTCCAATATGATTACCAAGGATGAGAGAAATTGCAACCAAGGTCTTACCAAGACCCATATCATCAGCAAGAATGCCTCCCTTCATTGGCAATGGCTTTTCAGCCTGTGACACCAAGGTTGCTTGATTGAAGTACCCACCGGCTGTTCTTGACCAAAATGGCGCCATATTCTCATTGTTCTCTCTCTTAGTCATCCAACTGAGAGCCATTCTCTGATGCTTCAGCAGAGCTGTTTTGATTGCCTAAACCAGAAAAGTAAACATATCCATACAGGTTTGGAAAGGGCTTCTATCTTGTGCAAAAATCACAAAACAATGAAAGCAATAACATTCCAAAAATGCAGAGGTTATAATCAATAAGCATATATTTATATATTTATGCATAAATATATAATTATATTTCTATAAAAAAGAGATTATAATATCTTACAGAGTCAGAGGTGTAATGTTATCTTGCTGAAATATTTATTTAATCAATTTGGCCTTAGAAAAGCAACAGAAAATTATCCCTCTGTTTCATTCTGACATGGTCCTGGTTTCTGATAAAATGAGCAAAGAGAAAGATTCTTTGGAAAGGATCCTCTGTTATCAATGGTTAGACTTAAGTCATTTAAAAAGGGCTTTGGTGAATATCTCATTTCCCATGCAACATACAATGTTCGCACATCATTACAAGAACAATCAAAGTGTGAAGCTCAAACAAGAGCGAAAAGGTAATGAAACAAACAGAAAATATATAACTGTAAAATATGCCTTGCAAATGTTGATGACAAGAAGCAAGAAAGAAACAGCATCCCAAACATGAGCAAAATTTAGATATCGCAGATATTGTAAGAGGTCCTAAAGGGTTTAAGATTGCACATTAATACACATTGAATACACATTAATAATGGACAGGAAATACTTTAACTTATGCCATAAAAATCAAGAATATTTTGATCCTATAGACTAAAACAGGTACACGAAATAGAATATTTTTACAAAAGACAACATACATTAGTTTCCATTATTTCTTCACTTTTGTCAAAGTCTACCATTTCCTCGAAAAGCTGGTCCATCCTATTCATTGGCTGAAACAAAAATATAATTGATATTCACAAAAAGCAATAAATGGCAAACCTTTTGGATAAATGTAGTTGATTTCAATGGATTTTTTGCATCAACTAAATTCAACCTGATCATTGTGACATAAGTTATGTACAGTTGAAAAGATTAAACAAATATCAATGTGGTTGTGCAACAAAAACAGTAAGTTAATAAAATCATATGCGAAAACACCTTTAGGACACAACAAAAAAGATGGATATTTCCATAAATGAATCAGAAATCTGCTAAAAGACCAGCATGGCACAAAACATACCACAAGTGGAGGGACAGAAGGTTTCTGCAACATATCATCTTGCCGAGAGCAAGCTTCGTATTCTTTTCTCCATTGCGATTTTGGAGACTGAAAGAAATTATGAAAGACTTCATCGTCGATGTCGTTTTCTGGTGGCAACGGTTTAGTTTTAGGTTGACAAACGTCTGTCTGTCGGGCATTGCCTTGTTGCGCATTACTAGAATGTGCATCGCAGGGATGTGTTACAGTAGCTGCAGAAGCATGTACATGTTGAATTTGCTGTATCATCAACACCGTAGTAGTTACCACAAGTCCATTTTCTGGATTGTCCAGCAATCTGTTTTCACCAGTGGCGGTTGTTGTTTGATGATGAGCCAGCTCAGTTATGTGGCCTTGTGCCTCGGAAACACCATTCACTCCATCTGGAAACATTTTATTTTTCTTTAACACATCTAAGAGCTATTAAATCCAAGGGCTTTTCAAGGTATCTACAAGTCAAAATGGTTTTTTATCACCTCTTCACATGATCATTAAAAGCGCGCGAAAACAAGGTGCGATGTCGATGTTGTGTTGAGATTCTTCATGTAGAGAGGCGCTGCCTCGTGTATGCACAGTCTCGTTTCAAAATAAGACACAATTTTATATTTTATATCAGACGCTTTTTGTTGCAATCTGTATTTTGCAAACTTTTATACAATAGTGCGAAGCCTTTAAGTTTATGTTCAACGTTCACCTTCTGCAACAGAAAAAGCATTCACATGCGACTCGACCCTTAAAACAAAGAGCCTCATTTTTATCATTTTTGCGCCAATTCTGATAACAGTGTCTCGACTTAATGAAAACACATAGAGATAGGAATTCCTATCTCTATGTAAAAACATCAGCCAATGCATCTGGAAAAAGCCATTCAGCCTCTGTTAAAGACATCCCCGTGGATTTTGCAATTTTTTACCAGCAATTAGCTTATACGATCCTGTCCTGAAAGCCTTTTCATGATTGATTAGGTTTGCCTAATTTCTTTGATAATTTGCGAAACTGATACAGTGTTTTCTCCTGTTCAGCCATTTTGCTCGGCAGAAGTGTGGCCATAGAAGTAGACTGGAAGCTAGACATGATCGCCGATGGACCCAGATAATGTTAATTATACGACTTTTTTAAGCTCAGATTTGGTTTTATCGTTAAAATTTTAGGCGGGATACCATTTTTCATATTGTTTGAGCTTGTATTTTAGATTTTACCGAGAAATGAAGTTTGAAAACTTGTAAGGGATACCCCCCTAGTCGCCAATCACGGTCAAATCCCTTATAAAGTTTTTATCTTCATGTCGTCATAAAATCAATATCGTGAGCAATATCATAATGTAAACTTACAAGTAGACTGAAATCATTGCTGTCAATCCGAATCTGAGGTCAAAAATTTTGTACAAGAGAATTTGAAGAATTTTTCAAAATGAGGCCGTAAGTCGAATTGGTGTATAGGTATCAAATCCCCTTTTAGGTGTTAAATAGGTGATCTCGCCTTTTTTGCCCACTGCCACTTTAGAATCGGTGCCGCGGGCCCTGCTAAATACACTGAAAATACACCGTATATACACTGAAAATATAAATTAAAACTTTTCTTAATCACTGAAGTTGGAAAATTTTGAAAATTGCCTCTATTTCTTCTTCAAATTCATATAATTTTGGGGTTTCTTTATGCTGGCTCTCTTGCTGTATTCAAAAGGGGCGGTACCATGCTTTTGTCGATTCAATGATTCAATGATTAACTCGTGAGTTGGGAATCATGTGATCAAAACTATACGGTTCTCACACACGAAAAACACGGCCGTCACGTGAAATGGGCCTTGCATTCAATCAGTCATGTGAGGAGCACAGTCTGTTGTTACCTGTTTTTCTAGCCTTTTGTTAGTTTTGAAACGGTTTAGAGATATGTAAGAGGAATTTTTTAATAAATTTAGTGAGCTGCTAATCCCTCTTAGCAGTTCAGGATGTCTCCGAAGATGCACTCTGCAGAAGTAAGTAGGCCTAAATTATTTTAGACCCCAATAATCTTTACTCAGTTATTTTCACATTAAAATTGTCGCGATAAAATAGGATTTATCTGAAATATTTATATCTCTTAGGTATCCACGATATATCTCTTCAACCTCGTCGTTGGTGCAGGTGCATTAGCTTTGCCCCTGGCATTTGCTCTGACAGGATGGGTATTGGGCATTATAGCAATAATTATCCTGTCTGTAATGAGGTAACACATCTTCTTTTCAATACATTTTCTCCAGTTTGTGCCCCCACAATACCCGATTTTTAGGGAACTCTGCATCGTCTGAGCCTTTTTGAGCAGATGGCAATAAGCCCTCATTTTTTATGTATATGAAAAGTTGTAAGCCATATTTGTCAAGAAGAATATATGCACTGGCGTTGTAAGATTCTTCGACTTCACAGGATCTTTTTTTAAATCTAACTTCGAGTTTGTTCTGTTTTCCTTATATTTATCATATTTTGAAGGAATAATCCACATTTTTAGTTGTATATTTGTTCTAATTTGGGGTTTTATTTCAGTTTTATAACAGCAACTTTCATGGTAGAAGCAATGTCTATTTCAAATGCTATAGTTCGATGGCAGATGATTGCTAGTAGGGTAAGAAAAATTTTCGTTATGAACATTAGCAAAGGTGAGAAAGGAACAAAAAACTTCTGTTATCAATAAAGAGTGATCTGATAGAGTACATACACACAGTGCTAATATTTATAAGCTTGCTGTTTTTTCATTTTTGTATGCAAATAAAAAAGTACAGTGTTATTTCAGATCGCTGTGACATTTTCATAAAATCTCTCTTCAATTTCTCTTCCATGTGCTTACCCCTTAACTTATAAGCTTGGTTGACTTGTCTTGTGGTAATGCATAAGTTAGATTTGTTTTTGTGTTGTTGGCCTTAAGGCCGTGCCATTTGCCTTGGAAAAATTTTGTTTTGTGATTAGAAAATTTGACAGTACTTTTTTAACTTAAATCATTTTATCTTGGTTTTTTTAGAGAAATAAGCAAGCAAATGGAGATATTGAGCATACTTTGTCGCATCCTGATTTGATTGTTAATTGTGAAGAAGCTAGTCTTTTGCCAGGTAAGCTGAATATCAATAAGGTGTCTATTACTAATTTCCAAGAGAAAAAGAACATGTTTAAAAACATTGTTTCTTAAAATTATAGTTAATTCAACATTTATAGATTTGTAGTGACTAAGCTTTGGCCACTTTCCACCACTTCCCTCTTATTCCTTGAACATCCCATCATTGTGGTCTAATTCACACACCTTGCAATTATTACAAAGACTTCTTGGTTGGAAACAACATGGGAGGTAATGGATAGTTTATTTAATGGCTTCATCAATTGATTTTCTGATGTAACACTAAAAAGGTGACCACATGGTTTCACTTTGTTCCAAACCCAACTCAATTTGACTGGATAAGTCACAATCAAGCTCTACAAGACATCACAGCATTCAGACACAAGTATTTCAATAAGCCTCATCCAACTCATCCTTGACAGCACCATGGCACTCTCCAATGAGCCATGTCTTCAGCTTTTTATAAGTTCTTGGTTACTCATAAAAACCTTTGGCATTAGAGCACACAACTCAATCCATTGCCCTCTCAATTCCTGGTCATCCAACTCATAAAACCTTGACAATTTGCACATCAGAGGTTCCTGGTAAACCTTTTCACAAAACTTGGCACCACAAATTCAACACAGTTTTTATTGCTGCTTGCATGGTACACCCAATGAAAAAAAGTCAATAAGCAAATAGGAGACTGTGGGCTGGAAACAACTGGTTTGTGGATGGATGGATTTAGTGAGTGGTTGCAGCGATTGATGTCCTGATGTACACTAAAGATTAATCCAGAATTAATATTTCTTTTGTTTTTCTGACTCTTTAATGTCTTGATCTGCTGTTTGAACACATTCAACTGAAAACAAAGTTTCTGAAGCCATTCCATGCCATAACATCAAAACACATATGCTTGTATTTCAGATCAAAGCTCTCAAGTTGATCCAGATGCTCCTTGTTACAATATAAAAGATAAAATGGAAATGGTTGGTACCTATAAGTGTATAATTTGTAGAGTTGGTGAAATTAGCAAAATTAAGGGTAAAAATTTGTGCAATTTAGGGATTTTAGATTGTTGCTCAGATTATCAAAAGTGAATTCTGTTTGATTTAACCCACTTCTATCTTTCAAATTATTTCTGTCCTCTATATTCTTTTCTTTTTCTTTTTAGGGGCAGATGGCAAAGCTACTTTTCAATCGTAGTAAGATAAATTTACTTGCTTATGAAGTTACCTAAAACTGCCACTAAGATAATCTTTCTTCTTCACTTTTTTTTCTTTAGTAATTTGTTAATTTCAAATCGATCCCTTGTGCAACTCGGATGAAATTCCATATAAGCTTTCATGTGATCCAGGAAAAGCATTCCAAAAAAGTTAAGAAATCCTATGGGACAAGTAGTCCTATACAAGCACAGCCAGACACTTTGTCTATGTCTGGGCTTTGTTAATCATTCCTTTCAACTGGGCCTAGCTCATGCTGTCAGGTCCTAGCTCCAACTTGGTCTACCTCATGCTTTTTGCTTTTAATTGAAGCTAACAACCTCTTGGCAAATAGTTTGTGTTGTCATTCATTCTTTGCCCGCAGCTGATTTTCAACTCCAAAAAATTAAGATTCACCCTGAAAAACAAATTGGGTACCCCCTGCTTTCCCAACTGGTATTGCAGCACCCAATCCCAGATTGTCTCAGTGTTGCCTAACATGCAAAAATTCTTTAAGACCTATGTTCATTATGACCCTCATGAAACTGCTCCTACTTTTACCAAAAAGGTCTTTTTGAAGATCCTACATAATTCAACAAGAAATTATTTAAGCAATTTATTGTTTTGCTTTAGATGGCTACAGATTTGTCTCAAATATATAATGATATCATCTGCTTTCTTTAACAGTTGGGATAAACTTGTTCTACATTGTCATAGCCCTGTATTTGTATGGAGATCTTGCTATTTATGCAGCAGCTGTGCCAAAATCTCTGACTCGTGTTTTATGGTAAGTTGCATTTTCCTTTTGAAGGGGAATCCTATTAAATTCTTTGATTGTTGTTTTCGCAATTCTATTCTTACATATGAAAAACGAATTTAATTAGAAATTACTGCTGGTAATTACTTTTGTTTCCTGAAATTTTATCTTCAATGTCTGGATCTTTTAGCATGCATGTAAAGCCTTCAAATAATTCAACATCTGCTGAGGACCTATGCTTCAAAAGTATCAGCAAAGAGGGTGTTTATAGGCTTAATGTGGTAAGTGAAAGACTCGGCAAGTCTTCAACTCTGACAATGTTTCAATCCCTTCTCTATCATTTCCGTGTTTTAAATACCTTGCGAGTGCAGTCTGTTTTAAGTTATATATATTAAATCATGACTCTTATGTTCAAAGTTAGGAAGTACAATATAGCTCTTCCTATTAGCACCTACCATTTTTCAGTTCCCCATCTAATACTGAGAATTGAGACATTTTTTGAGACTAGATTAGGAACAGATTTTTTTCCTTTGAAATATGTACCCTCTCGTATAGTGCTGACCCAAAGTTTGGTTATTTTGTTGGGAGTGAATAAGAATTATAAGGAATACTGTAAATTTGCAGAGGTGTTTGTGTGTTTTATTGCATACCACAAGGGTTAATTTAACTATCTCAAACTGCGTCATTGGATCGTAATTTTAGAAAATTTTCTTTCAGCTTGCATTTACCTTGGTTCTTGGGCCTTTTGTATTTTTTGACCTTGGAAAGACCAAATACATGCAAATAGCAACCACTGTTTTACGATGGCTTGGTAAATAGATCTTTGCTCATTTTTCTGTTTCATTTATTTTGATTATAAGCAACTGATAGTGTCACCAGTATAATTCTTGATGGAAAACTATATTTCTTTCCTGCACTAAATGTTACTTTAAAGTTTTGCTATGGTCATCTCCAATTGAAGGCTTGAAACAATATTTTGTAACAAACAACACCAAAGAAACCTTATTCTGTTTAGTCCATCTGATGCTTGTGAAATAAAATTTTTAAAATTTTTTTTCGGTTTCCTAGATTAAAATATATCTTAAGTTAATACTCTCACTTAATACATGTATGCATGCAAAGTTATTTTGTTTTTCAATCCCTTTTTTGTCCTTTTTAGCCTTTATTCTGATGATTGCTTTGGCATTATATGGCATTGAGCGGCATAAAAACAGGGGTAATGCTCCTGTATTTAATCTTTCCAAGCTGCCAAACTTCTTCGGGGTAAGCGTGTACTCATTCATGTGCCAGCACAGTCTGCCGTCAATCCTCACGCCAACAAAGCAGAAAAACCGAATGAATATGATCTTAACCACGAGTTACTCTGCGATAAGTGCTTTCTATCTTCTTTTGACACTGACTGCCGTCTTTTGCTTCCCAGTGGAAAAGCTCAATGACATTTACACGTTGAACTTCTTGGATTCCTGGCCGGGTTTTGCGTATTTCCTGGCCCTGTTTCCCGTCTTTACTTTGAGCTCCAACTTTCCAATTATCGCCATCACGTTAAGAGAAAACATTAAAAGTATCTTTCAGCGAGAAGGTAAATCTTGCTCCGCTATTGTCGATAGAATTGTTTTCCCTTTAGTCACGATTTTACCTCCAATAGCTGTAGCGTTTGTAACACAAGATGTGGAAATGCTCGTTGGCGTCACCGGATCCTACGCTGGCTCGATAATCCAGTATGTTATACCAGTTACGTTGGTGTTCTGTGGTCGAAAACAAGCTCGAAAGCTTTTCGGCAGTTACGTGAATAAGCATCGGTCGATATTTCGGCATCGGTGGTGGATCTTCTTCGTCATCGTCTGGACTGTTCTTTGTATTGGACTTGTGACTGTTCAGCACTTCTTAGATCTTTTTGATAAAAACTGATTAATGTCAAATTTAGCCAATTTTTCGCAACAGACGAGTGCATTTTCTGGTATGATATTTTAGAGCTCCGGGTACAAACTTTGTTTGGATCAGTTCCATTAGCCAGAAGCTGGCCTAAGAAGGATTTTTGGTACAAGCCCCCTTACGATACTGGTACCTTGCACAGCGCTTTCAGAAAGGCAGAAACTTTTTGGATCTGTTTGTGCCGCGTACTCGCATTAACGTTCAAAAGTTTAGTTTCCAATCTTACTGGAGTTACCAATTACATTTTGAGTTTCAGCTTCAGTGAACTGCAATCTGATGGAACAAACTGTAACAGCTTTGTAACTGAGATGGAGCAATTTTTCAAAGAAATCCAGAATTTAATGAACTTGCTGGCCCACATGAAAATCTCGAATCTCCACAAGAACGATGAAAATTGTTTGATTTAGAGAACGTTCAGGTTATCGGGGGTAGGTTCAAAGGGAATTCAAAAACAATTCAAGTTTCCTGGGTTCGATTTATCGGGGGCTATAACCATGTCGCAGGGCTTGAGTTATTAAGGGTTAGAGTTAACGTGGGTTAGGGTTAGGGTTAGGGTTAGGGTTAGAGTTAACGTGGGTTAGGGTTAGGGTTAGGGTTAGGGTTAGGGTTAGGGTTAGGGTTAGGTTTAGGGTTAGGGTTAGAGTTGACGTGGGTTTGATTTTTGGTACTATACTGTAACTACTTCAAAATCTTGGTTTTTTATGTATCCTAATTTATTAAAGCACAGTGTATCGACCTTCGAACTTGATATTCATCTATATCTTCCAATGTTGTGGGAGACTTATGTAGCTGTGGAAAAATTGATATTTTTATGAAAGAACCTTCAAATATTATCCCAAGTAGCACTAATTTTCAGATTTATATTTTGGATCTTTTCACGCCGATAGTTCTGGGTCAGTAGTGACAGACTAAAGTTTGCGGTACTTGATTCTAGTTGATTGTATTGTCCTGGTTTCATTCATTGTTGCTTTAAAACGAAGAGCTATAAGCTTGATGTTGATGTTTAGAAATAACCAATAGATATCCCCTCCTATACACCCTACTCTTTGAACCAACCAATTTTAACATCATTCTGTATCGTATCAGTGACCAAGGCTTTTGCTTAGACGTTTCATGTTGTCTTTAAACCACATTTTTTAGATATCGTTCTTATTTTAAATCAGTGTACTTTGTTAGTAAAACTAATAGTTGACATAAAATTGACAATTAGTCCTTGTAACCTTTTTTTATTAAAACCGATAATGTCTAAATTAAATTTTTTTTAGCAAATATTGGTGTTGGTTTCGTTTTTTGATTATTTTGGCAATCAGTTTATAATTTGTTGTGAGAAAGTAGCAAACAATTAACTTTGTAATATTTAGATAAAGTAGAGTAAAATACAATGGTAGCATTGACCTAAGAAATTGTCTTCCTTTTGCATTCTTTATGTTCGAGAGACGAATTTAGTTGAATCATTGAAGTAAATTTATCACTGGGAAAATTAGTCGAGTTTGCGCGCAGGCTAGGATTCAATTAATTGGACTACACCGAACCTCTTGACATCGCATAGGAAGATTGCCGGGAGAGCGTTCGGAGAAGGAGAGTGTGATCCTACCGCCATTGTTATGAGGCTTTTGGCTGCACTTAGACTTCGTTTTAGCGATGCTATGATGCCATTGGGTTATTCATACCGGTTCACTGCGTCAATGCACAGAGAAAAGCATTACAATTAAGACTGCTCATGTGTGGGAATATTGTAAGCGGGTAAATCTTTTGATCTGTACACCATGTTGATATGTTGTAGGGCGATCAATTCTTGCAGCTTCTTCACCCAAAACTTTTGCCAATTAGAAGCTTTCCAACAAAGGAGTACGTATGTGGGGACAGCGGTAAAACTCTCTTGGTGGGTTTACAGTTCCCCCACCCATTTTCCTCCAAAATGATTTTAGTTAAAGAACTGAACTATCAAAAATACCTTACAAGAGTCAACTGGACAACACTGAAGCGCTGAAAAGTAAACAAACAAAATTTTTTGAAGGGGGAGAAGGACATATTACTTGTAGCGTAATTAGCCAAATTCAGAGTTTACCTACTGGTAGACGCAAGGTATCTCAAAATAGGGTAACGTACAAACCTGCCTTACCCTGCAAACAAAAGAAAAACTTAACACGTACTGTACAAGAAAATAAGAAATAAAAATAAGTGTGACAGACATAAATTCTCCTAAAAAATGAGTGGTAGATGATCCTGAAAACGTACCTGTTTTTCTTGAGCTTTGAGCTGGTAAAACGTCTTGGCCACATTGATTTCTGTACATTGTTACTTGAGCAGTTTAGATCTTTCCCACGCATGTTTTTTGCCAATAGTCAATGTAAAAAGAAGGATACGAAGGGCGGTGTTGCTGTTTCAGTTGTGTATAGCTTTGACTTCAGATTTGCTGATAAAACCAGTATTTTCAGCTATTTTAATGAGCTCCAAGCCTTCAGCCTCGTAACTTCATAGACCCTCATTTTGCTTTCATAAGAGTTTTAAACCAGGACTTCTTCCAATCTCTCTCCTTTTGGAACCTGAGCTTGTTTACCTCTCTCAGCCCAAACAGCGAAATTCTGTCTTGCAAATTGCTTTTTCTCGTGAATAGTAAACTTTGTCATATTTACCTAAAGACTGTATTTTGACAATGATAATGAATATTATTTTAATAACAGGCTTATTTCACTTCGGTAAAAAAAACCTTATTTGCATGTAAACCTGATTTAAATGATTAATTGCAAGCTTCTCTATTGGTCTGTCCTTCATTACATACAGCTTTTGAAAATAAAATCTACATTGAATGAAAACTGTATTTTTCTCAATCTTGAAAATGGCCGGGAATCAAGCTACTAAAGATTCACCAACAGAACAACAATGCTCTTAGAAAATCATTTTTTACTAGACATTTTCAAGCAATATTGACAAAATGACGCTAATGGCTAATAAGCCTTGACTAAGAATTGTTACTCGACTTGGAGAATATGATTTCAGTTGAAACGGTTTTGCTTTTGGTCTACGCCGTCATGACGCACAATGCGAAGATTGCTTTGCAACTTGCTAACTCTTGAAGGCTGTTCTCCAAAAATAAACTGAAAATCCCCCATTAACCATCATTTTGTTGACGCAACGACATTCATAAATAATAAATTTCGAAAAGATTTACAAAATTATTCAGCAAAACATATAGTAAAATTATCATCGGTCAAAATTCAACGTCTCGAGATTTACAAAATTGCATCGTCAAAATATAAATCTACTTATGGCAAAAATAATGTGGATTCAAAAACCTCTTGGACAATAAACACAAAAAGTCCGCCTTTTTAAATTGGCAAGATCCCTATTGGTGCGATTGTACCTGAGCAAGCGATGTTTGAGAAAACTGGGGCCGCAATAATTTGACCACGCAGCGATTGGAAAGATTAAGATCCTAGGACTGATTAGGTATCGTTATAGAAGACTTGAACGAGAAATGGGTATAAAAAGGGGGAATACTCTAAGGTGCTAGGGGAGGGAGTGAAGGAGAACGGACGTACGTGACAAAGATTGGTAAACGAGCGAGTAAATTTTGGAAAGGGTAAACAGGGGTAATCTAAACGTTGAATGTGGCATTATAATGCTAAGAATATAAAAGTATATGCATTATACTTGGGTGGCGTAATACCTAAAGAAATGCCTATGTTATGCAGAATGTCTCGAATTTCTGATAACATGGTCGAAAGATTCCACCTTGGCCCTTCCTTGCTACTGCAGTACCTAATGCATAATATACAATAAACCAATCTTGAATGTAAAGAACATTGAAAAGCACAATAGTATAAGAAATTAGTAATATTTGCATTTATACTTTTGGAGGGTGCTGATACCAGTTATTCCAGTCCAAATACCAAATATGGGTTTTCTAGCTATTCTCTGAGTGTAATACTATCAATATCTGCAGCATACCGAAGGAGGGCCTTTTTACTGCAAAAACCGAGGGAGGACTTTAATTTTGGAGGTGCTCCAGAAGAATAACCTCTCTGTTTTTGAAAAATAAGGAACATTAGAAAGCGTATGAACGGTGTTCGTGCGAAATGAAAAATGGCACTATAAATTACGACAAAAACAACTTAACATAAAATTTTCGACAGCTACATACATATTACAGCAATCAAAGCAAAATAAATTAAAATGTAGAAACTCCAGATTTCTAAAAAACGTAAATGAAAACCTAAATTACGCTTGAAAAGACAGGCGTTGAATGAATAAAAGGTTTTTGCTTGAAAAGTACAAAAATACAATTATTTTACGCAAAGCCACTAATTGCAATTTGTTTATAGGCTAAATCACTGCACTATTGGCGAAACCAAAGATGTTACTATTTATGAACTGCGTTTTATCAAACGATAATGATGTAATCCAAGTGGAATTTTCATTTAACACGACAAAAATGACAACAGCAAACTAGCCGGGATCTGATATTGTTAATGCGGAGCTGTTGTCGACCTTTCACATTCTTTAATGGAGGTTAAAATGGGTTCACGTGACAAGAATACTCCTATTGGCTGGTGCATAATCTGGGTTCATAATTATCGTCTCCAAAATAGAAAACTTTGAGCCATAGAAAGGTTTAATACTGAAGTCTACTTGTCAAAATTGTATAAAAAGATAAGCTTGCTTTTCTCAGAAATAACATTTAGGTTTCATTGTTGCTTCGAGAAAAAAACAAGAATAATTTTTGCGAGTCATTAAAGCACACTTTTGCCATCACATCAATTGCGAGGGTATTTCACTTCCAATTACAGGGATAAAAGTAAAAAATCAGGGGTTTTTTGCATATAACTACTTTTATGTGCAGCAATATGTTTCGAATATGCAGCAGTATGTGCAACAACTAGTAAAGTTGAAGTAGTCACACATCTGATGACCAAAAGTTAAAGCAGAACTCCTAAAGCCAGGTTCGTTTTTGAAAATACCACAGCTAGCTTTGTTACCGGAAGATTTGCCTTTAACAAAAGAAAACTCAACCAGCCATTACAAAGTTAACCCAGCACTCACCATGCGAACCCTGTATACCATACGAATAACTAAATTTATTCAACTGAAAGAACAACGAACATAAAGAACTGACTCTCTGTCACTCTCTACATAGATTCCACTGGCACGTGTCCAGTCAATTCGAATCCTGTGATTCGAGTGGATGATCTCAATTTCTTCATCCAAATCCCGAAATTTAACAATAATGATCAGCTCGCAATCTCGAGCAAAGAAAGAAGCCATTGTTCCAAGCCTTCAAGGGAAGATCTGGGTCTATAAATCCATTTCTCTATTGGATGATGTGATTTGAATTTCATTCTTCTAGATTCAAAAATATTCGAACACCCAAATAAAATTATCCTACCCGAGTAGTAAAGAAATTATATCCCACTGATGAGCGGTAAGTAAATCCAATCGGGCACTCCAATTAACTGGCGGATTCGGCAGACATTAGCCTCTTTCTGTCTTCTTCCACTGACAGAAATTCCGTTTCACCGTGTACTGCATGATACTACAAGGATATTTGAAGCTCATCAGAAAAATGCCTACTTGGGCTTATAATGCTATATAATGCGTCATTTAATGCTATACCTACCATTGCGATGTCACTGATAGAGCAAACAAAATGAGCAGTACAAAAACCAGAGAGTGTGATTTTCATCTTGCCAAGAATGAAAATCTAGCTAGCATGGGGGTTTTGCTGCTAACAAAATATGATATTGGGGTATCAGGGTTTGCGGAAGAACGGAAATTGAAGAAATGTAGCCGCGTATAATAGAATTCTGAAAATCCTCGACGGAATGGTGGGATTCTCCATACTTGCAGGACGCTGATACGGAAATCTTATAAAGATTTACGTAAAAAATGAGCTGTTCACATCTTGCTCGGCGTCTATCAACAATTTTGGGACGCAGAATTTTCGGTAAAAATTGCGAGGAACGATGGATTTCTACCCCTACCCTGAAGACCCCCACGATGACGTTGTTGCTTACAAAAAATACGCTGAGTAAGTGGACTTACCGATGGCGGTCTTTCGCCTCTTCGCAATACAAGCGGCACGGTCTCCTGGGTGTCATACCGGCCAGCCCGTTGCTGTTCTCGCTGATCTTCGTCAATTGACTTGTATGATGCATCTAACGATGTGTCCCACGATGAGTCCGGAAAATGATCTCGCCTGAAAGTGAAAATGATCAATGAAGGCCGGTTCTACACATTCTTACCAAAATAAGGTGGGCTGTGGTGCATTAAGGTGGATTCTGTAAAAAGCCAAAGATGACCAGGTAGAATAGTTTGGGAAAAATAGTTTCATTGGGCTGGGAGGGAGGCGGGTTGTTGCAGAAAAGAAGACGCGAAAACTGTTAGGGGTCTTAGATTTAGTTGCTGACCATGTTTCGAAAATTCATCTTGTGAGTCCAGAACTTAAAATCTATAAAATTATTCATTTAGAGAAGACTAAAAGGATGTAGCTAAATACAAAAGCTAATTTAGGCATACTTGAAATGAAATCAGTAATTACAAATCAAAACTAGTAAATACAAGTATAAAATGCAACAATATATAATTTAATGCTATCATGTCTTCACAACAATTCTTTGTTTTTCTTCTTCTTTCTAATCAAAGAACCCAAACTAAGCTCTGCAGCATAAACATAAAATATAGCTACATTCTTCTCCTTTCAGTTTTTTATCCAAGTTTAAATTCAACCAAATTTAATGATTCTGTAACTTCTGTGGAGACATAATGTTCATTGCTTTTATATTTTTCAATTTTTTTCCCGAATACTCTTTTTTCCGCACCCCCTTCCCCCCATAAACAATTTTGATAATTTAGAAAAAATACAATAGAAGTCGCAGAAAGAAACGTCCTTCCTAACCCCCATGACATTTTGTAGCAACCCAACATTATTTAAAGGGGAAAGGGGGTAAAAAAATATATCAAGAAGGTAAATATTGAAAGAAAAGGTCCGAGGACAGATTCCTGAGGCACTCCACCTTAAAAACCACTTAAACGTACAAAAAAGGATATGCTGAGCAATCATTATCAATCTTTCACTATAATTTCAGGGTCTTGTTCGCGAGTTACGAAAAAAGCGCATATTTAAAAAGGCGACACTTAATTCATATACTTTTTACATTAACCGCCTGTGACGTAACGAAGAAATTATACAGTGAAAAATACTTTAATGCTAAAATTCTAGAATTCTAGAATAGTATCCGAGTTTGTTACCCCTCAACTTAAACGCGAGATGCACGCGGTTTCACACAGGCACGGGTTGAAACGCACGAACTCACGCAAACTTTATAGTTACCAGTAGGATGATTTACTACAATCTTAACGACGCATTTATCATTCTAAGTAAGTTCTTACATGTTTATGTGAGATTTTGGAAATTTCATGTAAACTTTAGATATCTTAAAGAACGTGGACAATAATTCAGCTAATTCTAAACCCCATGAACTCGTCAAATGATTGGAAAATTAAAAAACAAACGAAATGTGACCATCTCCCTCTCCCCATTCCATTAGTCTCCTGCAAACGTACTTAACAAATGTCTTGCAGGGTCACTTAAAAATGGGACACATACCCTCCTGGAGGTCCACTATAACTGCCAGTTATTAAATGCACGCTCCCCGGCGCAGTTCGGCGTAGTATGGATCTAAAAGAAACATGGGCTGGTCCTTAGCCTTGATAGAGTGTATATGAAAGAAAAAACAAGAAAAATAAAAGGAAAAATAAAAGAGAGATATGTATGCCTAGAAAGTGAAAAAATAGTTATATGCATGAAAGAAAACTGAATGCCTAATCATAAAATTTGATGCCCAAAAGAAATATATATTGGATAAACTACATCATCTCGCTCTTTATTTACTATTTGCTCCAAAGGCTTAGAAAACTACGGATCAAAGAACAGGGGCTTTATTCAAATAGTGGCTCCAGTAACACAGGGAGTCGATGTTCTTATATTTCTTACATAGCGCACCTCTTCCTTGCAGCAAAATAGGTTTGAGAAAAAAAAAACTTTTAAGAAAACAACACCAACGATAACAATACAAATTCATTATTACCACGCAGCCCTATCACCTCAGAAAATTTTGGCATTTCGATTTAAATTCGTGGCATAAGTAAGAAAAGAAACAATGGACTATGAATAAAACGGTGGTGGTAGAGGCTCAAGCCATTCTCCTTTTTCATGGGATGATCCCCTCTAACAAAAAGGGCGCTTGGTTAAATATTTGGTCTACAGATACCCCATATGACTCAAATATAATTCAGATCAGTCAACTTCTGTATTCAGTTATGTAACTGGGTTTCCATGTACTCTGTCTTTTTGTCAACAACTGAAGGCTCCTAGTGTCATGATAAAAATTTGCGTTAAAAATGTGCCTGGTTAGGAGAAAACTATCAAAGAAATGCAAAGTCTGTTGCAGTTAAACTTAGACCGTTGCCTGTTTACTTGAAAAAAGAAATAATAATTGTATTTAGGGTTCTGGTAAAAATAAGAGAGTTGGTATTGGTGAAACCAATAAAATAATCACCCCAACCCATCTCATTCTATAAATATAACCGTGACACTTCACTCTGCTAGTAACCATTCGTTCATCCCTAAGATCCATTTTTTGGGCCGGCCATTTCTCCTTAACTTCTGGAACGTTCCTTAAGTTTGAATTTCTAATGAGTAGCAGTGTATGTTCATGTTTGGTAAAGCAGCAGTTTTTGGGCGAAGATACTTTTTAACGCAAACAGATAAAAAGCAATAACAGTTGAGATTTGGATGTTTATTAAATCGTTTGATACCAATGGCTTGGCGTCTTTGAAATGCTAAGCGATTGCCCACCTATTTACTGTTTTCAAAATGATTTCTCAATTCCAATTGTCTTTGTATCTTTTCTATAAAAAACTTGAAACGGTAGTCGTTAAATTCTCAAGTCAAATCAGAGTAAAACCCATTGCGTAAAAGAGGACCAAATACCAAGGGATATCTTCTTCAGGGCGCGAACCCATGGCCTAGAAGTTGTCGTTGATGAATTATTTGGAAATGCTAGTAAAAAATGAGTCCTATTGCAGATGACCTCTTTTATGAGAACTGATATATTAACATTTAAGAAAATTTAGTTAAACATACTTTAGTTTTGCCATTGATTTCCAGATAGGAGTAAGGCACAAGAGCTGGCAAATGACGAAAACAGAGATGATCAACGCAGCCAAGATTATCAGCGATAGGCCACTCCTGAAAAAAACAAATAACATTTGAGATAAATTTACTAAGTTATCAATAACATCATCATTAACAAGAAAACGTCTAGCATCAAAATACATTTCGGTTGTAGAAAACTTTGTACCGAATTTTGCTCCATACAATTTCACTGCAGACAAACAACATTCAGGAAGCATACAAGTGATTGCTTCTAAAATATAATTTTTCTCTAGACATTTTTCTAGTCTATGAAAAAAACAAATCGAGGACATATGAATCAAATTTGGGAATGATTAACCAAATCTAGAGCTGACGTATCAAATCTCTCCTGGATAGCGAAACTTGAAGACCCAAGCTGCAATCACTGCTTAATGTACGGAGTACACTTTTCACAATCAAAAGACAAAACACAGAAAAACTTACAAAACAGTATAACAAACTGCGTCAACACCAGCTTTGTATCGCTAAAAGAACAAATAACTATCAATAAGATCCATTTAAGCTTAGAAAACGTAAACATTTATCCTTCGAAATTTCTTGCTTCTGTGATGTGAATTTTTCACAACAAACAGAACACAATGCGGTTCTAACGACGACAGCCAATAAACAGGCAACAAACCAACATGAACAAACCTGGTTGATATATTTGCAATCCAAGATGGAAACCAGTCCATCTAAATCAGCCTTACTGCTCTTAATGGCTTTCTTTAAATCATCTACATATGGCTGAGGAAATAATAAATACTATACCGAAACTTTTGGTAAAATAAATTCAAAAATACAAGGGTTGAACTTTAATACTGTTCAAATCTAAATCTGATTTAAAAGCTAAAAAACATTTGCCACTTTGAATGCGGCAAAATTCGATACAGAAAAATGGATTTTTTATGATAAAATGGCTTTGAAAAAGCAAACATTTTAAATTTTATTTAAACTTTTTGTCAGACGTCTGACTTTATTTTCGGTCATTATTCTAACGTTTATAATTTAAAGAGTGTCAGGGGAAAAGCTTGAAGCTCATATTTTACAGGTTCTATGGTAAATTTCTACACTTCCTAAGATAGTCTGGATTCGTCTAAACATCCCTGTGACACTGTGATTTCTGTGCGTGCAAGCTTACAGGACAATTTAAGAGAAATATTTCTAGTTTTCCATGGTCAGAAAGAGTAGCGCCTATATACAGTCGCTTGAAAGTAAGCGATGAAAAAGTCCTGTATCTTTTGGAATCACATTTAAAAATATTCAAGATTTTCTGTACCAGGAACTGCAGTAAAGTTAGATGTATTTTGTACAAGTTATTCGGCCATTTCTTAGTAAGTAAAAAATAACAAAATTTTAAGAAAAAAACTCAATATTATGGTTAGAACACCCATGGTACCTGAAATTTTTAAATGTGGAAACTAGCAAAAAATTATACTAAAATATTGATTTAAGAAAACAGACGTAACTTGGTAAAAAGATATCAAACCTCTCAAAGGGTGAAAAAACTAAAAAATTTAACCTAAAAACAGGATAGCATTACAGTGATTATCAAGAGTGTGGCACTTCAGTAAGATGGGTTCTAATAAACAGAAAAAGAACTTACAACTGTTTCGTTTAATAGCAGCTTTATAATTGCTTCATCTTTTTCAAGAATTTTTACGTCAGTTTCTACCAGATTTATCATTTTACTTGTATCAATGTATTTCTGTAAAAATGGAACGTGAATTAATGTACAAAATAAATATTCATATGTTTGCTTATCTATGGTTTATAGAACAACATCAAAATATTGACGACTCAAATGGTTCTGGTGGCTGGCGTGGGTAGGTGGTCAGTGGAGTTTCTTTGTCAGGGCATAGCATTACGAGAAGCTCATTTTTCAAAGTCTTATCTTTAATTATGGGATGGCTATGAAAAAATCTTGAGAGATAATCAAGTGAGAAACTATAAAGAAATATGGTAGAAACAGATACACTCTGAAAAAAAACTCGTAAGAGCTGACAAGTGTGATCTAACTATTTCGATTTAACTTTGTCCTTCTTAATTTCAGACAAACTTCTTCTTTCTCTGACAGTGAGTCAAATTTGTGAAAACCTTTCTAAAACAATGAATAAAAGGTATGATTTGGACATTGATTTGAAACTACTACAGATCTGGTGTCTTGTTTTCGACACCTTTCAGGAAACTACCACAGAATTTCGCTACAGACTGTTTTCTAGTGACAACAGCGGGCCATAGTTTGCTTTTTAATTAGTTTTTGCATGTAGTGAAATTTATTTGACTAATTGCCGTAATGTTCCATGAGGAGTGAATGCAACATTTGAAGCCCGGCTCAACTTGGCTCAAATATTTAACGTACCTTAATGAGAGGGTTTCCAGACCCATTAAAGCAGTCCAGATAGTAATTCTCGATTACTAGGCACGGAAAGAAAAACAATATCAAAAAAGTTGAGACAACATTTCTCAGTGAATTTAAACGAGCAAAACAGGTACATACCAAATATAATGGTGATATTTCAAAAAGTAGTGAAAAAATGATTTGAAGGGTTTTCAAAACCATCCCCAATAATGGCAGAGTTTTTAGCTTGATTCTGAACACACTGCTGTTATACGTCAAGGACAGTGCATGAGCGAACATGCAGTAAATCTAGTTAAATTTTCATGGATACAGAGACGTTTGAGGAAAGACATTCCATACCTCTGTATACTGGGTTTTTGACATGCTGAGTAATGGCAGCTTTTGGATTCACGCAGAGGTCTCCAGCACCCTGCGGGACAAAACACAGGATACACAGGCTACGTAGATATTGAAACCCTGGGTGATATGGAGCATAAATCGAGATATTTCAAATATAACTGCAAAATTTAATTGCCGATGAGACGAAAAACTAAAAGTTTAGAAAGTGAAAGCTTGATAATATCACTGAAACAACAGTCAATCATAAAGAGGTCCCTCTTTATGTGTGACTAAGTTACGAAGTATGTGAGGCACTTTTATATTTCGAGTTGTCGATGAGGTTTTGAACAGCTTTTGACAAGCAGACATTAAAAAAATGTACAGATCTAAGATAGTCTAAATACAGAGCTCTTGACAAAGCACAAGTCAAAAGAAACTCTTTCTAAGAATCAGGTCAGCTCCTTTGTTTCAACTTTAAAATTGTTGTGAGTTTGCTGACAAAAGAAATCAGTTTAGTACATTCGTCACTCTAGGATGTTCTTGCTAAAAAAGTCAAGTTTGATAAATATTTGAAGAGAACTAAATATTTTTCTATAAAAGAGTTGATACAACTGCAAAGGGGAAAAGGAGATTTGTTCTTTCATATGGTTATTAGTTCGATAATTGGGATTAACAAGGTCGACTTACCACGCTTAATGGCACTTCAATGCCAACACTTGACATCATAAACAAAATGGAGAGAACTCCTTCAATGGCAATTCTGAAAAAAAAACCAAATAAAAACTCAGTCTTAGCAACTGAATGTTTCAGAGTCCAGACAAAAATACAGTTCCACGGCTGTGAGCAGGGGGAAAGTTATCCATTTTGAAGAAGGCCAACGCATAACTTGACAAAAGTATATATAGTGGAAGGAAATTACCACCATGTTTGATTGTTTCCTGACAGAGCGAAAAGGCGAAACCATAGATGATATTACTTGAATTTTATTTCTACAAAACTTCTACAATGCCTGCCAAAAGTACTTGGAACACCCACCAATTTACGCTGCATTTGATATCTTTCATTCCTTTCATGAAAAAAAATTGCTACTTCCGCCCCCTTCCCCCTCAAACAATGTTGATGATTTAGAGAAATATCATAAAAAAAGCGCAAAAGAAAGTGCTTCCTAAAATCCTAACCCGTTTGATAGTAAACCAACATCGTTCCGTGGGGGAGAGGGGGATGATTGGTTTTGACCTTGGAAATTGATGTCAGTGTTCCAAGACTTTTGGCAGGCATTGTGTTCATAGGATGCAAGAAAAATTTTGCCGAAGAATGCTTTAATGAACTTCGGATAAATACTAAGACGCATCTTGAGGATGTAAATTGCAATGATTGAATATGTAAATACACATCTGCGTAATAATAAATGAAACGACGCAAACGACGCATAAAGCAAGCATTTATTGTTCGTCAAAGCTGTGATAAGATACTTGTACTGATGTTCAAATACGTTAAGCTCAGGCGCATTCGTCATAAACCACCCAATCAGCTGGTGCGCTTCGCTTGTGTGAGAGAAACATGCACTAGGCAATAATCTGTTTTTTGTTCCTTTGCGCAGTCAAAAACAGACCCAGCATATAATATTTTTCTATCCCCTATAAAACTCACAAAACCACTTGTCCACAGCCTTGTCCTGTGAGGTATGATCAAATATGCAGAATGATTTGCAACAATAGATGTGTGTTATACTTAACATTATGGACAGTCTAATAGTGTAAAATTGTATTACATACATTGGAATGAAAAAGCGTCTTTCTCCCCAAGCTCCATAAAGCACACTCAGGACAAGCAAAAGATGCCAAAGGAGGATTCCAATCGTTGTCCACCATCTAAAACACAACAAAACAATATCCATAAAACAACTTCGCATTTGGCGTAGGCCAAATTTAGCTCAATTAATAGCAGGTCGAGAAAAAATGCTTCTTAAGATAAAAAAGTATGCAGTCAGTTTTGAACAATTTTTTGACGGCATTAAATTTGAAAATGGCTTTGAAAAAAGCAATTATTTTACATCATACTAAAAGCTTTTTGACCTGACCTGACACTCCTACGAGTATAAAACGTCAGAATAAGGGTCCGGAAGAACAAGGTGGAAATATATACCCAGTTGTGGATCGAAATAGGCCAATCAGGAATGTGATCAGCAATGTAGTAACAGACGAACGTAAAGAGGTAACCCTTTTTAATATTTTTTTTTAAATGGAATCAACTGGAAACTTGAAATTATGATTAATGAACTATGAAAACGAAGGCATGATTACAGACCTGATTTTGTCATATTCCAAAGCCTCATCTGCCAAGTCCTTCAAACTGAATTCACTGCCTTTAAGATCATTTGTGCTGATGTTTATTCCACTTGATATAGAAAGAAGAAGCCCATCCAGTCTTTGCAGGACAGATGGTATGGGTATCGAGTACTTTACAAGGGCATCTTTCAGATTTTTCACAGCATTTGAAGCATCCTTGTTAATGAACTGGCCAAGTACCATATTCTATTACATATAATCAAAGATAATAAATATCACACAATTATAACTTATTTTTATTAGTAGAAAATATTTGGTATTATTTAGAAAATCAAGCTCCCACAAACAATTATCTTAAACTGAAAATAAATAACATAACACAATAACTATGATAAATAGTGAAGGATGCAATTCTACCTTAAATTTATACAAGTCCCACTGATTGTAAATGTCTGCTGATGCCTTTGAGAAACTGTTTACACCATCCATTGTTTTGTTGTTTCCATAAAACCCTAAACCAAGGGGTGCACTGCAAGATAGACATGAATCCTTTGAGCAGCAAAAAGTGACAACAAAGGAGCTTCTTTCATTATCTTTGCATGACCGCAATTGGCACATGGTAAAAAATTATCATTCGGCACATGGTAAGGACCTCTTTTCATTAAATGTCAACTTTGAAAAAAGTTGAATTATCCAATGCTTCAGGTGGTCCTCTCTAAAGGTTACTTGCATTTCTGATCTGAATATAAATGCCTAGTCACCTTTAGGATATAATCTGATCTTAACATTCTGAGAAGTGTTGAAGAAAAGGTATATACCATAAAAGCTCTATTCATTTTTTTCCAGTCCTAGACGGAGGGCTTAAAAGAGAGGGACTTATCAGAGAGGGGGGCTTTAGAAGCGTACAAGACCTGCACTTTCCTGAAACGAAAGACTAGATATTTAAAGTAAATTTCCTGCACAAAAGAAGTTTCAATTCAAATGAACTTGATCTCCTTCTATTGCAGGATGGGGTACAACATAGCCACACAAAGAGACATCATTGGAGATGTTTCACAAAGTTTAAAAACATGTTCACATTAGATATTGTGAAATCATCAAAAAATGAACTTTTTGGCACTTCAAAAGCACATCAGATTTAGAAGGCCTTTATTACTCAAAGGCTTCCCTGGCAATATCAACCTTTCTTTTGAATAAGTTGATTTTCAGTCCCTAATAAAGAAGTATACTTAGCTTCATAAAACTTACAAGTTTAAAAAGATTAAATTAAATTTCATCAGAGATAATCTCACAAGGGGTGCAAGTCCTTTGATGAATTCACTCATGTTGTTATTGTTTACTTATCATGATAGTCTCTTGTGGCACAATTCATCAAATTGTGTGCCTTTTTCTCCAGTTTTTCCATAATGGAAGTCTTTTGCCCTCACAAATGTCAAGAGTTAAACTTTTAGGGTAAGCTTCAGAAACCAATAGGGCATCTTTCATTCCATCTGTTGTTTTGATGCTTTTGGGTAGGACACAGGTGCAATGGCTTGTGGCGGTGAAAAGGCTCTTCTTGTCCATTTCCTGCCCAAAATATTATAATAATTTAAACTGTTTTATAACTTATAATATATTAGGACCAATTTCTTTTTAGAAGTTCATGGTATAGCAAGTCCCATGTTTTGATACTGGAGGGAGCAAATGATAGTGTGTAACTCATGAACTGATGCTTGTGCCAACAATATCAGGCATACAACTCTAGAATTCTAGTCATTTACTAAATTTTCACCCATGTTGAGGCAACAACTTCAGGAAAACTGTTGCACAGAAAGTGGACCAGACAAAATAAAAGTTCATTATTTATAGAACAACACAAAAACCTACCAGGACAAAACAGCAAAGAAAGCAATGAGGAACCGGAGTGATCTGCTCTTTGATGGCCTTGGTTTCAAAACAGACGGGAAACAACTTGAGCAGTAATAGCAGGAACAAATCAAGAAATAAAAAGTGAAAACAAGAAAAAGCAAAGCAGTGACAAAAAGGATGATGAGGCCATTGAACATCAGAGCCTGAAAGAAAAGCATGTAATTAATGATTAATCAATTTATGTTACAAGAATACTACTATAGTACTATGGAGAAAAATTAAGAGGTTATAATACTGCAGTAGTAATTAGAACTCAACAGGGGCCTAGCTAGCAGAGGGTAGGGGGTGTGACACCCCCAGTTCTTTATGAAATTGTCAGTAAATCCTTAGTTGGTCCAAACAATTCCTGGTTTGTTGGTAAAATCAGCTATCAGCAGGTAAAATAGCACCTAAACTCCTCTTCATCTTTGTCTTTGTCTGTAAATTTTAATACTGATGACCCTTCACTCCTCTTGCATGTGAGGTCAAGCTGCACCACTGCAACTGCAGCTCTTGCTTGCTAGTGAATAGTATAAACACCCATAAAATTTTCAGTTAGAGGCATTCTGAATCTTGGCTTCTAGCACAAGGATGTTTTAAAAAAATTGTTTGATGTTTATCAGACAATTTGTTAGCATCTATTGCTTTTCAAGTAATTTCAAGCTATGTTTGACTTCCATGCATGAAGCTTGTGGACCTCATCTGGATCTTATCTTGTAAGCTCAAATGGTTTTCGATCAGATCCCATGTCCATTGTTCAATTAAACAGGTCTAAATTATAAATAACCCATCAAGATAAAACATCTGTTAACTCACTTTAACCTCAAAAAACTTATTATCCTTTCCAAGAATGGCATTAACCCATATTATCAATGTAAGATAAGAAAAAGACATTATAATCTGGGCATGAATATTAATGACATACTCAATTTAAGCACTTTTTAAATTAAGTGAGATCTTTGAAGAAAACATTCCAAATTCAGCACAAAACCCAAACACTTGTTTGCTTTAATAAAATGGGTTGAGACATAAATTTTTTTAACAATGCCCTAAACAGAAGGTATCCCTAGATTTTTAGATATCCAAATTTCTAAAATGGGAGACCTTATATATTTTTACAAGATATCCACATGCAATCCATTACAAAGTTGGAGACAGTATCCATTATCCAATTCGCTTTCAAAAGCATTTATAATTCATTTTATTTTTATCATTCTTGCATTCATACAAGGAAACCCTACAAAAGCTTCCCAACTTCATCAGAAGAAAAAATTTATATTCATACTACTGATTTTGAATCTAATTCTCTTCTTCCAATAAAAGTACCATATCACTCAAAACTGGGCTGAACTGTATTATACTACATGACCAGCTGCAGTGACAAATTTGATTTACCACCACCCACAGAGGGGCCAAGAAAAGACTGGGGAATAAATCCCTCTTTCAGTTTTTGGCAGGATCAATTTTGTATTTTGCCTAAATTTGATAAGAAAGCATTAGGGGAGGGGTAATATTTTGGCTATGATCTAATTTCAGTAGTATAATCCTATAATTTCGAAACTGCTTTTGTGAAATCAAAAGTTAGACATGGAGGTGCCTCTTTCTGGTAAAATTGGCATTCCTTGTTGGTAAAAGTATCAATTCTAACCAAAAAGTTTTGCCCCCCCCCCTCCTCCAGAACCTAGTGGCTGGTACTACCACTGACCATCATGAGCCAATCTATAGACCTTTAATGACAAAGTTGCAGGACTAGTAATCCCATTGAGCTAACCTAGGTTATATTGCTCTGGCACATTTAAAGACAAGGCCTTCAATTATAGATTTTAAATGAAAGTTTGTAAATAATATTGAATTCTAAAATATCTTTCTCAGAAAAAAACTGACAACAGCACACTTAAAACTGACATCTAAACTAATTTTAAACTAAACTCTTGTAATGGAGTTTTGCATATAAATTCTTTAAAATTGATATTGTTTTTATTATCAATCTTCTGCCCGAATTCTCAAAAAAAATTAAAAGTCTGTTATCCAATTTATTTGAATGGCAGCGGATTTCTTTTTTAGGAGTGGTGGTTACAAGCAATCTGTTTATTCATAAAAACCTTGAACTTACAAAAATGGTATCAAAATTTAACTGAACCAGTGATACATTTTCAAAAAATCTTCCACCTATCATTTTGCATTTTTAAGAGCCTCAAATTGATATTTTGTGGGCAAAACAAACTAATGCTACAGAATCAATTAATATATCTTAAGAATCACAGTGGCAAATGAAGGATTTAAGTTTGTTTAAATAAATATACATGTAGCTTGACGGTGCTACGCACCATTCTAACAACGGGTCTGGTTACCCACACCCATATCGGCGATGGGCAATATCACGTTGTATTGCTCGCCTAATTTTCTTTCTGCTGCACGTCTTCACAAAAATAATGATATAATCGTATATCCATTACAGAACTAGTGAAAACCGTTCAGATTAATCCTTTGAATTGAGTTGCACGTGGTTTATGGTAACTTTCAGGATGACGGCCCAGCCCCAACACAACTTAGGCTAGTAGGCCAATGATAATAATGGGCATGGCAAATTTCAATCGTCGGTATTTCATGACTGTCAAAATTTAAAACAAGCTAGAATTACCTGCTGGTATGAATTTTCTGTTGGGCTAAATATGGAAGTCGCGTTCTTGAAGTCGAAATCCAAGTGGGGGAAAGAATGGAACATTTCAGCCAGCCACTTTGACGGCGCCATGTTGTTGTTCACAAAAAATTATGATGTTAATGGTCATAATAATCATAATACTATCAACAATAACGTGACCATTTACGAATCAACCATTGCTGAAGTTACTAGTATTAATAAGTTTCTAATGAAAACCACGAAATTATGTTATAGGACTATTTAAAAAAGATGCTTGTGATGTAAGAAGACAATTTGAGTTTCTGATATTTTAATTTTCGGGTCTCACCTAAAGGGGAAGAGGCAGAAATGTCACTTTCCAGACGTAGCATTTACACTCATTCACTTTTGTAAAAATATTTAGGCTCATAATCATTCAGTTTTTTTAAAGTTATTAGAATGTTGCTTAGCCTCTGCCACGGGTGCAAGTTAAATCATTTTGGGGGTATCAGGACAACTTGGACCGACTAGCATGCAAAAAGGCAATCTTGGTAACGAATCGAAGCAGATTAACAAAATGTGTATGAAAGATACGTTTGAGCAAAATCCCAAGCGTACCCTGTGCCCAAATTTCTAAGAGATTTTGGAGGGGAATCTAAAGACACAAGATTTAATTCTTACATTTGTTTGTTGCATAAACTACCTTGTTGTTTTGGGGTACCTAGACAAAATCGAATCATACACCTACCAAAACTAACAGTACAAGTCTTTTGTGTGGAGGGCACAGCACTGAAAAGGAGGCAAGCAAGTCCCAGAAACGCACTGTGCTAGAAGGTTTGGCTCTGCTTGCCTCCTAGAGAACTAATAATCTGACAATTCGGTTGCTCGAGTATTCAGTTGGTGTTCCACAAGGCTCATATCTTGGCCCTTTTTTCTTCCTCGTATGAATTAACGATTTGGCACAGGCTATCAAAGATTCAACGCGTATGATTTGGTTGCTACTGTGCCCATGTATGCTGATGAAACTGCTTTTGTTGTAAGTCTCACAATTTGAATTTGCTGCATGAGGCTATCAATAGCCTCCTCAGAAAACTGGACAGAAGACTTTCACTGAATGTTGCATGCATGGTTATTTCTGAACACTTAGTCTATGCTCATTTCTACCAAACAGAAACACAACATTCTCAAACGTCAAAATAAGATCTGGAGCAGAAAATTTGCGAGGAATGGGCTTTAAGTGGTGAAGAAATCATACAAATTGTCTCAGTGTGCAAAATTGACTGCTAAACAGATCAAGAGAGTTGCTAGCAACGTCTCAAAGCAATTGGTTTTTGAAGCAATTGGTTTTAAAGATGCACCAAATCTTTTCCCCGAAAGAACCTCTTCAAACTGTATACACAGGTGTTGTCGAGCCCCATTTTCGGAACTGCTGTTCTATCTGGGGCTACGCTGTTTCGACTAAAATCAGCAATTGCAAAACTTTAAAACCGCGCTGCATCAATAATAACAAACAGCAGCTTCGATTCGGTCCTAAAAAATATGTGGAGCCAGGGGCGGTCTGGCCCGGGTGGCAAAGTGGTGATCGCCATCCGGGCCCTCAGAGATGTGAAGTAAAAAAAATTACGGGCCCTTTCTGCAAAAGTTGGAGAAGAGAACTTTCATAAACTGTGATATTACACATAGTCCGAGATACAACTTTTTGTTTGGGGGGGGGCAGCCCTTATAAATAAGTGTAAAAAACAGCCATATTTTACAAAATAAAAGTATTTTATAAATACTATTTGAGTTTTTTGTGGCCAAGGCCCCCCGACCCCCGGTATCTCGGTCCTTGATATTACAGACACAGCCAAAGCCAAGGTCAATGCGCGCTGGCTTCACAACTACGCAAGAATATGAAGTCTGCGCGCAGGCCACAGGGCCCCACTATGACCAACATCCCCTATACAGAAAGACTATTGCAAATTTTGTACAAAGAAAAGTCTGTCCCAATTCCTAGATAAATAATTTAAAACTGTATGTAGAGATCAAGGAGCTGTTGTTTGTAGGTACTGGTCTGGAGTCACCATTACATTTCTAGCTAAAAATTACTTTAACCAATAAAACAAAGAAAACAATCTTAAAATTTGTTCCAAATAATAATTCGTCATCAAAGTTTCCAGGAGTATCAACAGCAATATTTTCTGGATATTTCACTAAAACAAACTTTCGCACATTACGGAAGTTTTGCGTATCAAACACAAGAGTTTCTGCCCTCGAAAGTTCCTTTCCACCAAAGTTTCTTCCCTCAAAGAAGCAAGCAACAGACAAAGGCCTGTTCTTCTTTTCTCTGAAACCCTCTGAAAGGTGCATGTTGAAGAGTTATAGTGAAGTTTTTCTGTTTACTAATTGTTTAATGAACAATGTGTTTATAACTATAAAGTTTGGTACAGACTAAGTTTGTAGGTTAGTAAATTTCAAATTGTAGTCAAGATACTAACCTAGACCAATAAAAAGGTGGCACATGCAAGAACAGAACTAGCAGGTTGAATTCTTGGTTTTTTTTCTAGGCTCAATTTCAGAATATTGCATATTGATTAGGTTCGCTTGACAATATTGCTAGAAGTATTAGAACAGAATTGTTATTTTGAACTGTAGTTGGAGTTTCTTGGAGTTACCAATTGAACTACTGTTTTGCTGTTATTGTGCAAAGTCTAACTACAAAGAATCCTTGATTTAAATAATGTATAGCACCAATCAATAATTGATTTGGACTGAGCGTGCTTTCATTAGTGGGTTTGGCTCAAAAAAGTTCATCTGTCACACCCTGAACAGGGCCTTTTTGGTTTGCTAGCCACCCTGCAATTATCATGCCAGACCGCCCCTGTGTGAAGCATTCATGCTACACGTCCTTTTCCTACAAATCGTTGCAAAAACATAGAAATGTGATGCGGAATGACACTCCAGATAGTTTTCATTATCATTTGTTTTTATTTGAGCAATGTGGACTCATTAATACACTATAAAAGAGACCTTTCTAACTTTTTGATGATTTTTTAAGAATATGCCTATTGTGGAGGTCAGATATTTATTCAACCCAAGTGCTCACCTAAGGAGTCTTCCAATATTGGCATTTGATTTGCTGAATCTGAGCGTTGAACCCTTGACAAGTTTTTTATATAAGTCGATATTGATGCGTCTTAAGACGACAATCTCAATGGAATTGGAAAAGTTGAAGACCCGCCTTATGGATGGTTCCAGAAGAGTGTCAGGTACCAGCAAAAAGATGACTTGGACAGCACACGACTTTCGAGCTGGAAAGTCTCACAGCAGCTCTTGAGGACGAAATCAATGGTAAACAGCTACGACAATGGTTAAGTATCTAACCCGGCTCGACACGAGAAGAACAAATTATCTGAACAAATGAGGAGACCAAAAGTGAATTTTGAAGTGCCTGTGACGCTATCCAAGAAAAGCACGCGATGCGCCTCTCATAAGGCAAGAAAATGTAAATTTTAACAAATCTTTGAATTCACTAGAACACAAATAAAATGAGCTAGAAATGATTATAATATTATGTAATTTCGTACAAAATGAAATGAATATACATATCTGGATTGACCAGATGAAAAATGGCACTTATCATTCATATCAGGGCCCATGTCCCGAATTTGAAAGTGGGGGACCAAGGCTAAAAAGTGTGGGCAAAGGCTTCTTACCCTTTTTACTGTATCTTTAAAACTACTTGCTTTGCAACAAAATGGGGGGGAGCATGGCCACCCCGGCTCCCTCGGTGTGGGCCCCGGATCTATACTATATATTCTTATTTTATATATACTAGATATATATTAATCGCATGATTGACATGTCTTGTTTTTCAAAGACTTGTTTCTTCGTTTTAAGATGATCAAGGCGAATATTGTCTTTTCGTAAAATAAGCGTAATTTTTTAACACTATTTTTGCTGGTCAAGAAATGTGCTCTCGTCCAAGCTTTGCTGGGGTGCTCCATGGACACTTTTAACCCTTGCCAATTCCAGCAACTTTCACTTTCATGTTGTTCATTATCAGTTGTGGCCATTTTCCCACCGTTCTTTCAGAACTACTACCCTACAAGCTCCACGTTGGGCGCCAGGAAGTCAGCAAAAGTAGGAAACCTCAAATTCTCAAAACCTCTTGCTGTCGAAAAGATTGTTTTCATTTCATTCATATTCATAAGTTTTCATTTCCATTCTACCTATTCTTTCATCTTAACCTTTTCTTTTTTAATTCTGCTTTTTTAATACATCACAATCGAAGAAGGAGACGTGTCTAGAAAGAATTTAAGATGCAAGAGATTGGAATAACAAGGGAATTAGTTAGGATGACAGGTAAATAGAGTTTAGTCAGTTAACTAAATCCTCCAAAAATTATAAGCTAGTAAATGATAAATATATTTGATCATATGATATGATAATATAATGAATCTTCATACAAGATAAACGTTTCATTATTGTTTTTTGCATCTTATGATATATGATGATATTATTTAACGAATATCTATATAGGATGAACATTTTAACTAGATCCGCTGTTGCTGACTAGCATGTGTCTATTTTCAGTTTGAACAATTACTTCGTAGGCTTTTTGAATCATTCACAGCCTCCGGACAAGGTGCTGTCCACGCACGTATTATATATCTGTAGCTAGAAACTCATGATGATAACTTATATTTGTACATTTTATATCTGCATCAAAATTTTTATAGCCGTTTTAAATCTGCAAAAAGATGGAATTGCCCCTTGCCCCCCCCCCCCATCTGCCAGGGACCATTCATAACGTTAAAGTCCTTAGATATCCTTGTAACGTTTCAACTTTGGTTTTGTTTTGGATTAAATTTAAGATATCGTTGCCTAGTTTTGTTTTTATTTTAAGCACTAAAGCTTATTACAGACAATTGATGTGCGACGAACGTATAGTACTAGTGTATCTTCTAGCAAAGAAAAATTGTTTTATTTATTTATCCACTGATACTTGCAACTTAGTAGAATTTTCAACTGTTGACGAGGACAAAGTCTATCAGTCTTTTTTTGAAACTCAATACTTAAAATAGACCAAAAGTGTAGCAGGTGACCCTCCTTGACTTTTTGTCAAAACAAGTATACGAAATGTTGAAAGCACATGTATAGAAGTTCTTTTTCTTTCCGGTACCTATCCGA